ATCTTCAACACACGGATGAAAATGAAGGCTCATTCGACACTCTCATCATCCCTGAGGTAAGTCTCAATTTATCATTAAGCACCAAATAATTTCTTCATTACTGACGGTCTTTAATTTCTGGCTTTAGTTGTCTGCATCGATATCCTACGTTGAGGATGCGGCAACATGGCTCAGTTCCATCTTCAAAGCCAGTCAAGGTGGAGTCGTGATTACACGCAAAACCAGGACGAGTCTTGATATCCTTCGGTCATTGGGCTTCACAGCGATGGATGTTGGTCAAGGCGTAATCTTGGCAGTACAACCTCCTCCTGTACAGAGCCTATTAGGTCGAGATATTGTCCTTATCACTCCATTATTGCCTAGCTTATTGACTCAGCGATTGAGTCAGAGGCTTGCTCAGCATCTAAATGAAATGCCTGTGTTTGATAGAGATATCAAGACAGCAACACTTGAAGAATTGGAGAACTCGGATATATCTTCGACATCTATTTACATTTCCTTGCTCGAGCTGGAAAACGAGTTCCTCGCTACAATGAGCCCCGAGAAAATGGACCTTCTGCGTCGCATCACCGACATTGCTCACGATTTAGCTTGGTTGACTGGCGCAGGTATGCTGAGCTCATCACCCGATCCGAACCTTACGCTCTCGCAAGGTCTTTCTAGAGCTCTTATGCTAGAACAACCCTCGCTCCGATTCACCGTGATTGATATTGGAGGCCTTGCATCTGAGAACAGTAGCCTTGAGAAATCATTCTCCTTGAATCTGGTACAAGCTCTTGCCTCGGTATCAGACATGGATGACAAAGAATTCATTGAGAAAGATGGCATGCTGTATATCAGCCGCTTCATCGCAAAAAATGAGTTCAACAGCCTGTTCCGCCGTCGCCTAGACAGCAAGGAACCAATAGCCAAGCTCGCTCTTGACAGAATAGGTCCTGCACGCTTGGGTATTGGTTCAGTTGGGCAGATGGATACGCTCCATCTCGTCCAAGAAACTCAGTCTCTTTCCAAGCCGCCACCCGGATTTGTCGATATCCGAACCAAGGCAGTAAGCTTGAACGCGAAGGACGTGTACACTGCCAGTGGCCGAGTAGAGACGCGCACGGGTACTGCCGCGATCGAGTTCTCCGGGGTTGTAGTTGCTGTCGGCGACCAAGTGTCGCATCTGAAGCCAGGAGATCATGCTGTGGTCCTGGCACCGAACCGGTTTGCCACCGTCGAGCGCGTGCCAGCGTGGGCAGCACATATGATGCTACCATCTGAAGACTTTTGCGTCATGCCAACACTTCCCGTGATCTATGGCACAGCACTATATGCGCTGCACGATCGGGCTCATCTACGCGCTGGCGAGTCAATACTCATTCACAGTGGTGCCGGCGCGTTTGGAATGGCTACAATCGCACTCGCCCAGCGCATCGGAGCAGTTGTGTACACAACGGTGGGATCACCTGCGAAAAAGGACTACCTCATGCGTGAGCTGGCTTTGCCGGCAGAAAATATCTTCAACTCCAGAGACTCGTCCTTTGTCGACGGTGTCCGAGCTGCCACAAATGGCCGAGGTGTCGATGTCATTATTAACTCTCTTGTGGGCGACCTCATGCATGACAGCTGGAATTGCATAGCGGATTTTGGTCGTTTTGTCGAGGTAGGGAAAAGGGAGCTCGTCGACGCTGGAAAGCTCGACATGCGCGTCTTCCTACGCAATTGCACCTTCACAGCCTTTGACTTAACCGAATTATTCTTCCACGAGTCCCAATTCTACAGAGATATTTGGATTAAGTAAAATTGCTGCACAAGCTTCTCTCTACAGACTATCTAACTGACAATGATCTAGTAAAACGAAAGAAGCCCTGGAGCTTTATCGAAGTGGACAGGTAAAGCCTGTCCCTATTGCCACCTTTGATATTTCCAATATTTCACAGGCCTACCGATTCTTTTCTGGGAGAGATCGAATTGGAAAAGTCGTTGTATCTTTGGAAAACCCACAGAGTCTCATCTCGGTCAGTCCTGCTTCCCTTAGGATACAACATCTAACTGCCGACCACGCCTTGACTAATGGGAATTCTTGTTACAGGTCATGCCTTCTCGATACAACACCGTTCTAAAACCGGAAAAGACTTACCTTTTGATTGGTTGTCTAGGTGGTCTTGGGCGCAGTCTAAGCCGATGGATGATGAGCCGTGGCGCCCGAAACTTTGTCTTCCTCGGGCGGTCGGGCTGCGATAAGCCTGAAGCACAGGAGCTAGTATCTCGTCTTCAAGGCGCCGGTGCCAACGTTGAGGTTGTCCGTGGTGATGTGTCCAACCAGGACGATGTTGATGCCGCCGTTAATGCATGTGCTGGCCGACCTATCGGCGGTGTGGTTCAGGCTGCAATGGGTCTGAGTGAGGCTTTGTTTACACGGATGTCTCATGCGGCTTGGCACAAAGCTATCGAGCCCAAATGGCGCGGCTCCTGGAATCTCCACCGTGCCCTGGAACGTAACGGTCACGATGCAGATCTTGATTTCTTCTTACTAACATCATCTGTGAGTGGTAGTGTTGGTACTGCTACTGAGAGCAACTACTGCGCGGCCAATGGTTTCTTAGATGCCTTTGCACGCTATCGCCAGAGCCAAGGAAAGCCGGCTGTCTCCGTTGGGCTAGGTATGATCTCAGAAGTTGGTTATCTACATGAGAATCCCGACATCGAGGCGTTACTACTTCGCAAAGGCATCCAGCCCCTGAATGAGGATGAGTTCTTGAACGTCATTGACATGGCGCTTGCAGCAGAGACCCAAGTCTCTCACGTTCTTACAGGTCTTGAACCCTTCGGCCTACGCGAGCTCATCAAGAAAGGCTTTGAGGTGGAAAATGGCACAACACAAGATCCCAGAGCTGGATTTCTAGCCGCTGAACTACTCGCCAGTCAAGATACGAGTAACAAATCTACCGCCCCGGCCACAAATTTGGCCATAGCTTCTCCATGGTTCAAGGCCTTGCCCCCAAATATATCCGAGACAACCAGAGCACTGGCGTCGGAGGCAGATGCACCAACCCTACATGAAGCTATCTTGAGGTTAGCGCGAAAGCGCTTCTCGAACTTGATATTGCTGTCGCAGGATCAGATAGATGACCACAAGGCGCTACCTCATTATGGAGTGGATAGCATGATAGCTGCCGAGTACCGGACGTGGTTCTGGTCTGTGTTCAAGGTCGACGTACCGTTCTTGGATATAGTTAGTCCAAAGAAGTCATTGGATTTGTTTGCAACTTTCATCGAAGAGAGGTTATTTGATGCCGGCTCTGGAGAAGGCAACATGTAAATTATTTCAAATTCTTTTCATATGACATTTGACATATGACATATGAACCACTTCGCTAAGGCTTAACTAAATCCTGAAATCCGAATACATGTCACGAGTATGTCAATGAAGCTAAACAAATGACAGGGAAGTATGCCAATCCGCGTATGATTGCCTTCAGTCTGTTTCAAGAGCTCCTCTACTTTTCTATTCCCACAATCCGAGTTATTACAGCTGTGGCCTAAGTCTAACATGATGCTGTTTCTGGATAAGTTGAAAAAGATGTGCTATCCCACTTGACCGTATATTATGTAATTGATGGGTACTTGAGCATTGGATAAGAGTTAACAACTCTTCTGGGGAGGTTGAAATTGCTGTGCTCATGCAGCTGACGTGAGATATTAATTACATGTCCATGACTTATCGCTGACTTATTAACTCATTGATACATGTAATATCATTATTTAAGAGGGCGGAGAAACCAATGGGGGATGTTTGCAATACATAGCCCAGCCCAGCCCCTGTAAAATGCTGCACCACCTCGGGAGAGTCCTTTGATTCATGCAAACAATTGCGCCCATTAACTAGGAAGTAATGGCTGAAAGGCCATTTCGAGCTATACAGCCTTTTATCTTCTTAATGTAGGACATGGACTTGGCCAAGACCTTTCAAAGTCCAGCAGTTTCTACTCTTCGGGATGGCTGTTACGAGGGTTGGTGATACGGTCGCCATTCGTCTTTCTAGATAAAGTGAAATTTCTGTGCGATGCCTGTCTACCGCCTCACCATATGCTTATTGGCAGTGGGCATCATCGGGGAAGACTTGACAAATTGGAGGGGGTTAAAATCGCTGTGCTCCTTCGCTTACATGTCCTTCACTTATTGATTGGCCGTGGGCAATCGTTGGGTAGGACTTGCATAACAACTCTTCTGGGGAGGTTAAAATTGCTGTGTCCCGGACCGCTTTTTGCGATGCGAACTAGGGTCACATATATCCGAGCGCCTGATGCTTGGGAGATTAGTGCTACAAGCAGTCATCAAATGGTTTAATGGCAGACTCTAAGTTGTTGTGATTTCTAAGACATATTCCCGCGTGGCTAGACCAAGATTTGTGGCCTAAATTACTATAATCTCAACTTCCTGGAGAAGTTCTTAGTGTTTTAATTACTACTCTGTGAATAATTGTCTTTGTCTGCGCTTTGATGTCACGTCGCAGATTAGGCATCACATTCAAAGCCATAAACATGCCCAAGCTTCAGAATGTTTGCCATCCTTTTTCCAACCCACCCGTCGTCCGCCTCGCTTTTGGGAGATCATGATAGCACAGCAATTTCAACCTCACCAGAAGAGTTGCTATGCAGATCTTACCCAATGATTATCCACAGCGAACCGATCTACATGCTGGCTTTCCTGCGTTTCTTGCGATACGATGCCAGCTAATTGAACCACTACTTCTCCGCCTCACTTTTATTGATCATCGAGCACAGCAATTTTGACCTCACCAGAAGAGTTGTTAGACCCAGATTCACTATCTTATTATAATCTCGAGGTCCTATAGAATTTCTTAAGGTATAAACATGCCAAGGCTTCAAACTGTTTCTCAGAGTAGAATCTATATCATTAAAGCGGATGAGTGAAGTTCCCGGTAACGCCATCGTGATTTATCTCTTGCCAAATATGAAGCAACATCAAAAGAAAGATACAAGCGATGCATCCATTCAGATTCCTTCTGTAGACTTCCCGGGTTGAACATCCTTCTGGCCTGTCTGTTCTAACGACTGAAGCTTCACAAGCTCGTAGTAACGCCCCCCCAGCGTCATCAGCTCTGAGTGTGTGCCAGACTCTAATACACGTCCTTGATCGATGAAGAGAATGTTATCAGCATGTTGGATGGTGCTGAGGCGGTGCGCAACCGTTATCGTCGTTCTGCCCTTTGCCGCCCTGTCAAGAGCAACCTGAACGACCTGTTCCGACTCTGAATCTAATGCTGATGTGGCCTCATCGAGAAGAAGAATCTTGGGTGATCGAACGAGTGCTCGAGCGATGGCAATTCGTTGCTTTTGTCCAGTCGACAATAAGCCGCCACGACTCCCAACGATGGTATCAAAGCCATCCGGTAAAGAGACAACGAAGTCATAAATATTGGCTTCCCTGCATGCAATTTCAATTGACTCTTTGGACACATCTTCAGTGAGGCTTCCCATACAGATGTTCTCCCTAATAGAGCCCTGGAATAACGAAGGCTCCTGACTAACTACGGAAATATGCGAGCGATAATCGTTGATATTGATGTCAGAGATATCCTTTCCATCAATAAGGATTTGGCCGAGCACGGGATCGTAAAAGCGCTCAAGAAGAGAAATCGTCGTACTCTTGCCACAACCCGAGGAGCCTACTAGAGCAATATGTTGACCTGGTTCCGCAGTAAAGTTCAATCCTCGCAGGACGGGAATCTCTGGACGCGTAGGATAGCGGAAGTACACGTCTCGGAATTGAATATGACCTCCGGTTTGAGAAAGGCTCTCGCCGTGGTCGCCTACCGTGTCAATTAATGGCTTCGTGTCGATGAGTGCTTTCAACTCTGCAGCCGACTTCTTTGCCTTGCTCAAGTCCGGGGCCAGCGAAAAGAAGGTGCCGGCCGCGGTTGCTCCGAGGATCATGGACATGTAGCACACAAAGAACTCGAACATGCCGTATTCAAGCTTGGCGATGAGCGTGCTTCCGTACCAGAAGCCAAGGCCGTAGCAGAGATACTGGATAGACTGAGCCGCGGCGAAGATGACGCTGGACTTGGCGACTGACACGACGCTCTTCTTCTGTTGCTCTTCAAGATCTACGCGGTATTTCTCTGCAACTTGGCTCTCCCGTGTCAGAGACGCGACAGTCTTGATCGCGGAGATGTTCTCAGCCGCGAAGCCAGCCGAGTCAGCATACACGGTAGCAATGCGAGCTTGGTGCCGAGCCAGCACCCACCATCTGAAGAAGCCGCAGCCAATCGCCAACGGCACGGCGGCAAAGCAGACCAAGGCGAGCTTCCATCCGATAGCAAGGGAAAGGGCTAAGCTCCCAACCAGATTTGTGATGGAGGTGACAACTGTGCCGAGGGCGACACCGCTGAAGCCAGACACTTGGGTGGTTTCAACCGCGAGGAAGGCCGTCAAGGCTCCGGCGTTATGCTTATCGTCGTCAAAGAAGGAGACATCCTGGCGCATGAGAGTAGAGAATGTTTGTCTACGGATACGGCGGAGCAGCACCTCGGCGGCATATCCCAAGATGCAGAGCTGGATCATATGGGCGATGAACTGAGCGCCACCGAGCATCAGGTACATGAGGGACCAGAAGTTGGATTGCGAGTGAAGCATCCATCTGTCTATACCTGGGATCCCCATGAATGACAGGACCACTACCTGCTTGCCGAAGAACACTAGAGGTGTAATCAGTTAGCAAGAATTGGCCTGGAAGAGAATCAATGTTATCAACAGAGACACTTACCAGCTTGGACGGGAGTGGCTGCGCCACAAATCAGGCAGAAGAAGAAGGCGACGATGAGATAGATACGCTCTGACCTGTTGAAGCTTGCAACGAACTTGATGAGCTCCCACCAGGAATATTTGGTCTTGCTCTGGATAGTGGCGCCGGCCGTTTCTTCAACGTCCCCTGCGGATGATTCAGCCACCACAGCATCCTTTTCAGAGGACTCGGCAGCAGTGACATTGGTCTCTTTCTGTAGAGACATTTTGCGGATCACAAGATCCTCCAGCGAACTGACTTGATCATCCATATCCACAGCAGTCGACTTCTTCTGGTCTTCAAGCTGTTGCGCTTCCACGAGGGCGTGGTATGCGCCTTGCTTCTCGATCAGAGTGTCGTGGTTGCCCTGCTCCACAACAGTCCCCTTGTTCATCACAATGATATTATGTGCATTTCGGATGGTCGAGAGTCGGTGGGCGATGACGATTGTGGTGCGACCGGCCGCGGCTTTGTCGAGCGCTGCCTGGACGACACCTTCGGACTTGGTGTCGAGGGCAGAGGTAGCTTCATCGAGGAGTAAGACTACGGTAGCGATTAGTTTCTGGTAATTGACAGCAAGTCGGGGAGGTTGTAGAAAGAGGAGACGGTAGGGAACTTGCCTTTAGGGTTGGATACAATGGCGCGAGCGATGGCGATACGCTGTTTCTGACCGCCGGACAGTAGGAACCCTCTTTGTCCGACGTTGGTCTCGTATCCTTCAGGTAGCTGAGTGATGAACTCATGGGCATTCGCCTGACGGGCGGCGTCCTCGACGAGCTGCCGCTGCTTCTCCTCGTCAGCCGTCTCATGGTCGGTTCCAATAAGCCCAAACCGAATATTGTCATGAATCGAGACGGCGAAAAGCGTGGGCTCTTGGCCAACGAGGGACATTTGCTGGCGAAGCCACCTCAGGCTCAGGGTGTTGATGTTGCGGTCATCAAGGAAGACGGCACCTCCGACGGGCTCGTAGAATCTCTCAACGAGACCAACGATTGTACTCTTGCCACAGCCCGAGCTGCCGACCAGGGCAGTGACTTTGCCGGCGGGGACGTCAATTGACACGCCATCCATGACGGTGACGTTGGGGCGGGAAGGGTAGATGTGTTTGATGTTTTCCAGGCGGATGTGGCCCTGAAGGTCTGGGATCTTGTCACCCTCGTCAGCCGACGGGTCGAGGGGAGATTGGCGATCAATCGTCCTGAACATGTCCTTGGCGGCGGAGACGGCACCAATAAAGGACTGAAAGTAGGGTCCCATGGCGCTCATGTTGAAGGCGCCCATCATTACAGCCATCATCACAGTGATCATCCTGGAGATTGTCAGGTCACCTCGTGCAAGAAACGCGGACCCTTGCCAGAAGCCAAGCCCGTAGTTCCAATAGGTAATGGCCATTGACACGGCCGTCATGACAGAAATGGTGTACTTGACCTTGGTACCCCATTTCTGGACCGGCTCAAGCTTCTTATCGTACTGCTCAGTCAAGCGGCCTTGCGTCCCAAAGGCGATAGCGATGCGGACAGATGAAAAGACCTCTTCGACGAATGTTCCGCTCTCGGAGAAGGCAGACATCATAGGCACGCTGTGTTTTACCATGAATGTAGTCGCAATGCCCGCATTGAACAGCAGCGCAAAGAGGGTTGCGGACAGAATAAGTGTAAGCTTCCACGAGAAGATGAATCCAATGGCAAAGCCGGTCACAAATGTCGAGATGGCACTGATGAAGAGACCGAACTTCTCGGAGATGCCATCTTGCACGGTCGTAGCGTCGGCAGTGATCTTCGTGGTGAATTCCCCCGTGCCGAATTTATCAAAGTAGCCAATATTCTGACGTAGACAGCTCGTCAGGTACTCATAACGGATCTTGTCAGTGATGCGTTCGCCGGTGTAGATGAAGCCGACGGTGGAAATGTAGGACGCGACAAAGGTGCCGATGGCGATGTAAACGAAGTACAGCACATATCCAGCGATGGCAGATTCGAAGCCGCCCAGATCCAATGTTCCAAGGGAGAGATAATCGGCGAAGACGCCCTGCAGACCGCCAAAGATGATGGTCATGAGCGGCAGGGCGGCGCCAACAGCGGCAGCACACACGGCCGAGACGATCATGATGAGGATGTCCATCCTGGTGGCGTAGCGGAAGAACGTCGAGACGCCATAGCTCTGGTCAGATATGTCAATCTGCCGTTTGAGGATGGCAATTTCATCGTTGGGGAGGCCATCAAATGGGTCAGGTGGCTCGGCCTCGTCTGCGGTTGGAGAGCCTGGAGGACCTTGAACATTTTGGGCGGCGCTGTCTGCTGTCGGGGAAGGCATTTTCGCAGGTTGATCGCCTATTTTTTGTGTGTCGCGAGTGACGACAACAGGTCCAGGCTGAGTTTCTGCCGGCGAGGAAGGCCTGGTGTTTTTCTTTCTATCATCATCTGCCATACTGGTCCTCGATGCGATTGACAGTTCTTGAGAAACGGAAGGGTCCATTACTGTTGGCACAGGAAGAGCCGCCGAACTCTCTGATTTGATGTTAGGCTCTGATTTACCCAAGTCACCTCTATCAGTAACGCCTACGTCTTGGCCACTGGTCAGATCGGCGCCGCCATCGTGTCTGTTGGGCGTTATGGAATGCGTGGGCTCGGCGCTGGCGTTACACCTCAAATCTACTGGCTTAGGCTCGGCAGTGGGTTCACCATGATGCTCTATTGGGTGAGTCAAAGGTGCCTTTCCAGTGTCGTGTTGAGTCGTCGGGCCGACGAGAGTATTGCCAACGTTCTCCTCGTCGCCAGTAGCTCGTCCATTCTCCTCCGGCACCATGTTGCCTCAATCCAATGCCGGCAAACTCCTCCGGCCAAGGTTGGGCTCGGTCAGGTGATCCTCTTTGAGGCTGGCTGGGCAGAAATTGCAAAAGAACTGTCTCAGTGTGATGGAGAGTCAGGACAAAACCTGGTTTCACAAATTGCCCTCGGAGGATAAAATGTCGTAGATCTACAATGGTTCAGTTCGATGCGGAGCTCATCCTGTGCAGATAATTCGACGCACAACAGTCAAGACATGTTCTTCTTGTGCAGGTGAGAATAGCACGGGAGCAAAGTCTAGTTGAGCGGACCGTAAGACAGGGGGCACAGTCCTGACTGGACAGGGGCTGACTGGTAAGCATTCCCCGGAATCTGTTGGCAGACCAGGTACCCTCGTTCAGGCAAGGCTCTGTAGACCTGCCATTACGGCACGCTTCCGACCCGTCACACACCATATGGCCTGCTTTGGAGCCCTCGCAGTGGACAACAGCAGCTGGATGTACATGAAGCGGCAAGGCGTAAAGGCACGTCCATCAAAAGTCCTTCCCCACAATGTAGCCCCTGCTCCGAGACTCTGCCCGAGAAGAGACATGAGAAAACACGAATCACTTTTGGATCAGCCGACAGACAGCAAGATGACGGCCAGAGGTCCCCCAACTGCCGGTGTTCCGTTCTCGACCTGCATGAGCAGCTATCAGGACCGATTGCGTCTCCATACCTTCCGCGTCAAGTAGTGAGCACTGTGGTAGGTAGATAGCATACTTTCACATTTCTCGTGACACTCAAAGTAGACTTCCATCATCCCTGTCGGTTGGGGACCCTTGCCGCACTACTTGACCCTCTTATGCCGGATATAGCTATGATCTGCATCCACGGGGAGGCGAGAATTACGGTAGTGGACAAGCAGAGAAAGCCACCGTTTCTTATCATCCTGCAATGGCGTGAGTGAAGGGCAAGAACTGATTCACCGGCTGAGTCCCTGCTACTGCAGCATGCAGCCGCTCAAAAGATCGCCTCCCGTGGTAGTTTGTACGTAATAACTAAGGCCTCCTACCAGTTTCAGCCTCGAGTTTACTCCAGTTACCGCCCGGCGCCAACTTCACCCGTCTTACACGCGCCAGGACAGGGATCAACGCGTGGCCGTTCGAGCTGTTATCCAGCCTTCCACTCTCTACAGCCCTGATGGTCAGGGGTGGCGATTAATGTCTGGCCTGTGTTGTGACCAATAATCAGGAGTACTTCTTTTTTAAGTATATTTGTATGCTGGAGTGAGTACCTATGGTCAATTTATTTTGTCTATCCTATTCTGTCAAAAGAGGAGTGAGAGGGCGGCCAAAACGGCAACCTATTGAGGTCTTGAATAACCCAATTTGTTGTTGCAAAGAGGTAAATTGCCGCCTTTCTCACGCATTCACCTAGTCTTAGTAATGATAAAAATTTCGTGTGTTATAAAGGCCACCTCAGCGACTAAAATAGACATAAGTAAGCACTGGACAATACCACGGCGCTTATGATCATTCCCGCGACGGTTGAAGAGGCACAGGACCTGTATAGGGTAGGTCTATATTGAGCTGAAAACACGAGTGACTCTTGCAGGGATCAGACCAACAGATCCATGATCATCCATCCCAACGCTTATTAGGCGCGGCGGACGAAAAACAGCCCGTCGAGAAGATCGCCCGTCGCTCCACTCAGGAACAGGCATCTTCCGGGATGTTTATTCCATGATCCCAGCTCGTGTCGGAAGCGGAGGGACAGCTTGCCCACCCATCCCGCTGCTTCTGACCTCATTCTTATTTTGGCGGCAGCGTTGGGCACTTGTCATGCCACTGGAATGTTCACTCGTGTCCCGCATTCCATCTCACAATACGAGCTTAGACAGACATGCCTAGCCTGTGGCAGATCAGCCTGGAGGCGGACAGTTGAGACAGCTTGTGGAGGATCTGTTCCGATCTAACGCACGCCCCGCCGTGGCTGGGTGAGAATGTCGCTGGTTTCCCTACTAACCTCGCCCGTGTGAAAGGGAGGAGGCGTGTATGGTTGGTTCAGGTTCATTGGGTTGCTCGCCTAGCATGAACTGGACCCCTGCACTCTCTTACTCCCTCAGAGGCTCAGGCAGAGGCGGAAGGTCAGAAGGCCAGATCGCAGGTTGCATTTACGGTAAGATCTTGGCATTCACCGTAGCATTGCACCGTCAGGGTCGGAATAAGATGAGGAAATTTTCACTTGATTACTTACTTTATTGTGATCTCCCTGGAGCCTCCGGCAGCTGGCTCATCTGCTCCATGCCGTCATTTGAAGCTCGCCTAAACAATAAGCTCGGCCGGAGGAATACGCACACATTGCTTATAGGGCCGCTGTGGCAAGGTCCACATTTCTGGTAGGACCACTGGGCAACTGGCACGGGTTATGCGCATGGGGAGAGCTGAAAGAGAACACTGGAGTCAACCGCATGCGGTGGTTGGAGTTGTGTGATGCCTTTCGTCTGAAACTGGGTAGTTCGTGCCGGGTTCTAGGTAGAGCAATGGTGGGAAAGGAGAGAAGATGTTCGTCATGCAAGGGTCTAAGGGGCGTTGTGGCGGGCTCTCCCGCGTCGAAGGGCCGATCATCATGCATGTCTGACCGAGTTGCTGCAATACTCGGAACATCGGAAGTTAGGTCGAGCCTTCATGATACACCACATTGCCATTGACGGGTGTGCCTGTTGTGGTACTCTATGCTGTATGCTGTACCTGTGTGCAAGCCCGTCTTTCAGCTCCCGTCCATTGAAGGCCCGATCTTACCTTGCCTCCCGAGATTGTGAATTCTCATGTACCTGTTGGGACTATACCAGGATGAGCCACCTGCCCGAGCTTTGAATCATACGGCCGGGATTGATTGTTCATCATAGAGATTCCGAGAGACTGTCTCATGCTTCTTTGTCTCCTGTTGCCCGACCCCGTCTATGCAAAGATAACAGCGTAGAGACACGAGGAAGCAGTATTTTCCCGACACCACGGACTTTCTTGCCTTATTGAGCCTTTCTCATTAACGCTCTAACATACTAAGGGAAGAAAGAAACAAAATCGACTTAGATAAAACTTACATACGTGAAGCTTCTCCCGACGAGGCTTACACTTCTGCCGCCAACGGCAACCAGCATAATCGAAACACATTGGAACACACCAGAACTCAGAAAAAAACGCCCAAAGAAATCAAGATGGGTGTCACCGAGCTTATTGAGGCTCAGAAGTACTGGCGCACCCACCTGGCAGGTGCCAAAGTGGCTGCATTCCCTCCCCAAGACCTGCCATGTGAGACTGGTGGGCGATCCTACAGCCACGATATCGGGTTTTCATTCAAGGAAAATGAATCCTACACCAGAAATACGGCCCTACGAGCCGCCTGGGCTGTAGTCATCGGACGGTATTCTGAATCGGAGGACTTTACCATTGGTGTTTCGGCTTGCTCCTCCGGCGATGCCATCCCCATGCGCTTTAGATGGCGGAAAGATGATACCGTTTCTGACATTCTGAGAGACATTCAATTGGAGATGGATCAAATGGCCCAATATGAGCAGTATGGACTTGAGAGTATCGCGCAAGTGAGCAAGGATGCCCAGAGCGCTTGCGACTTTACCAGTTTGATGGCCATCCGGACCAGAGATGTGCAGGCCAAGGAGGAATGTAATCTCAAGTACGCGCTGGAAGCTCGAATTCTCATACGCGAGGACCGTGCCACTATCACGTTGGCATCTGGGGTCCTTTCCGAAGTGACGCTTGAGGCGCTTGCACATCAATTCAGCCACATGGTTGATGGCATCTTGTCCAATCCGGATGCCAAGCTGAGTGAAATCTCAATTGCCGGTCCTTGGGATCTAACCAAGGCCAAAAAATGGAATCCCCACCCGGCTCCGTCAGTACAGGGCTGCGTACATGACTTCATCTCGGATAGAGCAGCCAAAATACCCAATCATGAGGCCGTATACTCATCGGAAGGGAGCTTGACTTACAAGGAACTGGAGGATCTGTCTACCTGTCTCAGCCACCACCTGAAGTCCCTGGGCGTGGGATCAGAGAGCATTGTACCCTATTGTTTTGAGAAGTCAATTTGGGCTATTGTTGCAATGCTTGGCATCTTGAAGGCAGGAGGCGCCTTTGTTCCCCTGGATCCTTCACACCCTCCCAGCCGGCGGAGGGCGATCATTGAGGAGACCGGCGCCCAAACGGTTATCACGTCGCCCGCCTCTGCAGCCACGTGTCGAGACATGGCCCCGGTACTCATCGAGCTGGATCAGGCACTCCTCGACGGTTTGTACGACAGGCATGTTTCAGATGAACTTCCCCAGGTTTCCCCGCGCGACGCAGCATACATTCTTTTCACATCTGGCTCTACAGGCAAGCAGAAAGCCATTGTCGTGGAGCACTCCGCCCTCTCCGGAAGTCTTCTCGGCTTCAACCGGGCCTATGGCCTGGATGGGGAGTCGCGAGTGCTTCAATTTTCAAGTTTTGCTTTCGATGTGAGCTTGAGCGAGGTGTTGGAGACTCTGGTTTTTGGAGGGACTGTTTGCATGCCATCGGATAGACAGAGAATAGAGTCTCTCCCCCAATTTATTCAAGATGCTAAAGTGAACACGGCCATGCTCACGTCGTCATACCTCAAGGCCTTGAAGCCATCAGATGTGCCCTCCATCCGCATGTTGTTGCTCGTCGGCGAGGCTCCCACAAGAGACACCATCCAGACGTGGTTCCCGCATACGCGACTCATTAATGCATATGGCCCGTCTGAGGTGTCAATCTTCATCGGTTCATATGAGTATCAGTCCCCTCATGACCAACCGACCAACGTCGGCCGAGGCTTCAGCGGCAACATGTGGATTGTGGAGCCTGAGAATCACAATATGATCGCCCCTGTTGGTTGCATTGGCGAGATTCTGATTGAGCGTGATATGGCTCGTGGATATCTGAACAACAAGGAACGGACAGATGCCGCTTTTATTCGTCAAGTGGACTTCCTGGACGTGACGTCGATGGATGCGGCAGTCAAGTTCCACAAGTCCGGTGACCTGGCACGGTATAACCCTGACGGAACTATTGAGTACCTCGGCCGTCGTGATACTCAGACCAAATTAAGAGGATATCGCATTGAGCTAGGAGAGATAGAGTATAATATTCAACGCTGCCTCGGAAACGTTGAGTATGTGGCTGCTGATGTGGTCACAATGGGCTCACAGCCTACTCTTGTTGCGTTCCTGAGCTTCACGGATGAGGGTCACAACGTCGAAACCGGAGGTCACGACCTTCCGGAGAACTTTGTTATTCCATCTGAAGGTCTCAAGGAGCGGTTCGCTGCTTTGACTGGCGAACTGAAGGATGTGCTACCTCACTATATGGTTCCCACGATGTTCTTCTCTCTCAACAAGATGCCATTGAATAACTCTCTTAAGCTTGATCGTGGTAGACTGAAGAACTTCTTTGCAGATTTGGACCAAGAACAACTGGCTCTCTTTTCGCTCACCAAAAGGGCGAAACACGAGCCAACGACTGCCATGGAATACAGACTTCGGTCTCTCTGGGCGCAGGTATTTGCGATTGAAGAAGAGCAGATCGCTAAGACGGATGATTTCTTCCAGATTGGTGGAAATTCACTGCTTGCAATTGAACTCATGTCTTTGGCCCAAAAACAGAACCTTGCTCTGTCAGTGGCGGACGTGTTCCAGCACTCCAGGCTGGACGAGCTCGCATCGATCACTGTTGAGCAAGCCATGGACACATATGACGCTCTTCCATTTAGCATGCTCTCTCTTCCCAAAGCAGACCTACTATCGGAGACACAGAAATACGATCTAAGTGATGTGGCCGTGGTTGAGGATGCTTTCCAAGCCACTCCAATTCAGGAGGCCTTGATGGCACTTACTGTCCGTCAGCCTGGCTCATATCTGGATCACCTTCTGTTTGAGATCAGTGATGTTACAGATATTGCTAGGTTTAAGACCGCCTGGGATCAAACGGTCCAGATGTGCGGCAACCTGCGAACCAGAATCTTCCACCATCAAGGCGAAACTATGCAAGTCATTGTGCAGAATGACAAAACCTGGGACTTGGCCACGGGAGCCTCGATGCGTGAGTTTAGAAAGAGCATTGAGAGACAGCCTATGGGATATGGCACAAGGCTTTGCCGTTATGCTGTTGTGAAGGAATCAGGAAAGCACTACTTCGCCCTCGCCATCCACCATGCCGTGTACGATGGCTGGACTATGAACGTAATGCTCCGAACGTTAGTTCAGAACTACTTCGGACATGCTACTTCTGTTCATCCATATTCCAGGTTTGTTAAGTACACCATGGCTGTTGGCGAGGAGGCCCAGCGTAGCTACTGGGAGAAGTATCTTTCGGGCGTGCCACACACCCCCTTTCCTCACAACAGTACATCGGCAGAGTGCAAGACGCAGACGAGTGTCAAGGCCCTTAGATTCCCAAGGTCAACCAGCAGTACAGTCACTATGGCTACCATCATACGTGCTGCCTGGGCCATTATTGTTGGAAGGCACTGCGATACAGACGATGTTGTGTTTGGTATGACAATGTCTGGCCGGCAGGCACCTGTTCCTGGTATTGGCGATATTCCGGGTGTAGCTATTGCTACTCTTCCAATACGTACTCGCCTTGATAGGACCAAACCAGTTTCTCAGTATCTTCGCGATATTCAGGCTGAAGGCTCCGAGATGGTTCCATTCGAGCAGTATGGTCTCCAGAAGATTGCCAGAATCAACTCCGAGACGCAGGAGGCTAGCAAGTTCCAGAACCTGCTCGTAATTCAACCGTTTTCGGTCTTGGACGCTCTTTCGGAATCATCTGAGGGTATTCTGCGACCCATCGAACGCATTGGAGATACGGAGTATGCCACCATGGAAGGCTACTTCAATTTTCCACTTGTTGTGCAATGCTACATCTCCGATCGCGAGTCGCATCTCCATGTGACTTATGACTCAAGCGTTATTTCCTCCACCAATGTCGATGCCCTTACTGAGCAGTTGAACCACGTCATTCATCAACTATTGACAGAGAATAATAAGGCCTTGGAAGCCGACGAAACTACGCTTGGAGACATCTCAGTCAGCGGTCAATGGGATCTTGAACGCGCTGTGGAAGCAAACTCTGTTACGCCAACCGTAATCGAGAAGTGCGCTCATGAAATCATCGAGGAGCGAGCGCAGGCAACTCCTGACGCGCTTGCCATTGTGGCCTGGGATGGAAAGTTTACCTACGGGGAGTTTGACAAAGCAGCTAACAGACTGGCTCATCACCTTGTTTATGTCATGGGTGTAAAGACCGGCGACTTTGTCCATACATGCTTTGAACACTGCGTTTGGCATTTCATTTCGTTCCTAGCTATCAACAAGGCTGGCGCTGCTTGGGTTCCTCTTGATCCAGCCCACCCCAAGGCCCGTTTAGCTCAGATCATCTCTCAGACTGGCGCCACCCTTGCGCTGACATCTGAGACAAACGAGGCGCTCTGTAAGCAGGTCATCGATCAAACCCTTGTGATATCCAGAGACTTTTATAATGATCTTAAATCCACCCATGATGATAAGCTGGGTAAGCCCAAGGTGGAAGTGACACCCAGCCACCCAGCTTATGTGCTCTTCACATCTGGAAGCACGGGTACTCCGAAGGGCTTCGTAATTGAACACCGGTCGCTCTCTAGCGGCCAAACCAGGGCAGGGAAGTGGCTCGGAGTCACGCCCAATGTCCGCATTCTCCAGTTTGCGTCGTTGGTCTTCGATCTGTCAATTGGAGAAATTTTCACAGCTCTGTTCCATGGTGCTTCTATTGCCGTACCTTCTGAGGAGACTCGTATGAATAGCATCAAGGACTTCATTCGAGACTATAACGTCACATGGGCATACCTCACTCCATCGTTCACCCGGTTTCTCAGCGCCGAAGAGCTACCCAACCTTGAGCTGCTGATGCTCGCTGGCGAGGCTATCCCTCGCGACGTATTTGAGAATTGGGTTGGCAAGCTCCGCTTAATAAATGCTTGGGGCCCTGCGGAGGCCTGCTGCTTTGCATCCTTCCACGAATGGACATCATCAGACGAGTCGTCTTTGACGATTGGCCGGCCTGTTGGTACATATTGCTGGATTGTTGATCCTAACGATCCTCAGCGCCTTGCGCCATTCGGAAGTGCTGGCGAAGTCGTGATTCAAAGTCCTCAGCTCTTGAGGGAATATCTATCGGATCCTGCCAAAACAAAGTCTGCCACAGTGACTGAGCTGCCCCTGTGGGCACCGAAGCGGGATCAGCCCTACCTCAACCGCTTCTTCAAGACGGGCGATCTTTGTTCTTATAACCCTGATGGCACGCTCGAGTTTATCTCGCGAAAAGATACCCAGATCAAGATTCGCGGCCTTCGAGTAGAGCTGGGAGAGGTTGAGCATCATGTGCAGGAGAAGCTCTCAGTGGCCCGGCAGTCGGCTGTGGATGTTTTCAAAGGAGAGAAGGGTTCCAGCCTGGTTGCATATTTCTCTCTGACTGATGACACTAGTCCAGCAACTGATGATGAAGATATCTTCTTACCTCTCACACATGAACTGCAAGGACATATCATCTCGTTAATTAGCCAGCTATCCATCGAATTGCCGGGTTACATGATTCCAGATCTTTTCATTCATTGCAGCAAGCTGCCGTCAAACATCTCTACCAAATTGGATAGGAAGGCACTGAAGAAGAGAACTGCTGCCTTAACGAGGGACCAGTTGGCTCACTATGCTCTTGTCGATAGCAACAAGCGACCTCCTGAGACGGAGATTGAATCCAGCCTCCAGTTGATCTGGGCAGAGCTACTCAATCTGGACCGGGAGGCAATTGGTCGCGACGATAGCTTCCTCCGCATTGGTGGTGACTCGATCATGGCAGTGTACCTTGTCGCTGCAGCGCGCGATATTGGCCTGTACCTCACTGTGAAGACCATTTTCAGTGATCCTCGCCTTTCGAGCGTGGCTGCCAATTGTGAAGCGAAGGACTCATCTAGTGTGCCTGACTGGAGTAATGTGAAGCCATTCTCACTTATCGAGGCTGCTAGCCGTGAAGAAGTTGTTGCTTCTGTCAGGACACAGAGTGACTTGTCTCCAGAGCAGGAGGTTGAAGATGTCTACCCCTCTACACCCTTGCAACAAGGTCTGATGGCTTTGTCCGTTAAGCAGCCTGGGTCATATATTGCGAAGTGGGTTCACCGGCTGTCTGACGATGTTGATGTCGCATCCTTCAAGACTGCCTGGGAGAAAACCGTTGAGGAATGTCCCAACTTGCGTACACGTATGATAAATACGTTGGATACTACCCTTCAAGCGATTGTGACCAATGATATTTCATGGGAGTCTACCTCTGGAATGGACCTCGGCGCATTTATGAAGTTTGCTGGGCAAACGGAAATGACCTTTGGATCCAGACTTCACAGGTACGCCTTGGTAGAGGAAGGGAATGGCGATCGCTATTTTGTCTGGGTCGCGCATCATGCTATTTACGATGGATGGACCATGCGCTTGATCTTCAGCATGCTCGCCGACAACTATATGGGCATAGATTCACTGAAAATCAACCCGTACTCATCCTTCATCAAGTACACTGAAAGTCTAGATATCGACTCCGCCAAAATGTTCTGGGGCTCTCAATTGGAGGGTGCGAAACATGCACCCTACCCGCAGGTTCCTGTCTCGAGGAGCTCTGACTCTGAGCGAACCTTCCGGCTCTTGCGAAAGAACATGGAATTTCCGTCGCTTACCGACACTTCGATTACGAAAGCTACTATCCTTCGAGCTGCTTGGGCTGTTGTCTTGGGACGTTACTGTGATACCGAAGATATTTGCTTTGGAACGACCGTGTCTGGTCGCCACGCCCCTGTGCCTGGCGTGGGTGAAATGCCCGGACCGATGATTTCTACACTTCCTGTGCATATAGTCATGGACAGCGAGAAGTCTGTATCCTCATTCCTTTACGATATTCAGAATCAAGCGGCCGAGATGGTTGCGTACGAGCAGTTCGGTTTGCAAAACATTGGCAAACTGGATATTTCCATTCAAGAAGCTTGTAATTTCTCCAGTCTTCTCGTTATTCAGCCTTTCGAACAAATGGGTGCCATTGGAACCAACTCGGATGCAATTCTTCAGCTGGATGCTTCCGCAAAACATGGAACTGAGGATACCCTGCAAGGCTACTTTAGTTATCCGCTGGTTGTTCAGTGCGAGCCATACGAAGATCAGTTGGATCTTATCTTGACGTTCGATTCTAACATTGTGAAGCAAGAAGATATGGAGCGTCTCTCGAATCATTTTCAACATGTGGTGAAACAGTTACTAGCCCAGGATAACCGAAGACTTGGTGATATCTCAGTCTCATCCCCGTGGGACCTTGACCAGGCCGTTAAGTTCAACGGAGAGGTCCCTCAAGTAGTAGAAAGCACACTTCATGAGATGATTGAAGATCAGGTCCGAATTAGGCCACATGAGTCTGCTATCGTGGCCTGGGATCGACAATTGACATATTCAGAGCTTGATGTCTTAGCGAACAAACTGGCTCGAACGCTGAGAGATACCTACACGGTACAAATCGGAGACTTCGTCCCGGTGTGCTTTGAAAAGTCTGCCTGGCACTTTGTTTCTATTCTTGCAATAATGAAGTGCGGAGCTGCTTGGGTGCCTCTTGACCCTGGATATCCTCTGGAGCGTATGAGGAACATTGTGCATCAAACGAAAGCAAAGATTATTCTAGCTTCGCCCACTAACCTGGCGACCTGCAAAAAGCTTGTTGGAGAGGTTCTAGAAGTATCGGCAAGCCTGGAGAGGACTTCCCAAGAGCTTGGGCTCTCTGGCGAAGCACTGAATGTCGAAGTTCTCCCTGACCACGCCGCATATGTACTCTTCACATCAGGAAGTACAGGCGTGCCAAAGGGACTCGTAATGCAGCATGCAGCGGTATGCAGTGCCCAGCGAGCGATTGCGGAGAGACTTGGACTCGAGCCAGCCGCAAGGATGCTTCAATTTGCCTCATTCGTTTTTGACCTGTCGATTGGTGAGATCTTTGCACCCCTGATAACAGGAGCTTCTCTTTGTATTCCCTCAGAGCACGACCGACTCAATGACCTGGCTGGCTTTATCTCTACGACACGAGCTACTTGGAGTTTCCTTACACCATCTTTCGCTAGAACCCTCAAGCCGGAGATGGTGCCGTCTCTTGAACTTTTGTTGTTTGCAGGAGAAGCCGTTCCCCGAGACGTTTTTGAAGTGTGGGTAGGGAAGGTCAGGCTCTGGAATGGATGGGGGCCAGCTGAGACGTGCTGTTTTAGTACGCTTCATGAGTGGCATTCTGATAAAGAATCTCCTCTTACAATAGGCCGCCCGGTTGGGTCTTTCTGCTGGATAGTTGATCCTGAAAACCCACAAAGGTTAGCTCCTCTAGGCACTGCAGGCGAAGTGGTTATTCAAGGCCCTACACTACTACAAGAGTACCTTGCAGACAGAGCTAAGACTGATGCGACTACCGTTCGTTTGTTACCTATCTGGGCTCCTTCCTCCACTGTTCCTCGCTTCGATAGGTTCTTCAAGTCTGGGGATTTGGGCTTCTATAACGACGACGGCACTATTGAGTTTTTAACTCGAAAAGACACACAAGTCAAGATTAGGGGACTTAGGGTTGAACTGAGCGAAGTCGAGCACCAGATCAAGTCCCATCTTTCAGATGCCTCCCAGGTTGCGGTTGACGTCTTCCAAGGAGCAGCGGGCGCGAACCTGGTGGCTTATATCTGCTTTACCAACGCAACTCGCACAGCTGAACCTTCTAGTGAGGACATGTTCGTCCCTATCCAACCGAGCATCCAACAACAGATCTCTATCATGCTCAGCAAGCTTGCTGTTACCCTTCCGCGATATATGGTTCCGACAATGGCTATAACTTGTAACTATATGCCATTTGTGACATCTTCAAAGCTTGACAGGAAGAGGTTACGAGAAGAAACTGCCAAGCTTAACATTGAGCAGTTGAACCACTACTCACTAATTGATGCAGAGAAGCGGGAACCACAGACACCTACTGAAGTCAGGCTCCAAGAGTTGTGGGCAAAGAACCTGAAGATCCCGGCTGAATCAATCGGTCGGGATGACAGCTTCCTTCGTATTGGTGGTGACTCAATTTCGGCCATCCTCTTCGTCAGCGCTGCACGAGAGAATGGAATGATGATTCAAGTGAAGGATATTTTTGACGATCCGAGGCTGTCCGCCGTGGCAGAGAAGGTTGTTGAAATCCAGGCGACAGATAACTCTAGACCGCCTACGCCTTTTAGCCTACTTCACATTTCGAAGGAATTGGTTGATGAAGCTATTCTCAAAATCAACGAGCTCCCTGCTTCTGCAAGCATTTCCGACGCTTACCCCTGCACTGCTTTGCAGGCGGGCTTGATGGCACTTTCACTCACGCAGCCAATGTCTTATGTCGCTCGATACGTACACCGCATCCCAGGCTCAGTGGACATATCACAGCTTCGAGAGGCTTGGGAGAAGACAGTGAGACTTTGCAGCAATCTGAGAACTCGTATTGTTCTTGTCTCGGGAATGAGTATCCAGGTTGTGGTTGAAAAAGATTCGATTTGGGAGTCGGAAACCACAAGCAGCCTTGACTCATTCATGGCCGAGAGCAAGCAGACGACGATGACATACGGCTCTAAGCTCTGCCGCGCAGCGCTCATCCAGCAGGCGAATGGAGAGAATTATTTTGCTTGGGCTGTTCATCACTCAGTCTCGGACGGTTTTACTCTCAGAATGGTCATGGAAACCTTTTATTCTTTGTATAGCAAGACCCCAGGACCTCAGTTGAGATCGTACTCGTCCTTCATCCAGCATGTTTCCAGCATTGATCATGAGGTTGCTGTCAAATATTGGAGGGACCAACTTGAAAGTGTGAGGCCGCCCTCTTTCCCTGCCAAGCAGAAGCTTTCAGGAAGTAAGACAACCAGAGTCCTATATAAGGATGTCAACTTCACGCGATCCGACTTGTCTGTGACACAGGCTACTCTTATTCGCGCCGCATGGGCTATCGTGCTTAGCAGATACAGTGATACACCTGACATTTGCTTTGGAGCAACTATTTCAGGGCGCCAGGCACCGGTAGATGGTATTACCAACATGCCTGGCCTCGCAATTGCGACGGTTCCTGTCCGTGTGCAGGTCGACAACGATAGACAGATCAATGACTTCCTTCACACCGTTCAAAAGCAAGCCGCCGAGATGACTGCTTATGAGCAATTTGGATTGCAAAACATCTCAAAGTTAGGGAGAGATGCCCAGGAGGCTTGCGATTTTACAAGTCTCCTTGTCGTCCAGCCCTATGAGCAGATGTTTGGAAATATGAGCAACGAATTCATTTTTGGACCCGATAATGAGGTCTATAGCACTGAGGACGACATGGAAGGATATTTCAACTATCCTCTTGTAACGATTGCAAACATCATGCCTGATAAAATCAAATTGCAGTTCGTATATGATGCAGAGGTCATCAGTCCAGCACAGATGGACGCTCTCTCACAGCACTTTGATCATGTAACCCAGCAGATTCTTCAGCCAGGAACTAAGAGTCTTGGTTCTGTCTCCGTTTCGGGACCGTGGGATCTCCAAAGAGCGAAGGGGTGGAATCCAAACCAACCACGATCAATTCGAGCTTGCATTCATCACCTTATTTCCCAACGTGCTTCACAGGATCCTACACAAGAAGCCATATACTCATCAGAAGGCAGTCTCACATTTGGAGAGCTCGATAGCCTTTCCAATACTTTTGCTCGCTATCTCGTCTCACACGGAGTGGAGCTGGAGACTATTGTTGCATTCTGCTTTGAAAAATCCATTTGGACTATTATCGCAATGCTTGGTATCCTAAAAGCCGGTGGTACATTCGTGGCTCTCGACCCTGCTCAGCCAGAACAGCGCAGGAGAACTATCATTCAGGAGACAGGCTCCAAGTACATTGTGACCTCGCCCAAGCTAGCTCGTATATGTGAAGGCATGGTGCCGAATGTTATTGAGCTTTCGCTTTCTTTCCTCGAAAGACTTCCTAGGCTCACCGAGTCAGCAAAGAAGATTGCATTGCCCCAGTCTTCTCCTGATCACACCGCATACATCATCTTCACATCTGGTTCCACAGGAACACCCAAGGGCATCATCGTGAAACACTCATCTGTCTGCACTTATGTGTTAGGTGCTGATCGCATATACGCATTAGACAGCAACACACGAATGCTACAGTTCTCCAATTACGTGTTTGATGTCAGCATGGGAGAAATCCTCGAGACTTTGGCTATGGGCGGAACAATCTGCACTCCATCGGAACAGGAGCGCCTGGAGTCTCTACCTCGATTCATGGAGAAGGCCAAGGTAAACACAGCCATGCTTACACCATCCTATATTAAGACAATGGAACCGGTAGACGTACCTTCTCTCAAGCTCTTGGTCACTACCGGAGAACCATCGACTAGGGATATTGTGAAGAATTGGCAGCCTCATGTGAGGCTTATCAATTCGTATGGGCCCGCGGAGGTAACCATCAATGTTGGTGCTTATGAGTACCAGTCGCCCGAGGACCAAGTCACTAACATAGGCCGCGCTTGGGGAGGTCACATGTGGGTTGTTGAACCGGACAATCATAACAGAATTGCTCCAATCGGTTGTATCGGCGAGATTCTGATTCAAAGAGATATCTCACAGGGCTATCTCAACAACGCAGAGAAGGCGAGTCAAAACTACATTAAAGCTGTTGACTTCCTATCTGTGGAGGACCCATCCGTTAAGTTCTATAAGTCTGGGGACTTGGGACGATATAATATGGATGGAACTGTTGAGATTATTGGCCGTCGCGATACCCAGGCCAAGCTTCGTGGTCAGCGTTTGGAACTTGGCGAGATCGAGTATCATATCAGGCAACAGTATGATGACATTGAGCTTGTGGCCGCTGACGTGATGCCTGTCAGATCCCGTGCAACCCTGGTTGCATTCGTAAGTTTCAAACCCGGGTTCGATTCGTTCCAGCCATCAGAGCTTCCTTTGCCGTTCATGCAGCCAAGCGAAAGCTTGATGCATAGATTGAACGCGCTTGTCGAGAGTTTGCGAGCTATTCTCCCAGGATACATGGTTCCTTCTTTTTTCATGACTCTTGATTCGATGCCCCTGAACACATCGTCGAAACTGGACCGCAAGCGGGTGAAAATGCTCGCATCGGCCTTGAACCAGGAGCAAATGGACCTTTACTCTCTCGAAAATGCCGAAAAGATCCAAGCAACCACGAGCAGAGAGTTGCGGCTGCGGGCTTTGTGGTCCCAAATTTTGGAACTAGACGAAGAGAGTATTGGAAAGAGGGACAACTTCTTCCAAAATGGAGGTAGCTCCATCTTAGCTATTCAACTGATGTCTCTTGCCCAGAGGCATGGCATCTTATTATCTGTTGCCAGTGTTTTCGCACACCCAAGTCTTGAAGAAATGGCATTAAGTATGAAGGAGGAGCAAGCCTCGGAGACTGCTACCATTCAACCGTTCAGTATGCTGCCATTAGCCGAGGGGATTGTGAAGAGTGAAGTCCAAAGCCAAAGTGAGATATCTTCACTTGTGGAGTTTGAAGACATGATGCCAACCACGTCGCTTCAAGAAGGGCTTATGGCACTTAACCTGAAGCAATTTTCCTCTTACACTGCATATATTCCTTTCCGGATTGCCGAATCAGTCAACATCGACAAACTCAAAGCTGCGTGGGAGCAAACTGTGCAGATCTGCACTAATCTGCGGACAAGGATCTTTCATGTTCAAGGACACACTCTTCAAGCCATTGTCAAGGAGCAGGTGATCTGGGAAGAATGTGAAGACTCCTCACTGCGAGGGTTTAAGAAACATATTGAGTCTAAGCCTATGGGCTACGGATCAAGACTCTGTAGATACGCTATTGTTAACGACAACGGGCATTCCTATTTCGCGCTGGCTATCCATCATGCTGTGTACGATGGGTGGAGCTTAGGTTTAGTTTTACGGACCGTTCTGAACCTTTATCTTGGAACTGAAGCCCCGACTATTCAGCCATACTCTGGCTTCATTTCGTACATCAGCCAGCTGGACGAGGACAGCATGTACAATTACTGGAGAGAATACCTCCAGGGCTCGGTACAAGCCTCCTTCCCCGCCAAAAAGGCCAACGGACCGAGCGAGTCTCGCACCTGTATCAAACCAATCACGTTCCCTGAATCCACGGACAATACGATCACGAGGGCCACGATCGTACGAGCCGCATGGGCCATAATACTTAGCAAGTACTGTGAAACTGACGATGTTACGTTCGGAATGACACTTTCGGGGCGTCAGGCCACAGTTCCTGGTGTGATAGAAATGGCTGGTTTGACTATCACCACAGTCCCTATCCGGGTCCAGATTGAGAATAAGAGACGCGTCTCCGAATTCCTACACGATATCCAGACTAAAGCTTCGGCTATGATTCCATACGAACAATATGGATTGCAGAGAATCTCAAAGACAAGCCCAGAAGCTCAACAGGCTTGCGATTTCAGAAGTCTGCTTGTTGTTCAGCCCTTCTCCGCGCTTGATGCAATGGACGAAACTTCAGAAGAGATCCTAGAGCGATCAAATGACCCTGATCTTGAGGACTTTTTCAACTATCCTCTTGTGATTCAATGCGAGATGTCTGACTCTAAGGCCGAGTTGCACATTACGCACGATTCCCAAGTTATCGATAGTGGCCGGATTGATGCCCTCTCTGTCCATTTCCAGAATGTCGTCAACCAGTTATTGCCAGAGAGTCAAAACGACATTGAAGACGTAGATCTCACTTCTTCTTGGGACTTTGAGAAAGCTTTGGAATGGAATGGAAACCCGGCAAAAACGGCACACACGTGCTGGCACGAAGTCTTCCGAGCTAATGCCAGATCCTATCCTCACGATGTTGCTGTCAATGGATGGGATGGCTCTCTGACATACCAACAGTTGGATCAGACAACGGATAGGCTTGCACATCATCTGATTCACTCACATCATATCCAACAAGGAGACATGGTAGTTGTATGTTACGAGAAATCACTTTGGTATACTGTATGCATTTTGGCTGTTAGTAAAGCTGGAGCAGCTTGGGTCCCAATTGATCCGTCTCATCCTAGACAACGTCACAAGTCTATCATCAACCAAACGGATGCCAGAATTGCTCTTGCTTCGTCGATGTATTTCGAATACTGCCAGATGATTATCGGGACCGTGCTGGAGGTGACGCCTGAGCTTGAAGCGCAGCTGCAGCAGGACCTCACTTCAGAAGATGTTTCTCTCCCTCAGGTATCTCCGAAGAGTATCGCCTATGTGCTATTTACATCTGGAAGTACCGGTACTCCAAAGGGATTTGCAATTGAACATTGCTCCCTGGCGACTAGCCAGCTCACTCTATGGGAAAAGCTGTCTATACCGCACGACGCCCGGGTCTTACAATTTGCATCCCATGTGTTTGATTTTGCGATCTGTGAAATAATCGGCTCATTGATGGAAGGAGTTGCGATATTCGTCCCTTCGGAACAAGACCGAATGAGCAACCTGGTCGACTTTATTAATACAAATGGAATTGACTCGTTGTTCTTGACGCCGTCATTCGTTCGCACACTGCCCATATCAGAACTTCCTCGCGTCAACCTGTTGTTCCTCGCCGGCGAGACTGTTACAAAGGATATCTTGGATACATGGTTTGAGCAAGCCCGTATCTTCAACGCATGGGGCCCAGCAGAAACCGTTGTTTGTAACACCGTTCATCAATATCGTTCAGTTCACGACTCGCCGGCCAACATTGGCAAGTCAACTGGCGGGTTCTGTTGGATCGTAGATCCCCAGAACCCCCATAAACTATCACCAATAGGAACCGTTGGTGAAGTTGTAATTCAAGGTCCAACAATCATGCGTCATTATGTTGGCGATGAGGTCAAAACCCACAACACAGTTATACCAGCGCCCGAATGGGCACCGTTCCATGATGTTCCTGGATGGGATCGAATTTTCAAGACCGGAGATCTTTGCTATTATAACTCGGATGGAACTATGGACTTCTTGTCCCGAAAGGATACCCAAGTGAAGATTCGGGGCCTCAGGGTCGAACTTGGCGAGATCGAGTACCACATCCGGCATTCACTTTCTGATGTTGTTCAGGTGGCTGTTGACGTGATTACTTCCACCAACGCTTCACAGCTAGTAGCTTACATTTGTTTCACGGATGAGGCACGCCTGGAATACAATCCAGATGACGTTTTCTTCCAACTTTCATCGGGTCTCTATGACGAAATGGTTGAGCTACTCGGAAAGCTTGGCTCGCTTCTCCCCACCTATATGTTGCCATCAATCTTTATTCCTTGCAACTTTATGCCCTCTATAACATCTACCAAGTTAGATAGAAAGACATTGAAAGATCTAACCGCAACTCTTAGTCAGTCACAGCTTTCGCACTATTCCCTGGTCAATGCAACAAAGCGAAAGCCAGACACCCCAATGGAACGCCGCCTCCAACACATCTGGGCCCATATACTCGGTCTTTCTGAAGATACCATTGGGAAGGACGACAGCTTTATTCGTATTGGTGGAGATTCTGTGACCGCAATTTATCTATCCAGCGCGGCGAGAAAATCCGGAATCGACCTCCAGGTTAAGGACATCTTTGACGATCCCCGCCTCTGTGCGGTTGCGGAAAAGGCTGTCATGGTTGGGTCGGTAACGGAAACGAGCGAAATGATTAAGCCCTTTGAGTTGTTGGATTTTGATATTTCCTCCCACCAGTACAAAATACGTCAAACCTGTGGCCTGAGAGACGATCAGATTATCGAGAATGCTATGCCTGTCACTCCACTCCAGGAGGGTTTCATCGCTTTGTCAGTGAAACAGCCTGGATCTTATATCGGAAGATGGATCTATCGCCTAGGTGACAACGTAAACATTCACCGCTTCAAAGAGGCCTGGGAAGCAACTATTCGACGCTGCAACAATACACGGAGTAGAATGGTTGCTGTCGCTGGCCGAACGGTACAGGTCTACATCAAAGATGATATCCAGTGGGAAGATACCTCGAGATTCAACCTAGAAGAATTCCTTGAGAAATCTCGAAGTATTGAGATGACTCTTGGGAGCCGCCTGAACCGGTATGCCCTTATCCAAGAATCAGCAGGTGACAACTTCTTTGTCTTCCTTGCCCATCATTCCATCTACGATGGGTGGACAATGCGCATTATTCTCGATACCGTGTCCAAAGAGTATGAGTCTCTAACTACAACCATACAACCCTTTGACCATTTCATCAAGTATGTCAGTGCTATCGACAAAAAGGCTGCTGAGGATTACTGGAGCACTCAGCTACAAGGTGCCAAGCGTGCTGGATTCCCACGCACCGCAAAGGCCCTTGGGGTCAGCAAGGTGAAGAACCGAGTCGTCGACTTGAAAGCCACGAGCATCTCCGTGACAAAAGCCACATTAGTTCGAGCGGCATGGGCACTGGTTCTGGCTAGATATGCTGACACCGAGGATATATGCTTTGGAACATCTATTTCTGGCCGTCAAGCTGCTGTCCCTGGAATTGGTGACATGGCTGGCCCAGCAGTTGCAACAGTTCCTATCCGTATTCGCTTGAACAAGGAAACCCCCGTTGCTGAGTTTTTAAATGAGATTCAAGTCCAAGCGGCCGACATGATACCATTTGAGCAAACTGGTATTCAGAATATTGCAAAGCTAAGTGATGAAACTAGAGAGGCTTGCGACTTTTCGAGTCTGCTCGTCATTCAGCCTGTTGAAGCTATGGGTAAAGTCGGAAAGAACTCTGAGAGTCTTCTGATAACTGTAAACGACGATTACGAGGATATAAGCCAATCAATGAATGGCTACTACACTATGCCTCTTGTCATGCAAGCACTACTGTCGGAAACCGAGCTGTGTCTTGATGTCACCTATGATACAGCGATAATTTCTGAAGCCCAAGCTACAGGTCTCGTCAATCAGATGGAACATGTCATGAATGCGCTTCTTACAAGTCAGGAGGAGCCACTTGCAAATCTCGCAGTTGCCGGGGAATGGGATCTCGCCCAGGCTATGAAGTTCAACAGTAACATGCCTGAGGTCATAGAATCCACTTTCCACGAAATAGTAGAGGGATATTCAGCAAGCAATCCGGACTCTATGGCCGTCAATGCTTGGGATGCATCATTTACGTACAAGGAATTGAATGACAGAGCCAACCGCCTGGCTAGTTATCTCATAGTACGAAACCTTGTGAAGCCGAGAGACCTTGTCCATGTTTGTTTTGAGAAGTCAGCTTGGTATCTGGTAGCCATCCTGGCTATCAACAAGGCCGGTGCGGCATGGGTACCGCTCGACCCATCTCATCCTGAGCAAAGGAGAAAGCAAGTTGTTTTACAGACGGGTGCTACGTTGATGCTTGCCTCACCAAGCAACGCTGAAGCGGCTGAAGAATTGGTTGAGACCGTCATCCAGGTGTCTGCTGAACTGGACAGCGAGTTGATCAATCGCAAGGATGTACTAACATCGGAAATTGCCCTCGATGTGTCACCATCTGACGCTTGCTATGTTCTCTTCACGTCTGGATCAACTGGTACACCTAAGGGTTTTGTCATCGAGCATATGTCGCTGTGTACCACTCAGAAGGCATTTTCAACCCGTCTTGGGATGACTTCCGAAGCCAGGGTCCTTGCAACCGCGTCCCATGTATTCGATATGTCTGTCGGGGAGATAGTCTTTGGCCTCTTGGCCAGGGCTACAGTATGTGTGCCATCCGAATCAGACAGGATGAATGACTTAGCGGCCTTCGTTCGCAATCACCGAGTCACCTGGACTTGGCAAACGCCGGCATTTGCTCGTGCTATGAGTCCAGAGACGATGCCATGTTTGGAAGTCATGGTGCTAGCAGGTGAATCTGTCGGTCGCGATATCTTCGAGATTTGGTTTAGCAAAGTCCGACTAATAAATGGCTGGGGGCCGGCCGAGACTTGCTGCCTTAGCTCTCTGCATGAGTGGACATCTCCAACGGAATCGCTCTCGGCCATTGGAACTCCCTTGGCGGAGTTCTGCTGGATCGTGGAACCTGGTAACCCGAACAGGCTTGCCCCAATTGGCACTGTTGGCGAGGTAGTAATTCAAGGTCCGACATTGCTTCGAGAGTATCTAAACAATCCCGAACAATCAGCGAGATCAATAATCACGGATCTGCCAGAATGGGTCCCAAATAGACAACAATGGAACCGATTCTATCTTACTGGCGACCTGTGTTCATATAATAACCAAGGATCTCTGGAGTTTGTTAGCCGCAAGGACAATCAAGTCAAGATCCGGGGCATGCGTATTGAGCTAGGGGAAGTGGAACACCAAATTCAATCTCTGCTGCCACCCGAATGCCAAATTGCGGTAGATATTCTGAAAGGCACTTCTGGGTCTACCTTGGTGGCATATATCTGTTTCACTCAGGCGGCAAAGCATGCTGGTTCCAGTGATGACTGGAGTGATTTGTTTACTCAGACAGATTCTTCCTTCCTGCAGACGATATCTGGCGTTCTTCACGAGCTAGAAATGGCCCTTCCTGGGTACATGATCCCATCATTGTTTGTGCCATGCCAGTACATGCCCTTTATCACTTCAACAAAACTCGCGAGACGTATTTTGCTCGAAGAGATGGCCAATCTATCCCCAGAGCAGTTGAATCAGTACTCTCTCTCCAACATCGATAAGCACGCACCAGAGACGGCTACTGAACTCCAACTGCAGTCAATCTGGGCACAAGTGCTGAGCATTCCGGCCGACAGCATTGGCCGTGATGATAGCTTTCTACGCATTGGTGGAGATTCAATCACTTGCATCATGCTTTGCAACGCTATGCGAGAGAATGGTCTCTCGATTGAGGTTAGAGATATTTTTGAGGACCCTCGCCTTCATGCTGTTGCGCGCAAGGCCATCCCAGCTGAACCGTCAACGGGTCTCGGTCATCCAGAGCCGTTCAGTCTCCTTCCTGCACCATATGGTGATCTCAAAGCTTCCATGCTTCGTGAAATGAAGCTGCCAGGTGGTGTTGATATTTCTAATATGTATCCTTGTACACCACTTCAGGAAGGACTATTGGCCTTGTCAGTTACCCAGCCAAAATCGTACATTGCTCGCCATGTGTATAGTATACCTGCTTCGGTTGACATTTATCGCCTCAAGAGAGCATGGGAGCGAACTGTGGAACTCTGTGTAAACCTTCGAACGAGAATTTTATTGAACAGTGGCACAGCAATTCAGTGCGTCCTCGACAATGAGCCCGTTTGGGAGATTAAAAATCCAGACAGTCTTCTTGCCTTCTTGGAGCGGAGCCGAGACATTCGAATGACATATGGATCTCGCCTGAACCAATTCGCCATCATTGAAGAGCCTACCGGCTCAAAATACTTTGTTACAATTACGCATCATTCTGTCACTGATGGCTGGACACTCCGACTAGTGATGGGCACGTTCTATGCACTCTACACGGAGACAACCGGAATCAACTTGCAGCCATACTCGAGCTTTGTCAACTACATTATGAAGCTTGATCAAGGTGTTTCTCGTGAATACTGGGAAAGGCAGCTTTCCGGATCCAGGAAATTATCTTTCCCTCCAACAACAAAGACTAGCCACAGTGTCCGATCGGACGTATTGTATCACGATGTTAGCTTGTGCAAACCCGAAGATGAGGCCATTACTCAGGCCACTGTCGTAAGAGCAGCTTGGGCTATTCTTCTAGGACGGTACAGCGATACAAGCGATGTTTGCTTCGGTACTACTGTTTCCGGTCGCCAAGCAGCCCTCCCTGGCATCACTGATATGCCTGGGATCACACTCGCAACTGTTCCCGTTCGCATCCAACTCGATGCAAAGCTTACGGTTGGGGATTTCCTAAGAGACATTCAAAACAAAGCTTCAGAAATGACAAGTTACGAACAATTCGGCATCCAAAATATTGCAGGCCTCAGCCAGGATATAAAAGAAGCGATAGATTTCACAAGTCTACTCGTGATCCAACCAATCGACCAAATGTTCAATACTAAAACGGACAACGAATTTGTTGAGGCTATTGATGACTCGACTTACAATGTCGACAGTGATATGAATGGATACTTCAGCTACCCCCTGGTTGTAATGGCCAATCTGTATTCTGAAAAGGTTCAATTACAGATTGTCTATGATGAAGACCTCCTGACCCGCGATGCAATCGAAGGCTTTGCGAACCAATTTGGCCACATTGTCCAACAGCTCATTGAACATACTACAAGCTCCCTGGAGTCAATTTCTATAGCTGGTCCATGGGATATTAAAAAGGCCAAAGAGTGGAACCTGTCTGCACCAAAGCCTATTCAGAAATGCGTGCACAACTTAATATCCGAGAAGGCTGCGGAGCTTCCCGACCAAGAAGCCATTTTTACATCTGATGGTAGCTTGACTTACAGCGAACTTGATACGCTATCGAGCAAGCTCGCCCTGTATCTTATGTCTCTTGGTATCGGTCCAGAGACCCTTGTTCCGTTCTGCTTCGAGAAGTCCAAGTTCGCCATTGTTTCTATGCTTGGAATTCTGAAAGCAGGTGGTGTATTTGTTCCACTTGATCCTTCGCATCCAAGAAGCCGTCGACAAGCTGTGGTTGATGAGACAGGCTGTGAATTCATTTTAAGCTCCCCAGAATCAGCCTCAGCTTGCGGCTCGATGAACCCTAAAATCATCGAGATTTCTGAAGCCTTCTTTGAAAAAATGCGGGTTCTCACGAGTTTCAACTCAGAAAAGGCTCCACGAGCAGGTCCTCAGAATGCTGCATACGTATTGTTCACCTCAGGTTCCACTGGGAAACCAAAGGCCATTATAGTTGAGCATTCCGCGCTATGTGGCAGCCTTCTAGGGGAAAACAGGGTTTATCACCTCGGTTGCCAATCTCGGGTTCTGCAGTTTTCCAATTATGCTTTTGACGTCAGTCTCTGTGAGATTTTGGAAACTCTTGTGTTTGGAGGCACTGTATGCATACCTTCAGACAAACAGCGGCTGGAATCGCTGCCTCGTTTCATGGAAGAAGCTCGCGTTAATACGGCCATGTTGACCTCCTCCTATCTAAGGACATTGAACCCAGCCGACGTCCCATCTTTACGTATGTTGATGCTGGTTGGTGAAGCTCCTAGTCAAGACATAATCACCACGTGGCAGCCACGAGTCAGGCTGATTAATGCATATGGCCCATCAGAAGTCTCTATCTTCATTGGGTCACATGAGTATAAATCTATCGATGATCAGGCCACGAATGTTGGCACAGCCTTTGGTGGAAATATGTGGATTGTCGAGCCAGATGATTTCAACAAACTTTCACCGATTGGATGTGTTGGTGAGATTCTCATCCAAAGAGATATGGCCCGTGGGTATCTCAACGACGAGCAGAGAACCAATGCAGCATTCATCAAGCAGGTCGGGTTCCTGGGTGCTACCGAATTCCCGATCAAATTTCACAAATCTGGGGATCTTGCGCGATACAACCCTGATGGTACTATTCAATACCTTGGTCGCCGGGACACTCAGACTAAGCTTCGTGGTTATCGAATCGAATTGGGAGAAGTGGAATATAACATCCAAAAGCTGCTTCTAAATGTAGAGCACGTTGCCGCAGATGTTGTTTCAGTCGGTTCAAGAGAGACCCTTGTTGCGTTCTTGAGCTTTAAGAAGATATCAGATGAAACAGATCTTGGAGGCGATAATTCTATTACGAACCCATTTGTGGTTCACTCAGACGAGATGAAGCGGAAACTACACAAGCTTCTTGATGATCTTTACACTATTCTTGCAAGTTATATGATTCCATCGGCTTTCCTCCCACTTCGAGAAATGCCTTTGAACAACTCGTTGAAGCTGGATCGAGGTAGACTTCGAGCTTTGGCTTCAAGTCTCACGCAAGAGCAATTAGCCCTGTTCTCTGTCGATACTGGAGAAAAGGTTGAGCCAGTCACAGATATGGAGATAAAATTACGTTCTCTGTGGTCTGAAGTACTGGGAGCTGATGTTGGTACTATCGGCAGATCTGACAACTTCTTTCAGGTGGGAGGCAACTCTCTTGTAGCAATCCAACTTATGAGCATTGCACGGGAGCAGAATATTTCGCTCACCGTAGCTGACATCTTCGCACATCCCCGGTTGGAAGCCATGGCTCTTGCGGTTTCCGAAGCACATATTGAGGTCCAGGACGTCGCTCCATTAAGCATGTTATCCATCCCGCGTGAAGACCTCGACTCGCAACTTCTAGAACAGTCCGATATCCTAGTTGCGTCAGTTCTCGAAGATGCTCTTCCCACCTCACCGCTTCAGCAAGGCCTCATGGCTTTGTCTGCCAAGGAAGCTGAATCATACATTGCATTCGCCGACTTTGAAATTTCGCCCTCTATTGACATTGTTCGATTCAAGAAAGCTTGGGACCAGACAGTTCAAATTTGCAGCAGCTTACGTACCAGGATGTTTCACATTCAGGACCAGACTATTCAAGTCATCCTTAGAGAGTCTTCTACTTGGGACCTTGCTGATGGCATTTCCATGTCTTCGTTCAAAGAATTTGTAAATGGAAAGTCCATGACCTATGGGTCAAAGCTTTGCTACACCGCGATTGCCGAAGAAAATAATCGCCGGTTCTTTGCTCTTGCTATTCATCACGCAGTCTACGATGGTTGGACCATGGGACTGGTGTTACGCACTCTTCACTCTATTTATACAGGAAACACGCCGCCCGTCATCCATCCTTATGCACGATTTATCAAGTATACGCAGGACATTAAGGATGATACAGCTCGTCAATACTGGCAAAATTACTTGAAGGATGCGACTTCGGGCTCATTTCCCCGCGCTGCAAAGAGTTCGACAGAGAGCGTGACTTCCACCGTCGTCCGCACCATCAAGTTCCCTTCTTCCAGCAAAACTGTCATTACAAAAGCTACCATCATCAGGGCCGCTTGGGCTGTTATCCTCTCCAACTACTGTGATTCTAGTGATGTCACGTTCGGCATGACCTTATCTGGACGGCAAGCCCCTGTTCCAGGTTTGGCTGAAATGACTGGCCCTGCAATTGCTACTGTTCCTATCCGAGTCAATCTCGAGAAGCTAGGCTCAACCGTGGCCGAATTTCTTCAGAATTTGCAAAATGAAGCTTCTGAAATGATTTCTCATGAACAATATGGTCTGCAAAACATAGCCAAGACTGGACCTGATGCGCAGGAGGCCTGCAATTTCCAAAGTCTCCTTGTGATTCAGCCATTCTCTCCTTTGGAAGATATTTCCAACGGTCCCGATGCCATGTTGTTACCTGCTGCAATTCATGAAGATACGGATGCTTCCGCATTCCAGGGGTTCCTAAGTTATCCCCTCGTCATTAATAGCCATATATCTGATGAGGAGGCACACCTTCAGCTGATCTTCAATTCTGCTTCAATCTCTCGCATCAGGATTGACGCCCTTTGCGAGCATTTCAATCACGTCATCCAGCAACTTGTTGTTGATACCAACAAGTCTCTACGAGACCTTGAAGTTTCCTCAACTTGGGATCTCAAACAGGCAATTTCATGGAATGGAAAAGCTCCCGACTCGATCAACGGGTGCTGGCATGAAGTTGTCGAAGTCAACGCTATACGCCAGCCCCATTCTCTAGCTGTAAGTGCATGGGATGGAAACCTTACCTACAAAGGTCTTAATGACGCTGCCGATCGGCTTGCTCGCCACCTGGTCCACGTTAGGAACGTAAAGCAAGGGGACAATGTCCTGGTCTGCTTTGAAAAATCGTTGTGGCACACTGTTTGCATATTGGCTATTAGCAAGGCGGGAGCTACTTATGTGCCCCTCGAGCCTTCATACCCAACGCAGCGCAAAGAATACATTTTGAAACAGACGAAGAGCAAGCTCGCACTAGCTTCACCAGCCAATTCTCAAGACTGCTGGGACCTGATTGGCAATGTCTTGGAGGTATCGGGGGCTTTAGAAGCGCAACTTATTAAACAGGGCTCGCCTAAGTATCTTCGTAAGGTCTCGCCTGAAACATCTGCGTACATAATTTTCACCTCTGGAAGTACAGGAACGCCCAAGGGTGTCGTCATCGAGCAGCGATCTTTGGTTACTGGTCAAGCTACAATGTTCAACAAACTTCGGTTGCAAGAAGACGTAAGAATGCTTCAATTCGCCTCATATGCGTTCGACTATTCCATCTGCGAGATCATTGGCACATTAATGTACGGCGGCTCTATCCACGTGCCATCCGAAGATACTAGGATGAACAATCTTGCACACTTCATTAATGACAATAACGTCAATACTATCGGCATCACCCCTACCTTTGCACGAACCTTATACCCCAAAGAAATTCCCACCGTCACGTGCGTCATTCTAGGAGGCGAGGCCGTTTCTCAAGACCTAGTTGCAACTTGGTTTGATAAGGTACGACTATTGAACGCCTGGGGTCCTACTGAAGCAACAATCTGCAGTGCCTTCCATGAATACAGTTCTATTGATGAGTCTCCTCTCACAATTGGTCGCCCCACGGGCTGTTTCTGCTGGATTGTTGACCCAAATAACCCCCATCGCTTGGCGCCAATCGGCACTACCGGAGAGGTTGTTATTCAGGGACCAACTTTGCTACGAGAATATATCGGAGATGAAGAACGAACTAAGCAGAGCGTTGTATATCCTGTTCCGGAATGGGCTCCCTACAGAAATATATCCGGATGGGATCGTATGTACAAGACCGGCGATCTCTGCCATTACAACGCTGATGGTACAATTGAATTCGTTTCTCGAAAGGATAACCAAATCAAAATCAGAGGTCTTCGGGTGGAGTTGGGAGAAATTGAACATCATATTCGGCAGGCTCTTCATGGCGTTGCTCAGGTGGTGGTTGACATTCTCTCCACTGACTCGGGATCAGCCATAGTATCCTTCTTCTCTTACAATGAAGAGATGCGAGTCAGCGCTGACTCGAAGAATGTCTTCTCTCGCCTCACACCGGGTCTTCATGATCGGGTTTCAGAGATGCTTGGCAGGCTCAACCTTGTCCTTCCGACATACATGGTTCCTACTGTCTTCATCCCCTGTGACTTCATGCCGGCGATTACATCTGGCAAACTTGATAGAAAAATGCTACATAGCCTTGCAGGGACTCTAAGCAAGGACGAATTGGCAGATTATTCACTGGTCAGTTCCACGAAAAGGCAGCCTGAAACCGAAATGGAATCAACAATGCAAGTCATGTGGGCAGAGCTTCTCAACCTGCCGCTGGAATCAATCGGGAGAGATGATAGCTTTTTACGCATCGGCGGTGACTCGGTGATGGCAATTACCTTAGTCAGTGCCTCCAGGGCATCTGGCATTTTATTCTCGGTCAAAGACATATTTGATGACCCTCGCCTTTTCGCTGTAGCCGCCCGGGCTATTGAACAAGAGCCTGGAGATGATGATATTACTGAGATCAAACCTTTCGAATTGTTGGATGTCAATACTCGCTCCGAGGTCGTTGGGTCATCTGTTCGCAAGGTTTGCGGTCTACAGGACAGCCTTCGCATAGAAAATGCAATGCCCGTAACCCCACTCCAAGAAGGATTCATTGCCTTGGCCATGAAGCAGCCAGGGAGCTACATTGCTCAATGGGTTTATGAGCTTGCAGAAAGTATTGACATTGATCGCTTCGCGGCAGCCTGGGAAGAGACTGTCAGGGTTTGCTCCAATCTGAGAACAAGAATTGTACGGATTGGTAATTCCACGACTCAGATCTCGGTCAAGGATGATATTTCTTGGGAGGATACCACCGGGCTGACCTTGGCTGAGGCCTTGGACAGGACAGGCCGTATAGAAATGACTCTTGGTTCACGATTGAGTCGCTATGCACTGGTCAAAGAACCTGAATCTAGCAAGACATATTTCGTATTCCTTGTACATCACGCTGTTTACGATGGGTGGACAATGCGGATTATCATGAGTACTTTAACTAGTGTCTACAACGACTACCCAGCGCCAGAACTCATGCCCTTCGACCACTTCATTAAGTATGTTCAAGACCTCGATCGGGATTCTGCGAAGAAGTACTGGCAAGAGCAGCTCCAAGATGCAAAACGAGCCGCGTTCCCTCGGATCTCGAAAAACCAAAACGCCGGTACAACTAAGCTTGTTACAAGGAATGTGCAACTCCCTGCTTCTGATACATCTATCACGAAGGCAACGCTTATACGAGCAGCATGGGCGATCGTGTTAGCAAGGTATTCAGAGACCAAGGACATTTGTTTTGGCACGTCTCTCTCGGGAAGACAGGCCCCCGTACCAGGACTAGGCGAAATGGCCGGCCCAGCAGTTGCCACCGTGCCCGTGCGCATCAAACTTGATGAGAATCCTTTGGTTTCTGAGTTCCTCAACAAAGTGCAAGCACAAGCATCCGACATGATTCCTTATGAGCAATTTGGCCTTCAAAACATTGCTAAGATTTCTCCGGATCTTCAAGAGGCATGTGACTTTTCGAGTCTCCTGGTGGTTCAGCCATTTGAGAGGATGGATCAACTCGCAGAGGCTGCAGATTCTATCCTGGAATTGACTGAAATGGAAGAGGATTTCGCCGAGAGAAACCTTGAAGGCTATTTCAATATGCCCTTGGTTCTCCAAGTCCTCGTCTCTGAGGAGGAACTTAGCATGAGTATGTCCTACGACGTTCAAGTTTCAGATGAGAATCAGGTCTCCGCCATGTTGCATCATATGGAGCATGTGATCGGTGAGCTCCTTGGAGAGGACAAAAAGCTGCATGATGTGTCTATTACAGGAGAGTGGGACTTGGAGCAGGCTCTCACGGTCAACAGCGATATCCCTGAGATTTTCGACACGACATTCCATGAGATGGTGGATAAGCAGGTCATACTCCGCCCGGATTCAGTTGCTGTCCATTCTTGGGATGGATCGTTCACATACAAAGAGTTGGTGATGCATGCCAATAAATGGGCCAGACATCTCGTCGAATCAGTACAGGTTCGACCTAATGATCGGGTTCATGTCTGCTTTGAAAAGTCAAAATGGTATTTTGTAGCCATCCTAGCAGTCAACAAGGCTGGCGCTGCCTGGGTGCCACTTGATCCGTCGCACCCTCGACAACGGCATCAACAGATCATCAAGCAAACGGGCTCTCAAGTTGTTCTCACGTCACACCAAAACTCGAGCCTGTTCTTGAATGTCATTCAGGATACTGTCGAGATTTCAGCTGAGCTTGACGGCCAGTTGAAGGATGACCGTCCAGTTGATATCCGTGTGTCCCCTCAGGATCCAGTATACGTCCTGTTTACTTCAGGGTCAACTGGCACACCAAAGGGTCTGATAATGGAACACAGCTCTGCCATCACAAGCATCATGTCGTTTGCGAAGAGGCTCAACATCGAACAGTCCGTTAGGACTCTCCAGTTTGCCCCCTTTGTGGTGGATTTCTCAATAGGCGAAATCTTCTTCTCTCTGCTGAATGGAATGAGCCTTTTCGTTCCCTCTGACGCTGAAAGGCTTAATGATTTACCAGGGTTTATTAGACAGCACAGCATCGCTTGGGCATTCTTAACCCCGTCCTTTGCCCGCACTATCAAGCCTGGGGAGGTGCCTACCCTGGAGCTCCTGCTCTTGGCCGGCGAACAGGTTACCCAAGACCTCTTCGATACTTGGGTCAGTAGAGTAAGGTTCCTCAATGTCTGGGGCCCTGGAGAGGACTGTTTTCTTAGTTCATTGCACGAGTGGAGGTCCGACCAAGAATCGGTATACACGGTTGGTAAACCTGCAGGTTCGTTGAGCTGGATCGTGGAACCTGCTGATAACTCCAAATTGGCCCCATTCGGCACAGTGGGAGAGGTCATTATTCAAGGGCCGACACTGATGAGAGAATATTTGGCGGACCCAGACAGGACGGCAGAGGCTATGGCAATGAACCCTCCTTCTTGGGCGTTTATGTCTTCAGACAAGCGTTGGAGTCGCTTTTATCGAACAGGTGACCTTTGCTATTACAGACATGATGGCACCCTGGCATTCTTTGCAAGGAAGGATACTCAAGTCAAGATCCGAGGTCTTCGCGTCGAAGTCAGCGAAGTTGAACATCAGATTCGATCAATTATCCCCCAGGGTTGCGAGGCAGTAGTGGGAACATTACGAGGAACAGGGGGTGTAAACCTTGTGGCATACATCTGCTTAGACCCAGAGGCGACATCCTCGGGAACCTCAAGCGCGTACGATCATCTGTTTTTGGGCATGGATCCCAATGTACAAGCCCAAATGATTGAGTTGAAGAAGAAAGTTGGGGCTGCACTCCCGCCCTACATGGTCCCAACGCTGTACATTCCTTGCAAGACAATACCATTTGTTAGCGGTAAGGTTGATCGAAAGAGGCTTCAGGAGCAGACACATAAATTAGATCAAGCTCAAATCTCGGAGTATGGACTTCAAAATGTTGAGAAGCGCAAGCCTGAAATGGATCTCGAGATTAAACTCCAAAAGATTTGGGCAGATGTGCTTAGCATTGACCCCGACTCAATTGGATGTGACGATAGCTTCCTTGCAATTGGCGGTGATTCAATTTCGGCAATTAATCTTATGACTGCTGCACGCGAGGAAAACATCTTCATTACCGTAGATGAGATCTTCCGTCACTCTGATTTGTCTAGCATGGCTCTGCATGTTGGAAAGTCAGTTATCTCACAAGCTCCCGTGACCGAGGTGAAACCTTTTGAGTTGCTTGTCGACGATGAAAGGGAACTCGTTAAGAGCGACAGACTGCGCAATCTATATGATATTCCAGAGAACTGCAACATTGAGGACGCGTTCCCTTGCTCGCCTTTGCAGGAAGGCCTTATCGCACTAGCTGTCAAGCATCCAGGCTCATACATTTCCAAATACGTATTTAAGCTTCCCAGCCACGTAAATATTGACCGGTTCAAAGCGGCTTGGGAGAAGGCAGTCCAAATGAACTGTAACCTGCGAACACGGATTATCCCTGCCCACCAACGGTCTCTTCAGATCTATATTACTGGTGATCAGGAGTGGGAAGACACAGAAGGCTTAGATCTGGACGCGTACATTAAAGCTACTCGAACTTGGGAGATGGCTTATGGGTCTAAGCTGAGTCGCTATGCAGTAGTAAAGAACGACTCTGGAGATAGCCATTTCGTCTGGATTGCGCATCATTCGATCATTGACGGCTGGTCTTTACAAATAACGTTCAGGACTCTTCACGAGTACTATTGGAACAGCCCTGTTACCTCGCTTCCATCGTATCCAGGGTTTATTAAGAACGTAATGGAGCTTGACAACGACGAGGCGAGCTCATTCTGGGCGCAAAAATTAGAAGGTGCCTCGCGTCCTTCTTTCCCCTCACCGCATCTGGATATCAAGCCCAACTTCGAGTTTGTTTACCAGGATATAAGCATACCTGAAACCTTCTCCGGCTCCATCACGAAGGCCACCGTTCTGCGAGCGGCGTGGGCAATTGTCCAGGCAAAACATTGTAACTCTGATGATATTTGCTTTGGGGCTACTTTATCCGGCCGTAATGCCTCACTTGTTGGCCTGCAGAATATGCCTGGGCCAGCAATCACGACGATCCCTGTTCGTATCAAACTTCAAGATCGGGGTCAATCCATTCAGGAGCTTCTTCAACAAGTACAGGCTGAGGCAATAGAGATGTCGGCTTTCGAGCAATTTGGTGTGCAGAATATTGCCAAGGTTAGCGATTATGCAAGGGATGCATGCCGATTCTCAACCCTCATGGTTATTCGACCAAAGCAGTATCTGCAAGAATCTGGGAATGACATCCTAATAACCACTGACGAGGAGATGAACATTACCGAGAAAGAGATGGTGAATTACTTCAATTATCCTCTCATCATCGAATCGGGAATGCTCGATAACAAAATAAGCATCCGATTCGTTCATGACACAAATAGCTTGACGAGGGATTTAGTAGAAGCGATTGCGCATCAGCTCGATGAAATCGCTACACAGCTCTTTAGTAATAACTCAAAGACGGTTGGAGATTTGGTGTTTTCTGGATCTTGGGATCAAGAACACGCACTTAGACACCAAAACTTGATGCCTTCCACTGACATGTATTCTCACGCCATGATACTGAAACAGATCAGGGAGACACCAGACCTTCCTGCCATTGTGTCTTGGGATGGTACAATGACTTACGGGGAAGTCGGAGATTATGCTTCGAGACTCGCTGCGCAGCTCCAGTCTCTTGGCGTTGGACCTGAGCAACTTGTGCCCATTTGCTTCCCTAAATCGATTTGGGCCGCAATTTCCATGATCGCGATCAATTTGGCCGGTGCCGCATTTGTTCCATTAGATCCTACCGCGCCGGTGAACAGGCTCAAGACAATCAGCAAGGATGTCCAGGCCAGCCTTGTCCTCTCATCAGAAGATTCTCGCCATATCGCCAAGCAGCTGGGTACAAAGCTACTACCAGTGAGCGAAGGGTTCATTAAGGGTCTACCTGCGGCCTCTCCGACCGAGCTCACAGGTGCCGCCAAGCCATCGAATGCCAGCTTCGCAATCTTCACGTCCGGATCAACTGGGAAACCAAAGGGTATCCTGCATGACCATGCCTCCCTCTGCTCAGCGATTACTGGCTACACTGACAAGATGAGTTTCGGACCTGGAACAAGAGTATTTGCTTATTCTGCATACACATTTGACTGGGGCATAATGGATGTTTTCGGTCCCCTTTCCCGAGGTGCCTGTGTTTGCATCCCATCTGACTACCAGCGGTATAATGGCATCACCGAAGCAATCAACGAGCTTCAAGCCAACTGGGCTTTCTTCACTCCCACAGTTGCTGGCCTGATTGATCCTACGAGCGTGCCAACTCTCAAGAATATTGGTCTGGGAGGAGAAGCGATTTCGCAGCAGCTCGTCCACCGCTGGAGAGATTTTGTTACTCTTCACAATTTCTATGGACCAGCTGAAGCTACCATCAATGGCTATCAGACAGTAGGCAAATCAGACAACCCCAACAATATCGGCGGCCCAATATCATCAGCATGGTGGGTCGTCGAACCTGAGAATTGGAAGAAAACTGTTCCTGTCGGCTGCATTGGTGAGCTGCTCATCCAAGGCCCATTATTGGCTCGCGGCTACATTAATGGAGGCGAACAGGCCGATGCTGCCTGGCTAGATAATGTCGACTGGCTGCCAGCCGATATGCCTAGCAGAGCATACAGAACTGGAGACCTTGTGCGCCGCAATGCAGATGGCAGTTTTGATTTCATCGGGCGAAAAGATACACAGATCAAGCTCCACGGCCAGCGTGTCGAGCTTACTGAGATTGAGTCTCGCCTGGATGAGATCTTGCCTCAAGATATGACTTGCGTCATTGACACGATCCTGAATGACGAGACCAAGTCAACCACTTTAGTCGCTCTCATATGGTATTCTAAGGGGCCTATTTCAACTCATCCTCAGTTCGGACTAGTTTCAGAGGTCACTGAAGAGATGAGAAACCTTATTGCTTCTATCGATTCTTCTCTGAACCACGTTTTGGCGCGCTACATGGTCCCTAGCATGTATCTTGTTTTCCAGGGTGTACCTGAGCGCCTTGTTTCTGGCAAGATTGATAGACGTAAGCTCCGGTCGATTGTACGCGATACGCATGCAAAAGACCGCCTGAAATTCTCACCCTCTGAGACAACAGGCGAGCCACCAGCCACGGAGGCCGAACTGAGACTCCGTGAGTTGTGGGCACAAGTCCTTCGAATTGATGCCGAAGAGATCAAACGTCATGATAGCTTTTTGAGAGCTGGCGGTGACTCCATCAGTGCTATTAGGTTGGTTACCCTAGCACATGAGAGAGGGCTTATTCTTGATGTTGCGACCGTTTTCCGAGACCCTAGACTTTCTGCTATGGCTGCCGCGACAGATTCAAGCATCCATCCTCTCGAATACAATGTTGAACCCTTTGGTCTTGCCGACCAGGACAAAATCGGCAACATCACTGTTGAAGCTCGAAAGCAATGTAATCTCTCTGGTGGAATAGTCATCGATGATATTTTCCCAGCTACTCATCTACAGCAGGGACTCATGGCTCTCACCGTTAAGCAGCCCGGGTCATACATTGCCAGGCATGCATATCAACTATCGGAAGATATCGACATCCCGAGGTTCCAAGAGGCACTCCGAAAGACGGTTGAAACATGCACTAACTTGCGTACTCGGATAATCGATTTTGAGGGTCAAGCACTGCAAGTTGTTGTTCAAGATGACTATGAATGCGAATTGGCACCTGGAAATGCGGATCTCAACTATTTGATGGAATCTTCGAATAAGACCAACATGACATACGGATCTCGGCTGAACCGATTCATGCTTGTAAGAGGCAACAGTGACATCTACTTCTTATGGCTTAGCCATCATACTACTTTCGATGGCTGGAGTCTTGGAATTGTCATGTCTACTTTGAAGAAGTTCTACCAACGCATGGATATTCCAGAGGTAAAGCCATACTCTTCGTTCGTCTCATATACCTTGGCAGTTGACAATGCTGCTGCTGAAACGTACTGGGCTAGCCAATTGAGCGGCTCCCAGAAGGCGTCCTTCCCCTCACAACAACTGACTCCTTCGGGCGTGACGCAAGTGTTCGCGAAGGAGCTTACCTTGCCTCAATCCGTTAGAAGCTCAATAACCCGTGCTACGGTTCTTCGAGCGGCATGGGCAATGCTCCTTGCGAAGTACTGCGGGACAGAGAGCGCTACTTTCGGTGCCACTGTTTCTGGCCGTAATGCTCCTGTACAAGGAATCGAGAGTATTTCTGGCGCTATGATTGCAACGTTGCCAATCCATGTTGTATTGAACCCTCAGACTTCCGTTGGAAAGTTCCTAGATGACGTGCAGAGGCAGTCGTCGGATATGATTGCATATGAACAATTCGGTTTGCACAACATTGCAAAGATTAACACCGATACCAAGGAAGGCTGTGACTTCTCAAGTTTGATCGTGATTCAGCCAGCTCAGAAGATGGGTCTAGGTACTGGGAATGAAATAATGAACCCTATAAATTCAGACGATAGACCCGTCGAGGAGTCGCTCCAGGGGTACTTCAACTATCCACTGGTGATGCAAGCAGCATTGATTGATGACAAGGTTGAATTGGCCCTCATTTACGATACAGGGGTGCTTAAACACATGCAAGTGCAGGCTCTTGGTTACCAATTCGAGAAGCTTGTTTCTGAGCTTCTTACATTCAGCAGCGACAAGCCTCTGAAGGACATTGCAATGACATCGTCATGGGATATTGCAACCATCATTTCTCGCAACCCCGTACCAGAGATCATTGAGTCTTGCATGCATCAAGTTATTGAGAACCACGCTGCTGTTCGTCCAAATTCGCCGGCTGTCTTTTCTTGGGACGGCCAGCTCAGCTATGGCGAGCTCAATGATACCGCTAATCGTCTTGCATCCCACCTTGTGAGGAAACACAATGTCCAAGTAGGTGATATTATTCACTTATGCTTCGAAAAATCCATGTGGTATTTCGTAGCTATGCTAGCTTCGATGAAAGCAGGGGCAGTGTTTTCTCCTCTTGACCCAGAGCATCCTGAACAGCGCAAGAAGTCCATCATCAGCCAGACACAGGCCAAGATAATTATTATATCTCCTCAATATGAGGCGATGTGCAAGGATCTTGTTGACACGGTCATTCCGTTGTCCCCAAGCCTAGACGCTGAACTGGATCGCGTTTCACATAATCTTACTGCGGCTGCCTCTCCTGATGACCGTTGCTACATCATGTTTACGTCAGGAAGCACTGGAACTCCGAAGGGCTTTGTGATTACGCATCGATCTCTGTGCACTGGACAGCATGCCATCACCAAGGTCACGAAATTAGACTCAAGCGCTCGCGTGCTCCAGTTCTCGAACTTCGTGTTTGACTTCTCAATTGGTGAGATTTTCCAAGCTATGAACAATGGTGCATGCATCTGCGTCCCGTCGGAAGAAGCGCGATTCAACGATATCCAAGGATTTATTCGCACCGCACGTATCAACAGCTTGTTGATAAGTCCAGCCTTCGCCAGGACCTTGAGCCCATCTGAGATCCCATCGGTAAGCTTCCTCTTGCTTGGAGGAGAGAATGTGCCCCATGACTTGTTTGAAACCTGGTTCGGAAAGGTTCGACTCTTGAATGCATGGGGTCCGGGTGAGGCCTGCTTCGCTGCATCTGTACACGAGTATGGATCCATCAATGAATCACCGGCTTCAATTGGCTCGCCAGTAGGGGCTTTCTCGTGGATTGTAGACCCTGATGATCACACCAAGCTTGCACCAATCGGCACGATCGGAGAAGTCCTTATCCATGGGCCTACGGTACTTCAAGAGTATCTTGGTGACGTTGAGAAGACGAAAGAAACCATGGTCACAGATCTTGCTCCTTGGGCGCAACAAAGGGATGTACCCTTCAGCCGAGCATTCAAGTCTGGTGATCTAGCGTTTTATAATGCCAACGGCGTGATGGAATTCGTTGGCCGGAAGGATACGCAAGTGAAGATTCGCGGTCTCAGAGTTGAACTCGGAGAAATCGAACACCAAGTTTCATCTACCTTGGACGGCGTTGCTCAAGCCGTCGCTGAGGTCCATCGCACAGACGAGGCTTCTCGCATTGTTCTTTACTTTTCATTCTCCAATGAGAGACGAAGTGTAGATGACTTATTTTCAACAGGCACAATGTTCTCTGATATCACGCCCGAGGTTGGGGCCAAGCTCCAGGAGCTGATTGGAAAGTTGAAGATGGTTCTTCCAGGATACATGGTTCCGTCGATCTTTGTTCCCTGCAACTTTATGCCAATAGGCCGATCGTCAAAGCTGGACCGTGGCTTACTGAAACGCCTTGTAGCAGAGCTTGTTACGGATAGGCTCCAACACTATTCTCTTGCAAACAGCGTGAAGCGATCGCCAGAGTCCCCTATGGAATTCCGCCTAAGGTCACTTTGGGCATCAATTCTGAATCTGTCTGAAGACTCTATAGGAAGAGATGACAACTTCCTTCAGATCGGTGGAGACTCAGTTTCTGCTATCCACCTCGTCACTGTAGCCCGTGGGCTTGGCATCAAGTTAACCGTGCAGAATCTCTTCGATGACCCAAGACTGTTTATGGTGGCCTCCCATTGCGTTGAGATTGAAATCCCTACTGAATCTTACGAAGACCTCGAACCATTTGAGTTGATCCCTGACTCACTCCAAGACATGGATTGGGAAAGTGAGGCTATTGAGTTGTGTGATCTCGACGATGAGCAAACAATTGAAAATGCCATGCCAGTTACGCCTTTCCAGGAGGGTTTGATGGCTCTTCTGATGAAGCAACCTGGTTCATATATTGCAAAATGGGTATACCGTATTCCTGCAAACGTCGACATCCGTCGATTCCGCAATGCATGGGCTAAGGTTGTCTTATTCTGCCGGAACTTGCGAACTCGTATTATCAACATCGGCCAAGTTTCATTACAAGTAGTGGTTGGAAACGATACAGCCTGGGAGAATACTAAGAACGTGGACTTGCAGAAGTTCTTGGATCTGCACAAGAATATCACGATGGCTCCTGGTACTCGGTTGAACAGGTGGGCTCTCATAAAAGAGCCCACTGGCGAAAACTATTTCGTTCTGATCTGCCATCACGCTACTTATGACGGTTGGACAATGAGACTCATGCTGCGGACTTTGGCCGAAGCGTACAAGAGATCCAAGGGACCTTGGCCCAAGCCATTTGATGGGTTCATTAAATACACCACGAAAATGAATAATGATCGTGCTCGAGAGTACTGGCTTGATCAACTTCGAGATGCCAAGGCTGCCCCTTTCCCACCTGTCACGCGCAATACTGAGACGAAGACTGAAGTCATGAACAAGCTGGTGGAGCTACCCACATCCTCGCACAATGCCATTACACAAGCTACAATCATGCGAGCAGCTTGGGCTTTGGTGCTTTCCCAGTATAGTGAAATGGACGACATCTGTTTCGGTACTTCTGTTTCTGGTCGACAGGCATCAGTTCCTGGCATTGGTGAGATAGCCGGCCCAGTGGTGACTACGACACCAGTCCATGTGCGAGTCGACAGGAGCATCTCTGTTTCTAGGTTTCTGCAAAGAATCCAATCCCAGGCTACTGAAATGATAAACTACGAGCAGTTTGGATTGCAGAACATCTTGAAGCTGGGAGACAATATAAAAGAAGCTTGTACTTTCAGCAGCTTGCTTGTCATTCAACCAATGGAGAAGCTGCTTGAGATGGGTAGTGATTCCGACGCAATTGTTATCCCCGTGGAAACTGGAAATGGGGATTCATCAAGCCTCGAAGGCTACTTCAGTTACCCTCTGGTTGTTCAGACTCTTGTATCTTCGGACATGATTCGATTGAACGTGACCTACAACTCCTGTGAGTTGAGCGAGCTGCAAATTACTGGTTTGGTTAATCAGCTTGAGCATATTATCACGAGACTCACCGTCGAGACTTCGCGTCCTTTGAGCGAAATTTCAATTGCCGGTGACTGGGATTTAAAGCAAGCGACCGAACTAAATCGCGAGGTACCAACCATCATGGATACCACTTTCCATGACTTGGTTGCGCAGCAAGCCACGATTCGGCCAGAAGCTGTTGCTATTCGGGCCAGTGACGCAACACTCACATACAGCCAGTTAGACAACTACGCCAATGATCTAGCATCTCATCTGATTAAGTCATTGAACGTCAAAAGAGGTGATCTCGTCCATGTGTGCTTCGAGAAATCGGCCTGGCATTTTGTTTCTATCTTGGCAATTAATAAGGCTGGCGCTGCATGGGTTCCGCTTGACCCATCTCACCCAACTCAGCGCCATCAACAGGTAGTTTCTCAGACAGGGGCAAGTTTAGTACTGTCCTCCTCTAACTACGCAAAAACTGTTTCGAGCCTGATTCCAACTGCTCTCGAGATCACGGCGGGTTTCCTCAACGACTTAGCCCTGGATAGCGGCACCGGAAGCGTCACAACTAATATCGCAAGAGGATCTGACGCATGCTACGTCTTGTTCACATCTGGTAGCACAGGCACGCCAAAGGGCCTTGTGATGACGCATCGATCCGTTTGCACTAGCCAAAAAGCGATCGGCGACAGACTCGGCTTGTCTCCAGAAGTCAACATGTTGCAATTCGCAGCCTTTGTTTTCGACCTTTCCATAGGCGAGATTGTGGGAGCTCTAATCACAGGAGCTACTGTCTGTGTGCCATCCGATGAAACGAGATTGAACGATCTGAGTGCGTTCATTCGCGATACGAATGTAACTTGGGCGTATCTTACACCCTCATTTGCTCGGACATTGACACCTGAATCAGTACCATCATTAGAATTGATGCTATTCGCAGGAGAAGCAGTTGGCCGGGATGTATTTGAAACATGGGTCACTACAAAAGTTCGGCTCGTCAATGGTTGGGGTCCTGCAGAAACCTGTTGTTTTAGCACACTGCATGAGTGGAAGTCAGTCGACGAATCCTCACTAACTTTAGGAAGGCCCGTCGGAGGATTCTGCTGGATTGTCGACCCTGAGGACCATAACAAGCATGCACCCATAGGAACAGTGGGAGAAATCATGATTCAGGGACCTACTATCTTGAAGGAGTACCTAGCCGATCCGGAGAGGACCGCGGCAACTACGGTAACGAAACTGCCATCCTGGGTCCCGAAGTCCAAGGAGGAGAACTGGGGCCGCTTTTATAAGTCTGGCGATCTAGGGTTCTATAACGCCCAGGGCCTGATCGAATTCTCAACTCGCAAGGACACTCAAATCAAGATCCGCGGCCTTAGAGTTGAATTAGGTGAGGTTGAGCACCAAATCAAAGTCAACTTCCCTGCTGCTCAACAGGTTGCTGTTGATGTGTTCAATTCAACAGCTGGTACTACTCTCGTTGCCTACTTCTGTCTGACCAACAATAATCAAATATCTGGCGGATCCGACAATTGGACTGGAGTTTTCGAATCTATTCCTTCCAGTATGCACGCAGATCTTACGTCTCTGGCAAGCAAGCTTGACATTGTTCTACCGCGGTACATGGTTCCTTCAATGTTCATACCGTGTAGCTTCATGCCTTTCATTACATCTTCCAAACTTGATAGAAAGGCTTTGAAGGCTCTGACCTTGAGGCTCAATGCCGAGAGTCTACAGCATTATTCCCTCTCCGACTCCGCAAAAGCGCTTCCCGAGTCAGCCATGGAAATCAAGATCCAGACCATCTGGGCCGAGCTACTCAAGATCCCCGCCGAGTCGATTGGAAAGGATGACAGCTTCCTCCGTATAGGCGGTGATTCGATTACTGCAATCCATTTCGTCAATGCAGCTCGTGAATCCGGTATACACATATCAGTACAGAACATTTTTGATGACCCTCGGCTATCCGCCATTGCTGCTCGAGCGACGGAGGTTGATTCTAAATCCGAACTCTCAGAGTTGCAACCATTTGATCTCTTGGATGAATCTTTGCGGTCATCGGTCCTGGGAGAGGATATCCGGAGCGCTTGCAACCTGACCGACGGACAAGAAATTGAAAATTCATTCCCAGTAACGCCCCTGCAGGAAGGCTTGATGGCATTGTCAGTTAAGCAGCCGGGATCCTACATCGCAAAGTGGATCTACCGCTTAGCAGAGGATGTCGATCTTGATAAGTTCCGCGGTGCCTTCGAGCATACGGTCCAGACATGTGCCAATCTACGAACCCGCATAGTTCGTGTTTCAGACACAACCGTTCAACTTTATGTCAAGAACGACATCTCATGGGAGGAAACCTCGGGAATGAGTCTTCTCGACTTCATGGAAGTGGCTGATGATATGAAAATGCAGTTTGGCTCACGCTTGAACCGCTATGCTATCGTCAGGGACGAAACCTCAGGCCACAGTTACTTTATCCTCATTGCTCACCATGCTTCTTATGATGGCTGGAGCTTGCAACTGGTCCTAAATGTTTTGTCTGATGCTTATAACGGCAGTTTCAACGCGGTCGTAAAACCGTTCGACCACTTCATCCATTACTTGGTGAACTTGGATAAGGAAGATGGCCGCAACTTCTGGTTGAAGCAGCTTGAAAATTGCAACCCCACTACCTTCCCTAGTGTTTCACGAACTCCCAAAGCTCCTCTCACCAAGGTTCTTAACCAAAAGATGGAAGTCCCTGAGGTTGATGCTTCCATTACCAAGGCTACGATCGTCCGAGCTGCCTGGGCGATTGTTTTGGCTAGATACTGTGACACCGACGACATTTGCTTCGGAACTTCTATTTCAGGGCGCCAAGCTCCTGTTTCGAATTTGGGGCAAATAGCAGGCCCAGCTGTAGCCACCCTGCCTATTCGGATTCGTCTAGATGGCTCCCTATCAATTCATGAGTTCCTCCGGAAAGTCCAATCTCAGGCTACAGAGATGATTCCATATGAACAATATGGTCTTCAAAATATCTCAAAAGTAAAGGACAAGTTCAAGGAACTCTGCGACTTCTCGAGCTTGCTAGTCGTGCAGCCCTACCAGAAAATGGCTGAAATCGGTGGGGAGGCCGAGACTCTATTAACTCCTCATGAGCTTGATGAGACAGAGGCTGAATCCAGTCTGTCGGGATACTTCAGCATTCCGCTGGTTTTCCAAACAGTCTTGTATGATGATGTGTTCAACCTCAACCTCACTTATGACTCCAATACCGTCACACAGTTCCAAGCTGAAGCTCTTTTGAATCAAATCCAACACGTTATCAATGATCTGCTCCATGCAACAGAAAGACCTCTGTCAGCTGTGTCACTTACTGGACAGTGGGATGAAGAGATTGCCCGCGCTTCAAATATGGAAACTCCTCAGATTGTCGAGTCAACCGTCCACAACATGATTGAAAGACAAGCGACTATGCGACCTCGAGCTGTTGCCATTCGAGCTCATGACTCAACCTTGACATATAAGGAGCTCAACGACAGCGCAAATAGGCTCGCTAGCTACCTAGTATCTGAGAGTTTGGTCAAGCCTCGAGATTTCGTCCATGTTTGCTTTGAGAAGTCAGCCTGGCATTTTGTAGCTATTCTTGCTATTAATAAAGCAGGTGCCGCATGGGTCCCTCTCGATCCATCCCATCCAAGGCAACGCCATGAGCAGATTGTTAGCCAAACTAGAGCCACGTTGGTCCTCGCTTCCGCTACCAATATGGCCATCTGCACGCACCTAGCCAATACCGTTCTTGAGGTCTCTCAAACACTTGATGATGACATCAAGAGTAAGAACTTAGCCGATCTCAAGTCTTTCAAGATAAGCGTATCGCCCCGAGATGCTGCTTATGTTCTATTCACCTCGGGCTCAACTGGCACACCAAAAGGTCTTGTCATGGAGCATGGCGCCGCTTGCACGAGTCAAGTAGCAAGCGCTCGAAGACTTGGTCTTGACTCAAGTGTCAGAATGCTTCAATTTGCAGCATTTGTATTTGACCTTTCTATCGGTGAGATTCTCGGACCGCTTATTAGCGGCGCTACACTCTGCGTACCATCAGATGCCGATAGAATGAACCGTTTGACTGATTACATTGGTGAAAATAACATCAATTGGGCATACGTGACCCCTGCATTCGTGCGTACCCTAAAGCCAGAAGATCTTCCCACGTTGGAGCTCCTTGTCCTAGCCGGCGAGGCAGTTGGACGTGACATTTTCGAAACTTGGATGAATAAGCTACGTTTCATTAATGCCTGGGGCCCGGCGGAGACGTGTTGTTTCAGTACATTACATGAGTGGCAGAGCGAGACTGAGAGCCCTATGACGATCGGAACACCTGTGGGTGGCTTCTGCTGGCTCGTTGACCCCAATGATCCTCAAAAACTTGCACCTGTGGGTACCTTAGGCGAGGCAGTAATCCAGGGCCCGAATCTGCTCCGTGAATACCTGTATGATCCTGAGAGGACTTCTGCTGCTGTCTTGACCGAGTTACCCGACTGGGCTCCCGACAGAGCCCACACCTCTTGGAACCGCTTTTATCTCACTGGCGACCTTTGTTTTTATAATTCAGACGGCATTTTGGAGTTCTCTTCCCGTAAGGACACCCAGATCAAGATCAGAGGTCTACGAGTGGAGGTCGAAGAAGTTGAACATCGCATACGCCAGCTGATGCCTAGCTTACACCAAGTTGCTGTGGACGTATTCTATGGATCTGGCGGTGCTAATCTATTCGCTTATTTCTGTCTTGGAAACTCGACCAGGGTTGGCAAGATGTCGGATGATTGGGATGACTTGTTTGTCCCGATGAGCGACACACTTCAAGTAGAGATCGCATCTTTGGCAAGCCAGTTACGAACGGTTCTGCCTTCCTACATGATTCCAACGACATTTATCCCATGCGCTTACATGCCTTTTATCACGTCTTCAAAGTTAGATCGCAAGACATTACGATCTAAAGCATCTGACCTTACCCAGGAAAGTCTCGCACAATATTCCTTGCAAAATTCAAAGAAGCGTGAGCCGGAGACAGAAATGGAAGTGGCTCTTCAACAAATCTGGGCTGAGATCCTAAAAATTCCTGCCAGTTCTATTGGCCGTGATGATAGTTTCCTTGCTATTGGTGGAGATTCGATTGCTGCTATCAACCTCATGACCACCGCTAGGGAACGTGGCATCTCCATTACCGCTGATGATGTATTCCGCTCCCCCCGATTGATGGATCTTGCTGTTCGGGCAGCAAACGCTCCTATGCTTCTAAAGTCACCAGCTGTAGAAATTAGCCCGTTCGAACTACTGACAGATCTAGAGAGTGATCTCGTCCAAGGTGCAGAAATACATAAGCAATGTGATTTACCGTCAGAAGCAACGATTGAGGATGCCTTCCCTTGTTCACCGCTTCAGGAAGGTTTGATAGCTTTAGCTGTCAAGCAGACCGGTTCCTATATCACAAAATATGTTTTCCAAATATCAAAGCATGTTGATCTCTCAAAGTTGAAAGCATCGTGGGAACATACAATCCGAACAAACGGCAATTTAAGGACAAGAATTATCCCATCAAAGGATAGGTCGATCCAGATAATAGTTAAAGACGATATCAGCTGGGAGACGAATCCCGGGTCTGATCTGGGAGCGTTTATCAAGGTCACGCAGCAATACGAAATGACATTCGGATCCCGACTCAACCGATATTCGATCTTGACAGATGAGAAAGGTGATTCTTACTTTGTTTGGATCGCCCATCACTCCATTATGGATGGATGGTCACTCCAACTTACATTCAGGACATTGTACGAACATTACTGGGAAGGTGCTTCTAGTCCCCTCCCTTCTTACGCTGGCTTCATCAAGCACACACTTGATCTCAACGGAGACGCCGCTGCTGCATTCTGGTCGAACCAGCTGGAGGGGGCTTCTCGTTCTACCTTCCCCTCATCTCCTGCTGACAGCACAGTTAAGCCAACGTTCAAGTTCAAACATCACCAGATTGCCACTCCAGAGAAAAGCCAAGTATCTGCTACAACCGCAACTATACTTAGAGCCGCATGGTCTATCGTGATGGCCCGTCATTCCAACACCAATGACGTTTGCTTCGGTGCCACTCTCTCGGGCCGCAATGCAGCACTTGAGGGACTCCAGAACATGCCCGGTCCTGCTATTGCGACGATTCCTGTGCGTGTCAAATTAGACCACAGCACGCAGGTGAAGCAATTCTTGGATGACGTTCAGATGCAAGCCACTGAGATGACAGCTTATGAACAGTATGGCCTCCAAAAGATCGCCAGAGTTAGTTCGGATGCTCGAGATGCTTGTCAATTTACCACGCTCATGGTTATTCGCCCTAAGCCGTTCCTTGAAGAAGGAAGTGACTACACGATTTTGGAGATCGGCGAAGCCACCAAGATTACCGAAGAGGAAATGGTCAATTACTTTAACTATCCATTGGTCTTGGAGGCAGATCTCATGAAGGGACACATCAAAGTGCGACTCTGTTACGATATCCGTGTTTTGTCGACCGAGCTAGTTGATGCCATTGGTGAGCAATTGGAGCTTGTTGTCAAACAACTGTTCGCAAAGCCATCAGTTCCGATTGGAGAAATCGATCTCGTTGGAGAATCTGACATCCAGCATGCTCTAAGTCATCAAAATATGAGGCCATCAACCAACCGGCTAATCCATGAGATGATTCGTGAGCAAATTGCCAATACTCCCGACCTCCCCGCTATCACATCCTGGGACGGAGATATGAAGTACCATGAGCTTGGCTACTGTGCAGAGCGTCTTGCCAGTTACTTGAAAACGCTCGGCGTCGGTCCAGAGGTATTCGTGCCAATTTGCTTCCCCAAGTCCATATGGGCTGTTGTATCAATGATTGCTGTAAACATGGCAGGTGGAGCATTTGTACCTCTCGATTTCAATTCACCAGCTGCACGATTGAAGACAATTCTAGCTGATACAAACTCGAAGATCGTTCTCGCAGCGCCCTCATGTGAGGAGCTAGCGAATGCCTTGGAGCTTGATGTCATTCTTGTTGATGAAGCCTTTATTCGAGCTCTCCCAGAGCCCGAAGAACTACCCGTAAGATCTTCCGCGACATATCAAAACGCTAGCTTTGTTATGTTTACTTCGGGTTCAACGGGCAAGCCGAAGGGAATGGTCTTTGAACATCGGAATACATGCTCAACGTCAAATAGCCATGGAGCAATCCAGGGCTGGGGTCCAGGAACAAGGGTGTTTACTTACTCTGCTTACACCTTTGACATCGGCGTTATTGATGTTATGGTCTCTTTGTCCCGTGGTGCCTGCCTCTGCATACCCTCCGAATGGCAGCGTTATAACGATATCCACGGTGCAATCAATAAAATGCAGGCTAACTGGTCATTCTTTACTCCCACGCTCGCGAGACTTGTTAGTCCAGCACGGATTCCTACAATTCAAAACGTAGGGTTGGGTGGGGAGAACGTGACAAAACAAGTCGTAGATAACTGGAAGGGTCACGCAACGCTTCATAATTTATACGGTCCTGCAGAAGCTTCTATCTGTGGCTGGATTGCCGACGTAGGTCTGATATCCAAGCCAAGCAACATTGGAATTCCATCCTCGTGCGCGTGGTGGATCGTCAACCCCGAAAATCCTCGACAACTCGTCCCCATTGGTTGTGTTGGAGAATTGATGATCCAAGGTCCTATGATGGCTCGTGGATACATTGGCGCGGATGAAAAGGCGCAGGAGGCATGGCTGCATAATGTTGATTGGCTTCCTGGAGACATGCCCAAGAAGGCATATCTTACAGGAGATTTGGTACGCCGTCTTGCTGATGGCACTTTCGAATATTTGGGTCGGAAAGACGACCAGGTCAAGCATTACGGTCAGCGAGTTGAGCTGGGAGAGATCGAGTCTCACATTGAGGATGCCCTCCCCAGCAACATGAATGCCATCACTGACTTCATCCGCGAAGAGACGGGGTCAAATACTCTGGCGGCTTTAGTTTGGTACAACACCGGGGCTTCTGCCGATCCGCCGTTGCTTCAGCTCGCCGAGATCGTTACAGACGAGATGAGAGACACTATGGTGACGCTCCAAACTCACTTGAGTCGTGCCCTCCCGAGCTACATGTTGCCCAGCCTTTATTTGTTCTTCACCGGAACTCCCGATAAAATGGCCTCTGGTAAGATTGATCGAAAGAAGCTTCGTGCTCTGGCGCGATCCGCAACCACCAAAGACAAGCTTCGATTTGCCAACGGCGAAAAGGCGTTTGAGGAACCAGTAACCGAAATGGAATTCAAGATCCGTAACCTCTGGGCTCAGATTCTTTCCATCAATGCTACCGATATTGGGAGGCATGATAGTTTCCTTCGAGTTGGCGGTGACTCTGTTAGCGCGATCAAACTGGTTTCCGCCGCAAACGAAATTGGAATTGCTCTCACCGTTGAGATGATCTTCAAGGACTCGAGACTTTCGGCAATCGCCGGCGGAAGTTCAAATGTGGACAAGTCATTGTTCGACACAAAGCCATTCGAACTTCTTGCGCCGCAAGACATTGAGAACATTCTGTCAAGCATTCAAGATCAGTGCAATCTCTCAGACCGGAGCGTTATAGAGGACGTGTTCCCCTGTACGAAGATGCAAGAAGGTCTTCTGGCTCTGGCCTCACGTAACTTGGGATCTTACACTGCCCGTCAGATATTACAGCTCTCACCGGATGTAGATCTCACAGTGTTCAAATTGGCTTGCGAGGCAACTGTGGAACTGTGCGGTAATCTAAGGACGAAGATTGTACAAGTGGATGGCAACTCTTACCAGGCTGTCCTAAACGAGCCTCTTATGTGGCACAACACAGATAATCTTCCGCTAAATGAGTACTTGGACTTGGCGCGCGGTATCAAGATGGGGTATGGAATCCCCCTCAGTTACTTTGCTATCGTGGAGGAAGATGACAAGAACCGCTTCTTTGTTTGGACCGGTCACCATGCCATATACGACGGTTGGTGCATTCAGATCGTCCTCCGCACGCTTTCTGAGGCCTATCACGGACTCACTGTCTCCAAACCGTTACCATTCAGCCATTTCGTCAAGTTTGTCAATGACATCGACAATGAAGTTGCAAGCGAGTATTGGCGAAATCAACTCCAAGATGCCCAGCCCGCATCATTCCCGCCACGAGGCCATAATGACACCAACGGGAACCGATACTTCAGCGCGACTGTACCTTGTCCTCCATCCGCCGACAATTCAATCACCAAAGCAACACTGATTAGGGCGGCCTGGGCTATTGTGCTTGCTCAACACTCAAGCACTGATGATATTTGTTTTGGTGCAACTGTCTCGGGACGTCAAGCTCCCGTTCCGGGCATCGAGAGTTTATCTGGGCCTACTATTGCCACTGTCCCAGTTCGCATCCGGCTAGACAAGGACATGAACACGAACTCCTATCTCCAGTCAGTTCAATCTCAAGCTATAGATATGACCCGCTACGAACAGTATGGGTTACAAAATATCTCTAAGCTCGACGCGGAGACGAAGGACCTTTGTGACTTTTCGAGTTTATTTGTCATTCAACCAGCTCGGCAGTACGTCGATTCAGATGACCACTCACTATTTGTACCTTTGCAAGAGACCAAGATTACAATCGAGGAGTCTCTTGATGGATTCTCGGACTATCCTCTTATATGTCAAGTGATGCTTGGAGATAATTCCGTGGGCCTTGAGTACAGCTACAAGACAGGGTTGTTGCATGAGTCTCAGCTCGTCGCTATTTCACACCAACTCGGCCATGTGATTGAGCAACTCGCCAGCCAAACTGGTACCACGCTTTCTGATATCTCAGTAACGGGGCAATGGGATCTCCTTCAAGCCGAAGCCTGGAACAAAGCCCCTCTCGCATCCGACCTTTGCGCTCATGAACTGATTTCCCAGCATGCCAAGACTCGCCCAACAGCAGAGGCAATATACTCCTCAGAAGTATCACTGTCATTCTCGGAGCTTCATGACTTATCCACGAGATTTGCCGAGCATCTCTCTTCTCTCGGCGTAGGACCAGATACAGCCGTACCATTCTGTTATGAAAAGTCCCCTTGGGTTGTTGTCGCGATGGTAGCCATTATGAAGGCCGGAGGCTACTTCATCCCTCTAGATCCACAACAGCCAGTAGATAGACTGAGGGAGTTAATTAATGATGTCGGTGCCAAACATATCATTGTGTCCCCCGAGACGCTCAGCGTGTGTCGTGGGTTGGCTCCCACTCTCATCGAGCTATCTCAGCAGACAATACACCAGCTTGCCGAGACCCAAGTTGGCTCGTCGGAGGATGTGAACGTTTCTCCAAGAAATGTGGCCTATTTATTATTCACTTCTGGCTCAACTGGAAAACCCAAAGGTCTCATGGTGGAGCATGCCGCGCTCAGCGCCGCTGCTGTTCAGGGTCACGGGAAGGAGTATGGATATGATTCTTCAACTCGCATGCTGCAGTTTTCACATTACGTCTTTGACGCCAGCATAACTGAGATCATCTGCCTTCTGATACGAGGAGGCACGGTCTGTGTTCCTAACGAGCTCGAGCGGCTTCAGGGGACAGTAGAGTTCATGAACAAGGCTCGGGTCAACATGACACTTCTAACCCCGTCGTTTGCGAAGACATTGAGTCCCACTAGCTTGCCGAACCTGAAGAGACTGATTCTTGGTGGAGAACCCGTTACAAGAGACGTCATTGATAAGTGGTTTGACCACGTGGATGTGCTCAACGCTTATGGACCTGCGGAAACTTGCGTCTGCTCGAATGTCTACCACTTCCAATCTAAAGATGACGTTCCCGGGATAATTGGATTCGGTGCTAACACTACTTGTTGGATTGTTGATCCCGCAAATCACCAACAACTGGCACCCATCGGCTGTGTTGGTGAACTTCTACTTCAAGGCTTTGTCGCCCGCGGATACATCAATAATGAAACGCAAACCAGTAAAGTGTTCTTCGACACGGTCCCATGGCTTGGGCCGTCTAAGCCCTCAGATGGTACCAGGTTTTACTTGACCGGAGATCTCGTTCGATATCAGCCCGATGGAACGCTGGAAATTCTTGGCCGCAAGGACACGCAACTCAAACTTCGAGGTCAAAGAATTGAACCGGGGGAGATTGAATACGCCATCAAGAAACGTCGCCCAGAGCTCGATCACATCGCCGTTGATATTGTCAAAACGGAGCTAGGCGACTCTCTCGTTGCTTTCTTTCCCCAACCCAGCTTGAAAGCTGGTAGTACTGAGTTTTTCGGCACGCTCAATGCCGAGGAGCAGGCAAGTATCCAACAATTGTCTTCTGATTTGACTTCAACTCTCCCAAGGTACATGGTGCCTTCGCACTTCTTACCAGTAACGGCGATGCCATTCATCAACGCCATGAAACTAGATAGGAAGAAACTTCGACAGATGGCAACCACTCTAACGTCGCAAGAGCTATCGTCTTTCACGTTGCAGCACACAAAAGCGGCGCCAACAACAGAACTAGAGTTCAAATTGCGCGACATTTGGGCTAGAGTACTCAATATACCAGCTGAGCGCATTGGTAAGAGCGACAGCTTCTTGCAAATTGGCGGCGATTCCATCTCCGCTATCCATTTAGTGTCACAGGCACAGACCGAAGGTATTGGGCTGAGTGTGCTAGACATATTCAAGGACTCCCGTCTTGAAAGCATGGCTAGCTACTGTTCGACACTTGAGTCTGTTACGACAGACGACAAAATTAGTGCTTTCAGCCTGCTCCCTGGTGAGCTTGCTGATATTGAGAAGACCACAGCAGCCATTCGCAAAGCGTGCGCCTTGAAAGGAGAGCAGACAGTGGAGGATGCATACCCCTGTACACCTCTTCAAGAGGGCCTCATCGCCCTCTCTGTCAAGCAGCCCGGTTCTTATATTGCGAAGAATGCATTTAATCTTTCTGCCGATGTCAATATTGAAAAGTTCAAGAGTGCCTGGGAGCGCGTCGTCAGCCTCTGTGCCAATCTGCGGACCAGGATAGTAGAATCCAACGGGAAGCACATTCAGGCAATCATTGAGAACGATGTCGAATGGGATACTTTCCACCCCTCTGATCTCTCTCAAGCATTGGAGTCGTCAACGCAAGTCAGCATGGGTTACGGATCCCGGCTGAGTCGGTATAGCATTGGTCAGAATCTGGACAACAAGCAGTACTATTTCCTTTGGCTCTGCCATCATGCAGTTTTCGATGGCTGGACCATGAGTGTGGTCATGGATTTATTGTATCGGTCTTATTACAACCAGGAACTTCCTTCTATCCGTCCATACGCTAATTTCATATCTTATGTCATGGATATGGACCTGGCAGCAACTCAAGAATATTGGAAGAAGTCGCTGCTCGGCGCGCAAAAGACAGCATTCCCACCCAACAAATCCTCCCAGAAACAGGGCCCCTCTCGCAGTTTCACTCAGTCGATCCAATTCCCGAAGTCGACTGCCACGTCAATAACCAAGGCCACTGTGCTACGAGCAGCCTGGGCCATTGTGCTCTCTCGTTACTGCGAGACCAACGATGTTACGTTTGCAGCTACAGTTTCGGGTCGAAATGCTCCCGTGGTAGGCCTCGAGTCAACACCTGGGACAGTCATCTCAACAATCCCGGTCCGTGTTCAGTTAGATGGGGATCAAACGGTCAAAGCGTTCCTGCAGTCTGTCCAGTCACAAGCTTCTGATATGATTCCATACGAACAATTTGGTCTTCAGAATATCTCCAAATTGGGCCCCGATGCTAAAGAAGCTTGCGATTTCTCAAGTTTAATGGTTGTCCAACCTGTCCAACAAATGGGCCTCGCCGGAACAGTTAACGATCAACTCCTGGTTCCGGCCGTCACTACTATTGAAGGCAACGAAAAGTCTTTGCAAGGATACTTCAGCTACCCATTGGTGATCCAAGGTGCGCTGTCAGACCTAGGGGCTGAACTCTTCCTGACATACGACTCGGGTCTTCTGGAGGAGCATCAGGTTCTTGGGCTTTCAGAGCAACTTGCACAAGTTGTACAGCAATTAACCACGCTTGGTGATGTCAAACTTGGCAATCTTTCAATGACATCATCTTGGGACATCGAAGAGGCGAAACGGTTCAATTTGAACAGGACTCCTCAGATCATTGACAGCTGTATCCACAAGGTCATTGAAGCGCAAGCGATGCACCAACCTCAAGCTCCGGCAATTCATGCCTGGGATTATCAGTTGACGTATGCTGAGCTCAACGGGTATGCAAATCAGCTGGCCCATCATTTGATTAAAACGTTTGGAATCAAATCTGGAGACGTTGTTCATGTCTGCTTCGACAAGTCGGCATGGTATTATGTGTCTATCTTAGCTATCAACAAAGCTGGTGCCGTGTGGTCACCTCTAGATCCCGCTCACCCAACACAACGCAAGCAATATCTCGTTGGTAGGACAGGCGCCAGTCTAATTTTGGCATCAGAGCATCTTCAGACCAGCTGTTCAGATCTAGTGCCGAATGTCCTTGCTATCAAAGCTGATTTCATCCTTCAACTTCCACATGATGCAACCGCAGGCCCGAGCATCCAGACCGCTTCTGATGATATTGCCTATATTCTCTTTACTTCCGGCAGTACAGGTGTACCTAAAGGCTTCGTTATGTCTCATCGCGCACTATGCACCAGTCAAGCTGCGTTGTCCGGAAGACTTGGTTTGACCCAGAGAATCAGAATGCTGCAGTTTGCGTCCTATGTCTTTGATTTCTCGATTGGTGAAATCTTTCATTGTTTAGGATCTGGAGGCTGTCTTTGTGTTCCTTCAGAAGATGACCGATTGAATGATATAAGTCGGTTCATTCGCGATGCCAATATCAACTGCGCCTACCTTACACCGTCATTCACGCGAACGATAAACCCCGAGCAGGTTCCGTCGCTCGAGATGCTCGTTTTTGGTGGAGAGGCCGTAACCAGGGACGTATTTGATCAATGGTTTGGCAAGGTTCGATTGCTCAATGCTTATGGCCCCGGCGAGGCAAGCACTATTTCAACCATTTACGAGTACCAATCTAGTGAAGACTCTGCCGGTAATATCGGAACACCCATCGGATGCATGTGCTGGATTGTTGACCCTCAAGACTCTTCTCGACTTGCGCCTGTGGGCACCGCTGGAGAGCTCATTATTCAAGGGCCTGGGCTTCTTTCTCACTACCTTGGAGATCCAGAGCGAACACGGGAGTCGGTAATTGAACAAATACATGAGTGGGCTCATGACAGGCACAAACCATACATGGGAAGAGCCTTCAGATCCGGTGACCTATGTTTCTATCGACCGGACGGAAATATTGAATTCGCCAGTCGAAAGGATACTCAAGTCAAGATCAGAGGTCTTCGTGTCGAACTGGGTGAAATTGAATATCATATACTCTCTCTTCTGGAGGGAGTATCTCAAGTTGTTGCGGATGTTGTTCGATCTGGAGACTCTTCTAATGTTGTGGCCTACTTTTCCTTCTCCGACTCGAACAATTGCGACTCGATAGACCTATTCTCCGAGATCACACCAGAGCTTTCCTCCAAATTGACCAAGCTCGTCGGTGAACTGAAACTCGTCCTTCCAAGTTACGAGGTTCCTTCCATTTTTATTCCTTGCAACTACATTCCAGTCAATACATCATCGAAACTCGATCGTAAGATACTAAAGGAGCAAACCGACTTACTGGACCGAGAGAAACTACACCACTACTCTCTTGTGAGTTCATCTAAACGAGCAACTGAAACCGAAATGGAAGCTCGCCTTCAAGTTATCTGGGCATCCGTTCTCGGTTTATCAAGAGAAGCTATCGGCCGTGATGATAGCTTCCTGCAGATAGGTGGTGATTCCATTTCTGCAATTCACGCTGTTGCGGCGGCTAGAGAGGCTGGGATCCAGACAGCGGTCAACCACATTTTCAAAGATCCGCGGCTCTTCATGGTTGCTTCCCTTGCCACTAATGTGAGTGCTGAGGACGAGAATGACGACCATGGCATTAGCCAGCCCTTCTACATGATACCTACACAGCTTCATGATGTAGAATGGGCAAAGGAAGCTCGCAACCTCTGCCGTCTTCAGCCTGATGAGGTGATTGAAAACGCAATGCCAGTAACGGCGTTCCAGGAGGGTCTAATGGCCCTCGCTGTCAAGCAGCCCGGCTCTTACATCGGTCAATGGATATATAAGATACCCGACAACGTTGATATTCCTCGATTCAGGGCTGCTTGGGAGCGAACCGTCAGCATCTGCAGCAACTTGAGGACAAGGATCATCAGTATCTCGCAAACGATTCTTCAAGTAATCATCAAAGATGACTTTACCTGGGAGCAGACTGAAGGCCTAATTCTCTCCGAGTACATTGAGAAGCTGAGCAACATGGAAATGACTCTTGGCACGCGACTCAATCGCTGGGCTCTGATCGAGGAACCGTCAGGAAACAACTACTTTGTCCTTGCTGCTCACCATTCCACCTACGATGGCTGGACAATGCGGCTTCTTCTTCGCACAGTGGTCGAGGCATATACACAGGCTGATATTTTTGGTCCGAAATCATTTGACAGATTCGTCAAGTATACTCAATCCTTGGATCAAGACGCTGGTAAGCGGTATTGGCTTGACCAGCTCAAAGATGCCAGCCGCGCCACATTCCCCAAATTCAGCCAGAACAAGTCTGATGATAGTGAAGCCCAAGTCATCAATAAGTCTATCGCTCTGCCGCCCTCGTCTCATACATCAATCACGAAGGCCACAATCATGAGAGCAGCTTGGTCGCTTATACTAGCTCAATACTGCGACACGGATGATGTATGCTTTGGCACATCAGTTTCTGGCCGACAAGCTCCAGTCTCTGACATTACCGAGATCGCCGGACCGGTCGTGGCCACGGTTCCTGTGCGTGTACGCATTGACGGGCAGACGTCCGTTTCAGACTTCCTACAGGCTGTTCAATTACAGGCAACTGATATGATAGCTCACGAACAGTTCGGCCTTCAAAATATTTTGAAGCTCGACGACACGATCCGTGACGCATGTGCCTTCTCCAGTTTGCTTGTTATTCAACCGTATGAAAAGATGGCCGAAATGGGTAGCGAATCCGGTGCAATTCTAGTCCCATATGCTCAGGATGGGCAGTCTCAGTCAATGGATGGATATTTCAGCTTCCCTCTGGTGGTTCAAACACTAATCTCGGATCAACATATCGAACTTAACTTAACCTACGAGTCAGCCGCACTGAGTGAGCGAACCATGACTGGGTTAGCTAACCAACTCGAGCATATCATCAGGAGCTTGGCCGCCGAAACAACCAAGTCTCTACAGGACTTGTCAATGGCCAGTCCATGGGATCATCAACAGGTGACAGATTACAACCATGAAATTGCTGAAGTCATTGACTCGACTTTCCATGAACTGGTAACGGAACAAGCTCGAACTCGCCCCGACTCCATCGCAATCCAAACCTCCGAAGTTGCATTGACTTACCAGGAGCTGGATGAATTGTCAGACAAACTTGCAGCCCATTTGACAACTTCTTATGCAGTTTCACGAGGCGACTTTGTCCACATCTGCTTTGAGAAGTCTGCTTGGCACTTCGTATCCTTGCTTGCAATCAACAAAGCCGGCGCAGCTTGGGTTCCTCTGGACCCTTCTCATCCGCTTGAACGACAGAAACAGGTAGTTTCTCAGACGAAGGCAAAGCTGATTCTTACTTCAGCGCTACAGGAAGATCTCGGTGCCAGACTCGTGGGAGAGGTTGTCGTAGTTACAGCCGAATTCCTCAACAGCCTTACTGCCTCCGATAGCTTCCAGGCAGCCTCATCTCCGGGCGACGCCTGCTACGCTCTATTTACATCTGGTAGTACTGGAACACCAAAGGGTTTCGTCATGGAGCACCGGGCCGTCTGCACAAGTCAGAGAGCCATTGGTAACAGGCTTGGCCTTACCCCTGAAGTCAATATGCTGCAATTCGCCGCATTTGTTTTCGACCTGTCAATTGGTGAGATCATTGGTCCTCTTATTACTGGGGCTACCATTTGTATCCCCTCGGATGAGGTCCGCATGAGTACTCAGAGTTTGGTTGACTTCATCTCCGAGCATCGGGTCAATTGGTCATACTTGACCCCGTCATTTGCCCGGACCATGAAGCCCGAGTCAGTTCCTTCTCTTGAGCTGCTACTCTTCGCTGGTGAAGCTGTTCCTCGAGACGTCTTTGAGACTTGGGTCACAAAGGTGCGTCTTATCAATGGATGGGGGCCCGCAGAGACGTGCTGCTTCAGCACATTGCATGAATGGACTTCGGCAGACGAATCACCACTTACCCTCGGACGACCTGTTGGTGGTCTCTGTTGGGTGGTTAAAGCAGATGATCCCCAGAAGCTCGCTCCGATAGGCACACTCGGTGAGGTTATTATACAAGGTCCAACTCTGCTTCGAGAGTATCTGGCAGATCCAAAGAAAACTTCAGAAACTACCTTCACAGACGTACCTGGGTGGGCATACTCGGGAAGCGAGCATTGGGGCCGTTTCTACAAGTCAGGCGATCTTTGCTTCTACAATTCGGATGGGCTCCTAGAGTTTGCGACACGAAAGGATACTCAGGTCAAAATTCGAGGCTTGCGCGTTGAGCTGGGTGAGATTGAACATCAAATTCTCTCCAATCTAACCACGGCCCGCCAAGTTGCTGTTGATGTTTTGAAGACTGATGTAGGGACTAGTTTGGTCTCTTATATCTGCTTCAGTAGCCAGAGCAGGATATCACAGCAGTCCAATGACTATCAGGATCTATTTGCGCCAATTGACAGCACTCTCCACAGCGAATTATCAGCAATGGTGAGCAGGCTGCAAATTGTCCTTCCCCGATATATGATCCCTACTTTCTTCGTCCCGTGCAATTACATGCCATTCATCACATCCTCGAAATTAGACAGGAAGACGCTCCGCGCCGAGGTCGGCAAGTTGGATCAGGCCCAAATACACGAATATGCCCTCCAATCAGGAGAGAAGGAGGCACCAAAAACAGCTATGGAAGTCCAGATGCAAAAGCTGTGGTCGACAGTGCTGAATCTCCCAACCGAGTCTATTGGGCGCGGCGACAGCTTCCTCGCCTTGGGAGGTGATTCCATCACTGCAATCAATCTCATGACCGCCGCTAGAGAGCAAGGTATCGAAATCAGCGTCAATGATATCTTCCGCGATCCCCGGCTTTTGAGTGTTTCGCTTGTGGCCAATGCCTTGGCTAAGCCACTTGAAAAGTCGACCGATATTCAACCCTTCGATCTTCTGTCCCCCGAAGAACGAAGTATGGTGCATAGCGGTGCTCTTCAAGCTCAATGTGGCCTCTCTGAGTCATCCGTAATCGAAGACGCTTTCCCTTGTTCCGCTCTGCAAGAGGGACTTATTGCGCTCTCGGTCAAACAAACGGGTTCATACATTACTAAGTATGTGCTCAAAGTTCCAGAACATGTAGACCTCGCTCAATTCAGAGTTGCATGGGATCAAACCGTGCAGCTTTGCACGAACTTGAGGACTCGCATCGTTTCTTCAAACAATCGCTCCCTTCAAGTAATTTTCAAGGGTGAGGTTGCCTGGGAGGCCACGGAGGGACTCGGAGTGAACGATTTCCTCAAGACAACACAAAGTTACGAAATGACCTTCGGTTCTCAACTCAGTCGCCATGCAATGATTACGGAACAGGGTCAGACCTATTTCGTGTGGATCACACATCACTCTATTGTCGATGGATGGTGCTTGCAGTTAATCTTCCGCACTCTTCATGAATGCTACTGGGGACAGCCTCCCAACAGTCTGGCTCCGTATGCGGGCTTCATCAAGCATGTCCATAACCTAAACCTTGAGCAGGCCTCTGCCTTTTGGGCAAACAAGCTAGAGGGAGCCTCACGCCCTTCATTCCCGGCCAAGTCGACTAGCGATGAGCCCAATTTCAAATTTTTAGATCACAACATCAGCACCCCTTCGATGGCGGGTAGCTCAGTTACGAAAGCCACTGTGCTCAGAGCTGGTTGGTCTGTTGTTCTCTCAAAGCACTGTAACATCGACGATATCTGCTTTGGCGCCACACTGTCTGGCCGGAATGCGGCTGTGGATGGTTTGCAGAATATGCCGGGCCCTGCTATTGCAACGATTCCTATCCGCATCAAGATGGATCACGATGCTTCTGTGGCGAGCTTCCTGCAAGACGTCCAAGCCCAGTCCACTGAAATGACATCTTGGGAGCAATTTGGTCTGCAAAATATCGCCAGAGTCAGCAAGGATGCAAGAGATGCGTGCGAGTTTACCACCTTAATGGTGATTCAACCCAAGCAGCATCTTGATACTGACAACAAGGGTGTTATCATTGATGGAAACGAGGGAGTGAAGACAACTGAACAAGAAATGGTTAACTATTTCAACTATCCTCTTGTTCTCGTTTCCAGCCTTTACAAGGACCACATTCACGTGAGCTTTGCTTACGACACGAATGTCTTATCACCAAAACTTGTCGAAGCTATAGCCCATCAGCTTGATCATGTCATGCAGCAACTGTTTTCGAAGAGTACGCAGCTCGAGCCAATGAGCCAGCTGTCCCTTGTTGGGCCCTGGGATTTGGAGCATGCTGTGCGCCACCAGAACATGAAGCCATCAACTGATCGCTGCATCCACGAGATGATCCGAGAACAGATCAGAAAGACTCCGGATTTACCGGCTTTAACATCATGGGACGGCGACATGACTTATGCAGAGCTCGGCCAACACTGTGAACGCCTAGCAAACTATCTGCTGTCTCTTGGTATCGGGCCTGAAGTATTTGTCCCTATCTGTTTCAACAAGTCAATCTGGGCTGTTGTTTCAATGATCGCTGTGAACATGGCTGGAGGAGCCTTCGTCCCCCTGGACCCTTCGTCTCCTGTCGCGCGGTTAAAGGGTATCTTGAGCGACACCAACTCCACCATGGTGCTTGCTTCACCGGAGTGCTTCGATACCGCGAAGTCTCTTGATATCCCTGTACATTCCATCGACCATGAGGCAATCCTCAAGCTTCCGGAGCCAATCTCACCCATCCAATCGTCCGTGAGCTTCACCAATGCCAGCTTTGTCATGTTCACATCAGGCTCCACTGGAAAGCCTAAGGGGATGATCTTCGAGCACAGAAATATTTCGTCAACTTCCAATAGTCATGGTGTGATACAGAAATGGGGCCCTGGAACTCGAGTCTTCACATACTCGGCGTATACATTCGATATAGGTGTAATTGACGTGATGGTCTCACTTTCGCGAGGAGCTTGTCTCTGCATTCCGTCCGAGTGGCAACGCTACAATGATATACATGGAGCCATCAACTCCATGAAAGCTAATTGGTCCTTCTTCACGCCAACATTAGCAGGCCTCGTCAAGCCGTCTGAAATTCCAACGATTAAGAATGTAGGTCTAGGTGGTGAGAATGTCACCAAACAGGTTGTGGATAACTGGCGTGGCCACGCTACATTGCACAATCTCTATGGGCCAGCTGAAGCATCAATTTGCGGCTGGATTGCCGACGTTGGCATTGTTTCAAGACCTAGTAATATTGGTGTCCCTTCATCATGTGCTTGGTGGGTCGTGAACCCTGAGGATCATACTCAACTGGTCCCCGTCGGTTGTATCGGCGAGTTGATGATCCAGGGACCAATGCTCGCCCGAGGATATATCGGAGACGCCAACAGCAGCGTGTGGCTACATGATGTTGACTGGGTACCTGGCAATGCGTCCAGGAAAGCCTATGTAACTGGTGATCTTGTCCGTCGGCTGGAAGACGGCACCTTTGAGTATCTAGGCCGAAAGGATACACAGATTAAGCTTCATGGTCAACGTGTGGAGCTTGGAGAGATCGAATCCCGCCTCGAAGTTGTTCTACCACAGAACATGGCCTGTGTCGTGGATACAATCATCAACGAAGAAGCACAGACGAACACTTTGGTGGCCCTCCTTTGGTATACCAGGGGTGAAACTTCTGAGGCTCCTCAACTCGAGCTCGTTAATGATGTGTCTGACGAAATGCGTGCTCTCATCGCTGAGATAGACTCTTCATTGAGCCTGTCACTAGCCACGTATATGGTGCCAAGCATGTATCTTGTCTTCCAAGGAATGCCCGAACGGAAGAGCTCCGGTAAGATCGACAGGCAAAAGCTACGTACCTTAGCCCACGATGCTCCAGCGAAAGAAAAGCTCAAGTTTGCTCCTGGAGGCGGAGAAGCTGGTGCCCACGAGCCCGTAACCGATCGCGAGTACGAACTCAGGGACTTGTGGGCTCAAGTCTTGAACATCAACGCCAATGACATCGGACGTCACGACAGCTTCCTCAGGGCAGGAGGTGACTCAATCAGCGCTATAAGATTGGTTACCCTCGCACGTGAGAAGGGCTTCAGTCTAGATGTAGGAAGTATTTTCAAGGACCCCCGACTGTCACCGATGGCGGCTGCTTGCGGCGTCATTGTTGATGCCGCACCACCTCCCCAATGTGAGCCGTTTAGCCTGATTCCTGCGGACCGCAGAATTGATATCATGTCCGAAGCTGTCATTCAATGCAGTATCCAGAACCAGACTCAGATTGAGGACATTTTCCCTTGCACCCAACTCCAAGACGGGCTTTTAGCACTCACCGTCAAGCAGCCGGGTTCCTATATTGCTAGACATGCCTTCCGTCTTGCTAGCACAGTTAATATTTCGCGCTTCGAGCGCGCTCTGAGGGAAACTGCTGATATCTGTGTCAATCTTCGAACAAGAGTAATCAAATGCCAGGACATGGCCTTCCAAGTTGTCATTAAGGATGATGTTGAATGGGATGGTATTCATACCGGAATGAATGCCACAGGTCTGATGAGAGCATCCAAGAACATCAACATGACCTACGGCTCTAAGCTGAATCAGTTCAGTCTTGCTCAAGATGACAGTGGAAAATGGTACTTTTTGTGGCTTACACATCATTCAGTGTTCGATGGTTGGAGCTTGGGTATCATCCTAGACACTTTGAAGAGAGCCTACGAAGGAAACGCATTACCTATCATCAGCCCGTACGTCAACTTCATCGCATACACACGCAGTATTGATGAGTCGGCTGCTAGAGCCTTTTGGGAACAGCAACTACGGGATGCTCGGCGAGCACCTTTCCCATCAAAACGAGCAAATGCGGTCTCTTCTGATGACTCCGTCACAGGTGTGCTTACCAAGTCGCTCCCATTCACACAATCAGCCCGAACCTCCATCACCAGAGCCACAGTTCTTCGGGCTGCCTGGGCTATTCTTCTTGCAAGATATTGTGGGACCGACGATGTAACATTCGGTGCTACTGTCTCTGGCCGCAACGCTCCTGTGATTGGTATCGAAGACATTCCAGGGGCGATGATTGCTACATTGCCGATCCGTGTCCGTTTGGACTTCCAAAAATCTATCAAGGCCTTCATGGAAGATATTCAACTTCAATCATCAGACATGATTGCATTTGAACAATTTGGTCTCCAGAATATTTCTAAGATAAGCCATGATGCGAAGGAGGCATGTGGCTTCTCCAGCCTGATTGTTATTCAGCCTGGACAACAGAAGGGTTCAGTCGGTGCAACGCCTGCCGGAGAAGACTTACTTGCTTCTGCTGGTTCAGAGGAGGATCTGGTGGAAAACTCTCTCCAAGGCTACTTCAACTACCCCTTGGTCATGCAATGCGCATTGCATGAGGATCAGGTTGCGCTATACTTCTTCTACGAGACCAGTTATTTACAAAAGGCGGAAATGGAAGGTATGGCCCATCAATTTGAGCAGGTGGTCTCTGAACTTCTCTCCGAAGATAACCTCAGACACTTGAGTGAAGTCTCACTTGCGTCACCATGGGACATCAGCACCGCGATTGACAGGAATCAGACTCCTGAAGTTGTCGAAGATTGTCTCCACAACATCATTGCCTCCAACGCAGTTGAACGACCTGAATCTCCGGCTGTGTATGCCTGGGATGGCGAGCTGACATACGCTCAACTCGATGCTACCTCCAACCGTCTCGCTCAGTATCTCGTAGACGAGTTCAATGTCATGGTTGGTGATGTAATCCATGTCTGTCTAGACAAATCACTGTGGTACATTATTGCCATTCTCGCGATCAACAAAGCAGGCGCTGCATTCTCGCCAATTGATCCCAGCCACCCACTCCAGCGAAAGCAACAGATTGTTGAGCAAACTCAAGCGAAGATCATGCTCGTGTCACCCAAATACATCCAAGATGCAGCTCAGGTCATCGAACACGTCATTCCACTCGACGCTATCCTCGATGCGCGCTTGACACCAGTCACGAAGAGTCCTGCGACTTCGGTATCTCCCACAGACGTTGCATACGTCCTGTTCACGTCTGGCAGTACCGGGCGTCCAAAGGGCTTCCTCATCGAACATCAGTCCATTTGCACGTCTCAACACGCCCTCGCTGCCCGTGTTGGCCATGGACCCGAGACCCGCATTCTCCAATTTGCAAATGTCATCTTTGACTTCTCCATTGGAGAGATCTTCCAAGCCTTGACAAGCGGTGGCTGTATTTGCATACCATCCGAGGAGATGCGGTACAACAATATCCAGGAGTTTATCCGGCAAGCCGAAGTCAACTGTGCGATGTTGAGTCCTTCATTCATTCGCACTCTCAAACCTGAAGAAGTCCCATGTGTCAAAGCTCTCTTCTTCGCCGGCGAAGCAGTCCCGCAAGAACTCTTTGATGAATGGTTCGGCAAGGTGCGCCTATTCAATGTTTGGGGACCAGGTGAAGCCGCCTTTGCCTGCTCGGTCTATGAATACCAGTCCAAATACGACTCTCCTGCAACAATCGGAGAATCATTTGGTGCATCGTGCTGGATCGTTGATCCTGATGATCCAACTCAACTCGCCCCAATTGGCACCGTGGGAGAGATATTGATCCAAGGTGCTACTGTTCTCCGCGAGTACCTTGGAGATCCTGTCAAGACTCAAGCCTCAACACTTAGCCACACACCTAGTTGGGCGACAAGTAAAGAAGTCGGTGTCCCAAGTCGATTCTTCAAGTCGGGAGATTTGGCCATGTATAATGCCGAGGGACAAATCGAGTTTGTTACCCGCAAAGACACGCAAGTCAAGATTCGTGGGTTGCGAGTAGAGCTGGGCGAGGTTGAACATCATATCCTCGCTCTCCTAGATGGAGTGAAACAAGTCGTTGTTGACGTGCTTCGAACCGAGGAAGTTCCAAAGCTGGTCGCGTATCTGGCCTTCTCCGACAGCAAACGCACCATGACTGAATCTGAAGAATTATTCTCAGCCATCACATCTGAGATCGAGTCCAAACTTGTTGAGATGAGAGGCAGGCTTGAACTGATCGTTCCGAACTATATGATTCCTTCGATCTTCATTCCATGCAATTTCATTCCGATCAGCAGTTCCTCCAAACTTGATCGAAAGATGCTGATCCACAAGACAACCGGCCTAACGCGTGAACAAATTCACCACTACTCTCTAGTTGATGCCGTAAAGAGAGCACCAGAGACAGCCATGGAACTCCGCCTCCAGTCGATGTGGTCAACGGTCCTCAAAATTCCACTCGAATCAATCGGGCGCGACGATAGCTTCCTCCAAATCGGTGGCGACTCTATCCTCGCTATCCAGCTGGTCTCTCTAGCTCGCGAATCAGGAGTCTCCTTCAAGGTCAAAGACATTTTCGATGACTCTCGCCTGTCTACATTGGCGGCCAAAGCCACTGAAATCGACGGGGATATCGTGGAGGATACTATTGAGCCTTTTGAATTGATTTCGCACGAGCAAAAGGAACTGATACTTTCCAGCAGCGTCAGAGAGAAATACGCTCTGTCCGACAATCAACAAATCATTGACGCGTACCCTTGTACGTCAATCCAGGAGGGAATGGTTGCCCTCGCGGAGAAGCAGCCGGGATCTCATATGGCCAAGTACGTCTACCGCCTCGCCGATGATGTCGATGTCAACCGGTTCAAGGCTGCCTGGGAGAAGACTGTCCAATCCTGTAGCAATCTGCGAACTCGGATTGTTCAATTAAACGGAAAAGCAATTCAGCTTGTCCTTGACAACGAGAGTGAATGGGATTCCCCCGACAAAAATGATGTCTCTTCATCCATCAAGAGTATGTCTCAGCCGCCAATGGGATTCGGAAGTCGCCTCAGTCGGCATGGCCTCGTTAGCAAAAACAACGTCCACTATTTCACATGGGTCATACACCACTCCATCTACGATGGGTGGTCCTCCCAACTGATCCTGCGAACCCTATTTGCTCTTTATGAGAACAGCCAGCCAGCATCTTTGTATCCCTACTCTGGCTTCATCAAGTACACTATGGGCGTCGGGGAAGATGCCTCACGCGAGTATTGGACCAGTCAACTGCAAGATTCAAAACGGTCCTCATGGCCGCCGATGGTGCCTCGATCTGGGTTACGGACAGATAACCCAACGAGGGTTCTAGAGAAAACAATCCACTTCCCCAAGACTACCAGCACGTCCATCACAAAGGCTACCATCGTTCGCGCAGCTTGGGCAATTGTGCTCGCTAAATATTCTGAGACAAGTGATATCTGTTTCGGTACGAGTGTGTCTGGCCGCCAAGCCCCCGTTGCTCATCTTGGAGACATGCCTGGGCCGGCCATCGCAACAGTCCCAGTCCGTATCAAGATCGATGGGCAGCAGTCAATTTACAACCATCTAAAGCAAGTCCAGAACCAGGCCATTGACATGGTTCCCTATGAGCAATATGGATTACAAAACATCTCCAAGTTGGGCCGTGACGCTGAAGAGGCGTGTGGTTTCTCTTCCTTGCTTGTCGTACAACCTACGCAACAACTAGCCAGCATTGGAGGCCAAGCGTACTCTATACTTGGAGCCGCAGATGATGCTGACAACATGAGCATGGAGGATTCCATGGAGGGTTACTTCACATATCCTCTAGTCTTCCAAGGCCGAATTTCCGAAGATGCAGCAGAGCTGATTGCCATCTATGATAGCGATATCCTGAGCGAGATGAGGATACTGGCTATGATCAACCACTACAATTTTGTCGTGCAACAACTCATCACCGAAAGTGACAAGACAGTCGGCTCTATTAACCTCGCGGGAGATTGGGATTTACAAAAGTCTCTAGAGTGGAACAATCACCAAACTGAACTGGTTGACCGCTGCTTCCATGAAATGTTCGAAGAACGAGCCGCGATCCAGCCTGAGGCGATGGCCATTGACTGTTGGGATGGAAAACTAACCTATAGCCAACTCAACAGCGCGGCAAACCGACTCGCCCATCACCTTTTGAGGTCTTACGATATCAAGAGTCAAGATCTGATACATGTTTGCTTTGAAAAGTCTGCCTGGTACTACGTCTCCATTCTCGCTATTAACAAGGCTGGTGCTGCCTGGGTCCCTCTTGATCCCGCCCATCCTGAAGAGCGGAAGAGACAAGTTACAAAGCAGACAGAAGCTAAGCTTGCGCTTTCTTCCCCTCAAAGCGCTCACTTGGTCTTGCCACTGGTCACCACAGTTGTGGAGGTTAGTTCGCAACTCGACCAGGAGATTCTCAATTCGCCCGAGTGCAGCGATCAGAACCCAGGCGTTGCAGTCTCTCCCAGCGATGTTGCATACGTGCTCTTTACATCAGGCAGCACGGGTACACCGAAGGGGTACATCAATGAACACAGGTCATTGTGTACCAGTCAAACAAACATCCCTCGCAGCCTAGGTATTCCCACAACCTCACGGACACTTCAATTTGCATCCTATGTAGTTGATTTCGCCATCGCTGAGCTTGCAAGTACATTGCTGCATGGCGGCTGCTTGTGCGTTCCTGACGACGAAACAAGAATGGATGGACTCGTCAAATTCATCAACGACACCAACGTTAACTGGGTCTTCCTTACCCCATCGTTCTTCCAGACGATGCGTCCTGATCAACTGCCTAACCTCGAAGTGGTTGTACTTGCTGGTGAAGCCGTATCTCAAGACCTCCTCGATGCCTGGTTTGGTAAAGTCCGATTAGTCAATCTCTGGGGCCCTGGTGAAGTCATCGTCGGAACAACATGGTATGAGTACACTTCTGCGAAAGACATCCCAACCAATATCGGACGTCCCGTATGCGGTCATACATGGCTTGTTGACCCTGAAGATGCTACAAAGCTGGCACCAATCGGAACAATCGGAGAAATTGTTATTCAGACACCCACAATGCTACGCGAGTATCTGAAGAACCCCGAGAAAACAAAAGAGGCAATCATCACAGACCTCCCAAGTTGGGTCCCACGCCGTACTGAGCCATCGTGGGATCGTATATACAAGACAGGAGATCTGGCGTGCTATACTGCTGACGGTTGCCTTGATTTCGTATCACGGAAGGACACACAGGTGAAAATCCGCGGATTACGTGTTGAACTCGGCGAAGTTGAGTATCACATCCGCGAAACCCTGCCCGACGTACGGCAAGTTGCTGTCGACGTGTTCAAGACAGATATCAGCGTGAACCTAGTTGCCTATTTCAGTTACAGTGATACAATGCGGCCTCAAGTCGCCGCTGATGTATTCCTTCCACTCGACTCCAAGCTTCGAGAGGCCATCGCCGAGCTAGCAGGCAAGCTGGATGTTGTGCTTCCAGCATACGAGGTTCCAACAATGTACATTCCTTGCGCCTACATGCCAGCCAACGCCTCGGAGAAGTTGGATAGAATTGCATTGAAATCTCTGACATCCGATTTGAGTCACGATCGACTGACAATGTATTCACTTTCCAGCACTGAGAAGCGAGCACCTGAAACGGATATGGAAAGGAACTTGCAGCTTATGTGGTCTCAACTGCTCCGTGTGCCTCCCGAGCAGATTGGACGTGATGACAGTTTCCTTCGCATTGGAGGAGATTCAATTCTAGCAATCCAGCTTGCATCTATGGCCCAAGAACAGGGTATACGGATCACGGTGGCCAACATTTTCAAAGACGCCCGCCTTTCTGCGCTGGCCAAAGCAGCCGCGAATGGCGCTGAGTATGCTGCCACTGATGTAAAACCTTTCAGTATGCTTCCATCCGAAATTTCTGCTACAGATGTATCAATCGAGATCCAAAAACAAGGCGGCCTACCCAACCTTCCAGAGTTAGAGGACGCATTCCCAACGTATTCCTATCAAAACTCAATGATGGACCTTACCCACAGACTCGCGGGAGCGTACGTGACCAAGCGTGTGTGGAGACTTCCTAGCCACGTTGACGTGCAGAGGTTCAAGGAGGCATGGGATAGAACCGTGCAATACTTCCCTAATCTAAGAACCCGCATCCTTCTTGTGGATGGCTCGGAAATTCAAGCCGTTGTGAAGGGTAGGCAAGATTGGGAAGATTCAAAGGGATTAGGTGTCAGGGATTTCATTCATGAATCTGGTATCGCTTTCAACATGGGACGTGGCAGTTGCTTATCTCGCTATGCCATTATTGAAGAAGCGGGCGAAACCTTCTTTGTCTGGATTCAGCATCACACGATCATGGACGGTTGGTCTCTTAACATGCTTCTTGCCGGGGTTCACGCTATGTATCATGGTACAATGCCCGCTCCAATCAACAGCTTCGCCAACTTTGTCCAATATGCCAATGGAATCGATCAAGATGCTGCCGCATCCTACTGGAAGAATACCCTGAAAGGTGTCAAACAAGTCACTTGGCCTAAGCCCATCACCTCTGAGACCCCTCTTCGTGGTGTTACAGACACCAAGACGCGGACGATTCATATCCCAGATAGCCCTGACTCTTCTCTAACTCTGGGAACCGTCGTTCTCGGCGCATGGGGCTTTGCTCTTCGACACTTTGACAGCAAAGATGACATTTGCTTCACTCGCACATCATCTGGTCGTCAGGCCCCTGTGCACGGTATTGACACCACGCCTGGCTTCTGTACCCAGGCTGTTCCTACACGCATCCGGTTCAACAAAGATCAAACTATATTAAGCCTTCTCACTGATCTACAGAATCAATGCTCTGAGTCAGTCCCCTTTGAGCACTTTGGCACAAAAAAGATTGCACAGATTCTGCCAGAGGCTGCGCCAGCCCTGCTTCAGTCCAGCAGTTTGATTATTCCACAGCCGGTCCGCGCTTCGGGAACTGGTGAAGAGACATCTGCAGCGAGTTTGCTCGCTCCTGCGCTAGACAAGTGGGCCGTGGATGATATCCTAGATGGATTCAGACTGGTTCCTCTCTGCTCCAACTTCTTCCTGAAGGAAGACACGGTTGACATTGTTTCGAACTACAATAGGGAAGTCATTAGCAGCACCGAGATTGAAACGCTCTATGACTATCTCGAGGCGATCATTGTTGGTATTTGCAGTCATTCAGATCTTACAGTTGGCAATCTTCTTGAGAGGTTGAACTTGGAATAGTCGCGAGTGGTTGCTTTCCTTGATTTCCATCTAGTTGGGTTATTCTCGCCTGTTAAGCTCTTATTCCTGTTTTCTATTTTCTTTTCTTTTTCACTCTTTAAATATGTTTAGGTAGACAATATCCTCATTTACGAGATTCCTATGGAATTTAAATACATTCTTTAGTTTATCAAACAACGAAGCTCTGTTAGATTATTTGAGTGCGATAGTATTAACTCGACCGATCGGTCTACCCAACTTTCCATAATTTTATCACAGGGTTGAATGATGGAATCCAGTTCAGTACTTCAGTTGTAAGCAGAAGTATAAAGGGGCAAGGTAGGCTGATTTAGCCTAACACGCCATTTGCTGATCAGTATCTAAGGTGTCTTTCATTTCCCACAAGGTACCAAGGCTGAAACAGAACTTTATACTCCGGAGGCTCCGGTGAGGGTGGCTCCCCAAAGCCACCACACCTCCCAACTCTACCCAGCTCCCGATGTCCAAGTTGAATCCAGTACCCTTCTAAACCCCCCGGGCTATTGTTCAAAGGTCTCCAGTGGCGCTCCTGCAAGTGCTGAAGATGGATATGCTCAACCTCGACGTCTCCGGCTTTCACAGCCTGCCTTCTCCTTCTTTCGTACTCCAAGCTACCGAGTGCAATTGTGCACTGTCTCAGCTTGGGGCTGAACTTGGAAATCATCCTGTCAATCGGAGTGATTATATCTCTGTCGGTGATTTCGATGGATTCGACCTCCTCTATGTAAACCGGGTGTCCCCTATATTCCTTCATAGGCGTTAAATCCCCCCACAACGCTATATAGAGTGATGTGAGGTTAGGGAAAGTTGTAGGAAGGGCTTCTAAAAACGCGTAGAACGTACGCAGGCCATCGAGCGGACCAACGACGACACTATTCGGTGCATACGGCTTGAAGTACCAAACCAATTCCACTGATCTGATCTTGGATAGACTTTGAGGAAGTAGAAGTTTGTCCAAATGCAGGAGCATTTGCTTGCTAGCGGTGTGGATAGTGTTCGTGCCATACAAGACATCAACGCCCTCGCAATACCTAAAGCCCCCTGTCAGCTATATTCTTAGTTCAGCGTGCAGATATCAGGAGGGATCCTACGCCTGGCGGCAGCTTAGCAGCCATCCCATTGCTCCTACAAAACACTTGTGCGGCCGTTCACCAGGCCAAAGTTGACAAAAGTGGCCTTCAACACCACCGAAGCGGCAACGGTCCTCTGAGGCATTGACCGCTCTGTCTTTATACTTGTTATGCTCGTCGCTTCTACTATCCCACGGCCGGTTTCTGTGGCAGTCGGAACTGCGCCAGATCCATCTTTTTGGCAATGAGGAATCGACTTTATACCTCTGTGTCTCTTGTTGACCCTCCAACCCTGTCTCGCGATTGTAATTTCCGTGGTTAGACAAATGCTTTATCGAGCCATCGAAATACGCTTTATCCAAGGGCCGTTCTGGATGGTCAAAAGACAAGTCCATATGGATAGTGTGCCCACCAAATGCCTCGACCAGGACTCGGCGACGAATCTTGAATGGGAGCTTCTGGAAGAAGCTAGACTGAGCGGTCGCATCGTCAGCAGAGTCGCGTAGATCCTCCCTAGACGCCGACGGCGTAAGAGTTCGCGTCCTCTCAGCTGGTAAGGCTGGCACCGGCTCTGCCAGCTCAGGGATGTACCGACGAAACTCCTCCCGCGGCCGTGGCTCGTCCGCTAGTCGGGGATCAGGAATCTGTAGCCGGGGCAATCTGGACAATCTTGCTCGCATACTGGCCGATTCTCTCCTATCCTCCTGTGTCCTTTGCTAGCTCCTGCCCTGTCAGATCGGCTCCTGGGACGAACAGGCGCGAAGAGGTTGTTGGGTTGTTGAAATGCGAAGTTCTGATGCCTTAATTCACTGTTGCTTCCCGCCAGGTACATTATCTCAGTTAGCCCACCATCTGTTTCTGGGAAAAGATTACTGAGGGCATTAAAACAGTGGCCGTTACTCCTGATTCGTCACGTGGCCTCTCTATATGTAACGTGCGGATGGATTAGTTGGAACTTAAGTGTGGATAAACCAGGTTGAGTACACCGAAATCCCTCCATCAGCCTATATCCGAGGGGCTTCATGGTTCATTGCGAACCACGAATGCTACTCACACTCGATCATGTGTTCTGTAATAGAATGATAGATAATCTCTAACAGAGAGTTTTGCAATTATCAAGTCTATATTACAGTCATCATTCGGCCCAACTTGCCTCTTCTGGGACCTGACCTTTGATGGGTCTTCTGGGCGGTGTTTCTGGTATTAGGACTTTGGTTTAATAAAGAAGTGGAGTTTTCAAGGGTCTGAAAAGCAGGCACAGCCTTCCCAACACTCATATCCTGCATCCTCAAGGCGCCTGTCAAGTTCTATTGAATATTACTGGAGGGGCAGAATTGATACCTCCAGTCCGATAGTAACCTAATAAAACGCGTGCAAGCCAGGCAGCACACATCATATTTCTCTAGCTCAAGGCAGCGAGTGGCCGTGCGAACCAGATAGCATCATGCATCCAAGGGCTACTTGCTAGATTAGATATAGAATACAGCTTGCGCTGCAAGGATCCATTTCCATGAAGAGAGTCTTACTAGGCAGATCGTTCCAGATAGAAGGCGAATTTCTTACTTGCATTAGACAAACTGGGGCCGTGAGAGCGTGAATAATGATTGCACGGGGCCTCTAAAATGAGTGCCAAGAGGCACGGCCACTTCCAAATTAAGTTTGAAATGTGAAAACTCCGTTGAAGGATTGTCTCCACAGCAGCACCACCTTAAGTATCAGATAACATAACCCGTTCCTTCTGCTGAGCCATCAATCCCTCTATATTGATGGCCTTGGGAAGAAAACTGTACCACATGTTTCACAAGGCAGTGAAGGCTGTGAAGAAGTTTCTTGAGACCATGCAGGGTTCGCATGGTGTCTACATCTGACACATTGCCTCATCTCAGGGTCCAGACTGTCAGCCCAGGCCAAAATCCCTGTCCCGTCAACCTTGGCTCAGACAGGGGTATAGTTTTAAAGGGCTCAAGATAACACTCTCCTCCGTTGGGCTAGGAGAATAGCACACATCTCGAAATTCAAGGCAATCTCTTCTCCATAATCAATCTACGACTAATGCATCCGGCAACTACTAAATGATGCTATCGCTTACAATCATCTTCTTCTCAAGCCTTGCTCTGGCGGCGGACTATGGTGTTGGCGAGGTCACAACTTCCTCCCAAGCTGACGTCCAAAGTTGTGTTGCCTCCGTGGCGAGTCAAATCAGACCGCCTGAGCCGGCCAACACCCCCTTCAACCAATGGGCCACCAGCACATTCTCTATGTCTGCCTGTACTATTACAGCGCCAGCTACCTACTCCGAAGACTTCCTGAGCTATGATAAAGCTCTATCCACATGGCTGTCAACCGTTCAATCTGTCGCCGACAAAATCAACACAAATTGTGGCTATGACACGCTGTCTTACAGCTTTGCCAATTACTGTTCCACCTCACGCACTATTTTATTCACACGTGCCCAAACAACTGGAACCACAACCTCCTGGGAGACGATCACGACGACCCTACCCCCATACCAAACGCATGATATGATTTACATTGGCGCCGCAGGCCGCCGTAATGATATCTCTCACCTGTTACCGGTTGTTGTTCTCGCAACGACTATTACGGCCTTGTTCCTCTGAGGTGCCGATGTAAAAGGCCTAGAGATTGGTAAATAATCTACATAGAATGTACATATCCAAACAATGTCTATATACAAATAAACTGCTTTAGTATAAATTTTTATTTGGTCCTCGTTCGTTTCTAACATTGTAAAGATCTCTTGTACAGTTGATAGGCAGATTTTTTCTTGGTTTTCTGTTCGGAATTGACTGCCACCATGCCTATACTTTCAACGTAGCATGTAATCAATCCACTGTTCCAGTGCAATTTATGCAAACTCCCCCTCCTTCAGGCCAAAGAAGGAAACCTAATGGCGCATTCTCTGGGATGGGTGGTCAATAACTTTCGTTATTTTTGCCCTTCTTTGGAAATAGGAAGTTATGTTCCCGGCAGATTTGGGTTAGCCAATGTGTTATGCTGTACGACTCTCATTCTACACCTTCTCGTTTACTGACTTTTCACACTTATCAGACTTTAGTGTAATAATTCTAGTTCCTTCTTTCTCTTTTCTTTAAGCATATTCCAAATCCGTTCATATCAATTCATATCAAATCATTATGGGACGCTGTATTGCCACTCTAGCTGATCGGAGCATATGTATCACTATTTCAAATACACCGTGAGAGCGATTTTCATGTTAGATTCCTGAAAATATACCAAGAGTCTTAATCGTTGGTTTGAGGTACCCGTCAGATAAGTAAGACGCCTTCCACGTTCGGGTTTCGTCTCTATCCAGCTTCAACCAAGTCGTACAGAAGATGAATATATGACAAATCCTAACTCGCATATATTTAGAGAGCACTGTTCTGAAAAGCAAAAGATATTAAAAAAGAACACTTCTGTCATCAAGTTCCAAAACCATAGATAAATAGGCCACCGGCTAGGCAGGAAACAACGGCTCGTGTGCTCCTTCAGATTTTCAATCATCAAAAGAAATCAAAGTCGTGGAACAAAGAACATTCTACGATTGATAAATCTTCCGAAGGGTTTCGACAAGCTCCGTAGGTCCTCTCACAGTGCCCTCCTCGTCCTCGAAGGTCCCGACCATAATCCCACCAGGCAGTGCAGCTGTTGTCATATCCACCAACTCTTGAGTTACTGAAGGGGGGGCTTGCTCGGCAAAGAACGAAGACAGTTGGTCTGGAGGAATAACAATGGCCTCGACTGCCTTTCCAGTAATCTCCTCAAGAGCGCTCTTCACGTCAAGAGAGCTGTAATGTCTCGGTCCATAAAGGTTAAAGAAGTGCGGATTGGATGGAAGCGGTTGGCCTACTTCGAGTAATTTCTGGGCACAAATCGTCCCAATGTCTTCGATGCTAATCTATAAACAGAGTCAGATAATGCTTCTAATCTCGGATTTCTTGCGACCGATGTACCATTGGAATCTTATGACTCGCTGGAGAGATGGGTGAATAGAATACTGGTGGATCAAGCTTCAGTGTCTGGAATGCGTGCTGCCAATTCTCTTGGAAGTAACCAGGCCGCGGGATGACGACCTCCGCAACGCTGTCCTTCAAGATTTGATCCGAAATATAGTTGACTCGTAAGATCCCCTGTTCTTTTAAGTTTTTGATGCCCAAGATATGAGTGTTGAGCGACAACTTACAATATCCCTGTCATATTGAGAGCCCATGCTCGAAAACAAGACCAGCCTCTTAACTGAAGATGCCTTTGCCAGGGCCTCCTTCACATTCTCAGCATGCTTTCTAGCAGTTTCACCTACGTCGGACCCGTCGTATATAGGTGGTGGGATGTAAAAGACGGCATCCGAGCTGTTGAAATCCAGCGAAGGGCTTGAAGCGATGTCCCCTTGCCTTGCAATGAACTTTGGGTGACTCTTGAACTCGGATGGTATTTTGGTAAGATCTCTGTAAATACCAACAACTCTTGTTGTTTTCTCGTCAGAAAGCAAGGCAGATATTGTCGCCTTGCCAGCTTGGGTGGAAGCAGGAATAACTGTAAGTTGCACCATTGTATTGGTGGTTGAAATGAGACGATTGGACTAGAGCTAATGTGTCTGAAGATTGGGATCCCAGCTATCACGGCTCGGGAAACACCAAGAATATATAGTTCTCTTGAGTTTTTTCATCCACAAAATCATTAGAAATTCAATATTTGATATCACCCGAGCCGCAAGACGGAGTCCGTGGCTGATGCAGTTATTGTCCCGCTTCCCGATTATGTCAAGTTGACTCATGCCTCCGCATAGTCCGCAAGTCCGCCTCGAGCCATTTTTTGTCAGTAGATGTACATAGTTACAATTTTACTTCCTTAGAATAATCAGAAATCCAACTATATGAGTGGATTGATTTCTGTAGTCCTTCTTTGCTTTTTCCATGATGCTTGCTGGAGCTCTGAATAAGATCTGCAGGCACAAAATTGCACCCAAAAGCCAATGGATGGTTCTAGCAACGAATACCAGCCACAGGCCGCGATCAAGAAACGCAAGGGAGGGCGCTCGTGAGATCGTGGGCCAGGTATTAGAATCAGATTTGCGCTTTTTCACATCAAGCATGCAGATTGCAAACGAGGATCTCCATTAAGGTTCTCAGTCATCTAGCCTCGTGGCAGAGCGACTCACAGAGGGAAGATTCCTGCGGGGCTACTCGTAGATTAGACATAGGGATGAACCGAGGTAGTGTGATATCGAACTTTGGCTTGTAACTCAGTCTCCGATACTAGTTTAAAAACCCTGTGGCATCATCCGAATGAGTTCGAATAGTGGGCAGGTTAGCTAGAGGACAGGGATCAAGCCGGCTAGATACTTAGTAAAAAGTCAGTGGCAGACAAGACAATCAGTGGCCTTAAGTCTGACTAGAGAAGAAGAATGAGGGTGTTTATTCCTTTGTGGTAACGAGTAAGGTTTTGGCTTACAAGCAACATACTGGGTCGTCCTATGCTTCTTACTATTCTTAGAGTTTTTGAAGTAGCCACATCAGGAACCGAGATCCCAGGTACATGGAAGATCAATGGAGTTGGGCTAGGCCGGTATTAAGGTTGTTGATGATCACTGGGGTCGCATAAAATGATTGGATGATTGTACTACGGTGGCCAGAGTCTTCCACGTTCCGATAATAGTTCGATTGTTATCACAAGAGACTTGCATGCATTTATTTACCCCTAGCCCCCGCTCCATCGGATACCTACCCCGATTCAACCAAAGCCCTTCTTTATTAGCTTGATCGTGTGTGAAAAATCGGCAAGAGAATCATGGCGTGATTGCCGTGGACGAATGCCAAAACCAGGTATCCTTTCACAACGGTGGGTCGAGAGTGGCCAGAGCCCAGGATCGCGATCCTTGACCCAACACGGGGACGAAGCCGGAAGGTTTCACCCCGACTAGCAGCTGGCTTGATTTCCCGCTAACAGATTCCGCGGCAGGCATCCAAACCTCACGATACTCCCCGTACATATAGAGGAAAGGGTCGCGCCATTCCTCCAAAGTCCCCAAGTCGTGTTGCCGCACACATGCTGGGCGAAGGGACGAATGGAGCAATACCAACGTAACCATCACACGCCCAGCGAGTAATGTCCGTGCCCTGCATACAAGCGAGCTGCATGAAGGGCTGAGAATTAAGAAAGGCGCACCGAAGTTCGCTCTAGACCTGCGGCCTAGCCAAGATTAAACCTCTGCCGGACGGATAACAAGAAGGGAAGTGCCCGTACACGAGAAATTCTACTACATATCATCCTAGCGTCCAGTTGCCGGTCTCCATAATCTTCCCAGATACTCGTTGTGATATTCCTCGTTCCTCCCGCGGCGATCCCGCAACCTAGATTTCCACATGTAATCGGCCCAGAGAACGAACAGCGACACTCGCCGACCGCCTATCATGATCGAGCTCACGCCGGACGCGAACAGCAACTTTTTTGGTTGCCTGATCATGATCATCGTGGCCTCACTTTCCGTCCTCTGCCGCGTTCTGCTTCGGATCAGCCTCGGCCAGAAATTCCTCCTGGCCGATTATCTATGCTTCCTTTCCCTTTTTGTGTTTGCTGGTTACTGTGGATTAGTTTTCAATTGTAAGTGCTGATCCATAGGAGGGGGAGTTTTCTTTTCTCGCTTTTTTGTCTCAACCCAAACACTCCGACTGATGGTAATGGCGGATAGACATTTTCAACGTTTCAGCATCAGGCGCCTTCGAAGCTACATTCGTCACGAATCCGAAGGTATCGATGCAAGAGGCACAAGAATTCATGAAGGTATGGAAATTCTAGGATGTGGCGTCTGGATGTTGGTCTACGGCAGTACGAAGATGTACGGAACAAAGTGAAAGGCTAACGAATAGGACTCTATAGATAGGGTACATCGCCGAACATTTGTTCACCATTATTCTGACCTTGGTCAAATTCAGCATTCTATCCTTCTACTGGACGATTTTCTCCGTCAACAGGCTACAAAAGAACCTCATCATCGGCACCGCAGTCCTCTACGGGTGCTAGTTCATCACCTTCTTCGTTATCTTCCTCGTCCAGTGCCGGCCGATCAGCGCCCTGTGGTCATCATTCGGATCTGCAGAGTTCTGCATGTCGATGCCCGAGCTGCTCCTTGGATTCGAGCTCACCAACCTGTTCATCGATGTCGCCATCCTCCTGATCCTGACGGTCATGGTCGGGAAACTGCGATTGAACGCGATCAAGAAGGTCTCGGTGATTGGCGTTTTCCTGCTGGGTGCAATGTGAGTAACGCCATTTGGGATTCATCACCTTGCCCTTGTCTCCGCGGATAGAGTGCTAAGATATGGCAGGGTTTGCGTCACCAGTATCGTTCGATTGACAGCCATCTGGAACCCACCAGACGTTATGGCAAACTGTAAGTGTCTCCTTCCTTACGCATAGCGCTTTTTCGGCCGTCGATGTAGTATCTAACAAACAACAGTCGATACCGCCAAGGGAATGCTCTGGTCGACGCTCCAAGTGGGAATGGCCATTGTCTGCGCGTGTCTCCCGACATTCGGCCCCATCTTCTCTGGTAAGAGCAAGTTCGGGAGCCATGCCAAGAGCTGGTACGGGTCTCTACGGGACAAACGAACCCAGAACTCTGGATACAAGATGTCGGATAACCAGAGTTCGAACGGACGACCCTGGGCGGACGATGAGTACAGGTTTCATGCATCGTCCAGAGGCGGCTGGCGTGCTCAGGACGATAATGCGCACGAGACGGATTCTGATCATATTCCCTTGGACCCCTTACCCCAGAAGGGGATCCGTGTACGGAAAGACATAGACGTGAATTAGAGTGTAACGATGATGGGGTTGGGGGTTTGTAGTTTTCCCCTCCAGTTCCATATATCCTCTCATTGTCTCCTGGATTCATCTCGGCAAACACTGCGGACAATGCATCAGGGTGGCACGGTAGTATTTCTGTATTATTGAACTGCAAGGTGGTACCGGAACCACGTGTGCATACACCCGTATATGGAGCACATCTCCTTCGAGCAGGCTCCGAACAGAAACCCTCCGTAGCGTAGCCACAGAACCAGGCCTGATAACCTTGCTCGGTCCAGGCTCGTAAGACCCTTAAGGGACCTTATCCTTGTTTGCCATGCGGACCAGGAACGAGCTACTAACACAAGCGAGAGAGGTACCATCGTGCTGGGTTTCTTTCCTGATTCCAAGACATAACTTGAGAGTTCCCGCCGCCTGATTTGGAAGATGGACAGCCGGATGGAGTTCCATTGTTCACTCACTCGCCCTTGCGTAACCAGCCCGTGATCTGAAGCGGCAGCTCTCCCATCATGTCCGAGCCTCTCCTGTCCAAGCAGCCATTCAAGGCGCTGGCCCAAGCCGGCCTCTTCTTCGCCTTGCCTCCCTACCTGATATATGCCATCCTCCGTAACAGCATACCCTCCCTCCGCGTCGAGCCAAAATGGTCCTTCAGGACGAGCCTCATGGTCGGGATCATGCACCTCCAGTACAGCCTCACAGCCGCCACCCGAGACCAGCTCCCCGAGCAGCTGAAAGCCGGCAAGTCAGGTGAATACGTGCGCATCCCCCCGCCCGACGAAGAGGTCGTCGTCGGCGTCGCCTCCAGCAGCTTCGTCAAGACGAAGTCCCAGCCGGGAGTCTGGTACCCGAGCGCTCCCCCGTCCGAGACGGCGCAGGACGAGAAGATCCTCCTCCACTTCCCCGGCGGCGCCTTCGTCATCGCCGTGCCCTCCGACTTCCTCGGCCCCGTAGTCTCCAGAGACCTGCCCAAGGCGATTGGGGCGACGAGGATGCTGTACGCGCAGTACCGCCTCGCCCGGGACGAGGCGTCGCGGTTCCCCGGCGCGTTGCTCGATGCCGTCACCTTCTACAGCCACGTGCTCTCGCTGGGCGTGAAGCCGGCCAACATCATCGTGTCGGGCGACTCGGCCGGCGGAACACTGGCCCTCACGCTGCTACGGTACCTCCAGACGTCCGGCTGCGGCTTGCCCTTACCCGCGGCCGTCCTCGCGTGGTCGCCGTGGGTGGACATCCCCGCCGACGCAGGCGCGGCGTTCACGAGGGCGCGGAACAGCCCCAAGGAGATCCTCAACGCCGAGGTCCTGCAGTGGGGTGCGGACGCGTACAGGCCGAGGGGGGAGTTGAGTGACGAGGTGGAGGCGTATGTGAACCCGCTGCACAGGCCGATTGAGACGCAGATACCGCTGTTCCTGCAGGCGGGGGGCAGCGAGGCGTTCATGGACACGGTGGCGAGATTTGCCGAGGAGCAGGTCAAGGTCAATGGGAAGAAGTCGACCAGGTTCCATGAGTCGCCGTTTGGGACGCATGATATGCTGGCGTCGCATCACCTTGTGGGGATGACGGGTGAGAATGAGGCGGCGATTGCGAAGCTGCGGGAGTATCTGGCCGAGGTTGGTGTTTGGGTCGAGCAGTGACGAAGCTGATGATATCGCGGTGTTTGGAGAGAGGTAATGGTAGGCGTTATGTGTAGGTATGAGCGAGAAGGATCTTGGTCTTGCTTTAAGCCAAGGATATCATACACCCAGTATTGCAGGACATGATGCAGGGTCAGTTGTGAGAGATTCATGAGAGTGGTATTGAAAAATCGTGTGAACATAGTTTTATTCCTCCTTGGGGTTCCTTGAGACTCCAAAATAAATACATACACAGCCGAATAACTGGCTTCCCTGGTGCCTCCCATGATATCATTGTTTACCTGAACGCCATCATCCACGCTTGAAGGAAAGGGGAAGAAGAAAGGAAGAAGAAGTTAACAAAAGAAAAAGATAAAAAAGTAATGCTCCATCTCGACGAAACCAGTCTTCAGAGATGAGCCAGAGTTGAAGTTGTTGCCGTCCATTTCCTCCCTGTCGTATTTGGGAGGATCGGCTTAAGATGACTTGTGCTCAGCCTCACGGTCACGGCCTGGAAGTGCGTGGATGCGGGCTCGGGAAGGCTCGCGGCCGTCCTGCCAGCTGTGCATCTTCTTCTTGCTGCCCCAGAAGAAACTCCAGTTGTCCTTGTTGTTCTTCTTGTGGTCATGGCCAGGGAGGCTGTGGATGCGGGCTGTCGACGGTGTTCCTCCTCTCATGCCGCTGTGTGTCTTCTTGTCGCCCCAGTGGTCGCCGGTTATGACGTAGATGCGGTCTCCTCCATCGACCGAGCGTTCTTCTTCTTCGACCTCGTCGTCTCGTTGCGCCATGGGTTCGGCGACGGATTCGATGGTGTCTGCTCGCGAGACAAGCGCGGCAGTCTGGTCGATGGGGGCGGCGACGGCGAGACCCAGGAGGAGGGCCGCTACCAGGCCGAGTTGGTTGACTGCGACCATTTGTGGTTGTTCTTGATTGGTGATGGGATAAAATGTGTCTGTTGGATCGTGGTGATGATAAAACTCGGTTCAGTCTGAATACAGACGGTTGATGCAGGCGATGTCAGTGAGGATTGATTGATGTAAAGTTTAGGCGCGACAGAGCAGCGCGGCGCTGCATCAGCACATCAACTTATTTATTATCTCAGGCAGCTTGACATACTCCTTGGGCGAGCGGCAGGATTGACTGGCGGGCAGCTCCAAAGCCTGGATCCTTCGTCAATGCGTGGCTATTTTAAGCTCTCTCACCCCATCTTTAGCGGCACATCGCTGTCAGATTCGATTCCGGCCCTGCTGCCCGCCTATCATATCATCAATCGCCAGAGTTATAATTCGGCCATCAGAAAGCCACGATGCATCATTGAATCAAACCCTAACCAACCGGCCAGTCAATTTACCAGACGCACCAAGGCATCCAGTGGGCAGAGTTTGATGATACTCTTTGTTCCGTGTGTTTAAACTCGCGTCTCAAACTCTCTTCTTGTACCGTGTCAGCGCGGCCCCACCATTGTCCATTTCGGGAGTATTACGAGAATCAACGCTGATCTGACTTCCAACTCAACCAACGCGCCAAGATGCCTCTTCCGCAGCATCCGGCACAGATGTTTGCCGTGTCAGTCTTTCAAGACATCAAGAGCCAACATATATAGTTCTTATTCAGTAATTAAAAATTTAATAAGTGTGAAACCGGTGCATAAGTAAAATAGGTGGATTTTTGCCCGAGTCCAACGTGTGAATAGTTGTATTATAAAAGTCATATCATGGTACCGCCTTAGCGTTCTCGTATTGAGAACCAAACAGATAAATACTTGGTGCATTTTTTACTGGAAACCTCTTCAGCAATCTTATAGCCTGTTCTTCAAGTAAAACAATACTAAAGCTTGATATTTCTCAGCAAATGGTGGTTTAAGGGGTGGTTAAAGGTGATGTATAGGGTAGGTAGTCCATCAGAAAGAACAGCTATTTAAGGCCACAAGCCCCGCCTGGTTTAAGTTCTTAGGGAAGCGGCAATACGCGGGAACAGCACCAACAACCTGAACATTGAACCAGGCCAACTCCACCAATTACAGCATTTGTCAAGACGTCGACAAAACACTACAGACGGTGCGATACTTAGAGAATCGGCTCAACATTAACGTCAGTATACTATTACGGTTAGACCAAGACTAAACCAGAAATCATCATGATGGCTTGTCTTAAATTATGCTTTTCACTAGTCGTGTTGCTTCCACCAGCGCTTCTTCATCACACCACATTCTGAATTCAAAACTTCGCTTTGTCAGGCCTCACCATTTTGACACTGATCGGGCAGTCTCTTGCTCCGCCCCAGCTTGATTGCTCCTAAAAGCGCGATTAGTTTACCCGATTCAGTACAAAATCTACCCATTTTACATCATCATGATCTAGCATCCATGCATCTCCACCAACTCCGCGGACTTGGTACTGCCGGCGGAGTTGCCATCGCTAGCGCAGGCTTCGCCCAAGCTGTGAATGCCGAGGATACGTTTGATACAGATTCTGATTCGTCGCTACTAGTATCCAAAGATGCAATTTCGTAAATGAGCAAATGGTTACCCCAGTCTTGTTGATCTTGAGTGCATGTATGCTTTGAACTCGGACCTCGATCAACTCAAGAATGCCGAGTACACATCTACCTGAACTCCAATTCGCTGTTGGATTCTTACCGAGATGAGCCTCTCATCGTCATCCAACGAGCTATCTAGTCTCGGCCATCATGAGGAAGATTTCCTGGACTTCGGACATGGTGGATTTGCGAGGCAAATGTATAAATAACATTACGTCTGCAGTTATATTGATAGAACCATCATCAAACACAGAACTCTTGAACTCACTTCTATCTTACTCAATTAACAATGGCCCCTCGGTATATCAACAAGCTCCAGGATCAGCGTATCCTCATCATCGGAGCCTCGACAGGAATCGGTTTCGCCGTCGCCGAAGCAGCCATCGAGCACGGCGCACACGTCATCCTCAGCAGCTCGAAGCAGGAGAAAATCAACAACGCCATCCAAAAGCTCGAGGCCCACATCAAGGAAAACGAGCTTCCGCCACGCACCATCTCCGGAGCTGAGTGCGACTTGGCCAACCCTTCAACACTCGAGGACAACATCAAGAACCTCCTGGAATTTGCCACCAAAGATGGCAAGATTGATCATGTTGTCTTCACCGCAGCGGACGTCTACCAGATGCCTACCATCGAGAATGTCACGGTTGAGAGTTTATCCAAGGCCGGAGTGGTCCGCGTCACCGGGGGCGTTATCCTCGCAAAGCATCTGCCCAAGTACATCAACCAGATTGACAACAGCTCGCTCACATTAACGGGCAGCACGACCTATATTCGGCCCAAGGCCGGATGGTCCGTCATTAATGCTGCGAACAGCAGTATAGAGCCGTTTGCCCGGGCTCTGGCGGTAGACTTGCAGCCTATCCGTGTCAACTGTGTTCTCCCGGGTTTCATCAAGACGGAGCTCTTTGACGGCTTCCCAGAGGAGGCGCGGCCATTCATGTTTGAGGCGATGAAGAAGGAGGCTCTTCTCGACAGAGTGGGCACTGCGGCTGAGACTGCGGAGGCATACCTGTATTTCATGAAGGCTGCTTTCACTACAGGAACAACCGCCATTGTTGACGGTGGCAGACTCGTCGCCAATAACCAGGAGGGTAGAAAGGCCTAGGATTTACCGGCTAGGTTTGACCATAGTGTCCGACCGGCTATTCTCTTCTCTTCCACTCAGATATTCCCATCTCTGAGAGGATACCGCGGTGGAAATGACCTCTGTTCCATCCCGCCTGCATTTTATTCCTTGAAACTTCTGATAGTTTATCTGGTTACTTAACTCGATTAGTTTGAATTATACCTAACATCTCACAATTTTGGCGGTGTATCATAAACAGAGACGGCCTTAAGTCAAATATAATTAGATAAACTATGTGCAGGTTTCAAATATATACAGAAATTCCACAAAATATTTGCAGTATAAAGATCTTTTTTTCGTGATTTTTCAGGTTTCACTTTCAGTTCGAAATCAAGATTGGAAGACCTGCTTCCAAGGAGCTCACCAAGGTCACAAATAGCACTTGCTCGCGGCCAGAGTCCAGCCAGTCAGACGATTCGCAACGTCAGTGACATAGCAAGGTTCAGAAGAGTAGCCATTGTTGAGATTGGCGTAGTCAACCGAGCCACTGTTGTACATCCGAGCGGCCGCATAAAGGGCCCGGCTTCCAGTAGATCCAATGACCTTTGAGGTCTTAGCGAAAGTTTGCTTTAAACCATCACCAGAAGAGGTGCCAGTGCTACCATCCCGGATCATTTGAAGAACCTTAGCCTGGGAGCATGGGTTAACACCGGCACAGGTGCCAGCGCCGTTGTGAGACTGCATCAGGCCTGGGTTGGTAACGCCGTTGTAGGTCGTGGGCACACGGACACAGCCCTTGCTCTCCTGCATCATAACAGCAAGGATAAAGCGCTTATCAATACCTGCCTCGCTGGAGACTGTGGTGAGGGCGCTCTTGATATAGCCGATCTCGGTCTCAGAGTTTTCAGCTCCCCATCCGTTCCAGCCACAGGACTGGCGCATCAGAGCGGCGTTGGCGGTCCACATCTGGTCCCAAGTGCCCCAGAAGTCCATGTTGGGCCAACCGGAAGTGAAGTGGCCACCATCTCCGGTGTAAAAAACATACTTGTCAGAGAATGTGGCAGCAATGCCCACGTCGTCAGACACGGTGGCATTGGAGACCTCGATATCACGGGTGACGACAGGCACAGCTGGAGCAGCTGTAGCGATTCCCGCGAAGAGGAGGGAGAGAAGGGCAGTACTGGAGAGCATATTGAGATGGGTTGTTGATATTTCAGGTAAACGAAAAGTTTCAAGCGAAAATTGTGTAGAGAATATGTAGATTATGTGTTTTATTGGAGATCTAAGCAACTCTGACGGATCGTTCCCAATCTCATGGAGGATTGGCCTACTTTATACCAATATATGTAGCATGCCATGATACTCAAAACTCTTCCATAGTCTCGGAGTTCCACTTATTTGCATGGTATGATCAGTAAGTCGAGAATACTACAGTTAGCCTCTTGAGGTTACCATCTCTGACCAGTGATACCTTCCTATAACCTACGATAATGGTCATCGGACCAATTATACCTGTTAGAAATCATCTTATTGAGTCTTTTACACGCGTCAGTCGAACGTTGTCTACATTTAATCTAACCTCCACGTGATAAGCATGCGGTGGCTACAGCCTTGAATCCTACCTTGACTGAAGTGGGCTAAAACACCTTCCCAAATGGAAAGATTACACAACGCCCATCACATCCGGCGATATCCCTTCTAGGAACCGGCATCGACTTAACGAAAAGCTTCACATCGCCTGACAAGTACCTTTGGATATAAGGGTAGGTGAGGTCTCGAATGAGCAGTTTTCCATACACCTCACTTTGTTCGACGGAACGACTCCAAAACAGGGGATCGCAATGATATGGCTGTGATTGAACACTCGAATCTTATACTGGCGATTCAAAACTAATAATTAATATTATAATTAATTATGGGATTTAATGAGAAAACAACTCCAATATCGTCAAAGTATTCTACTTTAACGCTTGATTCGTGCGGTATCATTAGTTTGGATGCTTGTCCATCGCCCCGTCCCAGGCACCATCTAGAGATTCGGATCGTCGCAACGTTGCAGATCAGACTACACTCTACTAGCCGGCAGGTAGTATCCCCAATATGACTCAGGGCAGATGAGCCGGTTGGGCATAACGCAACCATCCCTAACTGCCTCGAGAACATGCGATATAGGAGAGTGTCTCTTTATCTTTCGCGTGATTGCTACGTTCCTCTAGCTATCGTCGCTTTCAAATGGTGCGTAAACCCCTCTTCACAATCCTACCGGTTTCCTATTTGAGCCGGCTTCTCAGGAGAAGCATATTTCTGCGAGCTTTTCGGTAGATGGCCATGCCGCATGGCTGCATCACGGAAACCCGAACAAAGAACCTGGCGCGGATATGTCTCTTTTTGTGAGCTTGCCTGCTTTCTTCTTGCTTTGGCACCACGAGGGACGGGGATGGTGCTGAGCACTGTGATACTCAAGGGCCCCAAAAACTCCCAAAGCAAATTGAATTGAATGCGAGAGTGTGTAATCACATTTCGAGCAGATCCAAACTCCCACCTGAGCCATGATGATATTGATTCCGCCAAGAAACCCCAGCAAAATTACCGTGCGCACAGTAGAAGCGAGAAAAAAAAAACCCACAGCTTCTCCTGATTATTTTCAAACTACTAAGCATGGTTTTCTGAGCTGAATACCTTACTCCCTTTCGTGAACGCCCTCACTTCGATGACCCGCCAGACTTCTTAGACTTATTCCTCTTGTGCGTATACGGATGAATGTTATGAGTGACCTAGGTTAGTCCGTTGGTAGAGGGTGAGTTGACCCTCCCACCAATCATTTGTTGTAAGTGGACATGAACCGTTAACGGGGAGATATGAATCGCACACGCCAAAATCAATCTGTCCCAAGCTCATATTCGCTGAAAGAGAGGTAAGCTGAAAATCATAGTGTATTACAACCAACTATCCCTATTGTGTAAGTCGCCTTGGGCTCACATCGCGTAGTGTCCTCCATCACTATCAACTCCATACGCTATAACTACGAGCCAGGGATGGAAGCAATTCGGTGTGAGGTTGCTTTGAATTGCTTCCATCCCTGGCTCGTAGTTATAGCTTGGGGGCTGCAGTCGGGATTTTGCAAACATCATGCTTCGCACCGTATACCCACCGGCCGTGTGTCTATCAATAGCCTGCTCGCGATTCCATCCTCGGCTTCTTTGACGTCATCAACTAACTCCTCCGCTCCGAGTGCAGTCTCAACAATCTCATCAGCACCAGCCACATATCATACAAATTTGCTTAGCTACCCATCTATTGAAGCTGGCGTCGGTGGGGGTGGCTTTATTACTAGATTTGAAAGCTTGCGATCAATGTGTCATATCAGATTCCTGTCGGCTTGATATAGGTTGTGGTCAAACACTGGTTAAAATCTACAAAGGCACGCGTCGTCTCTCAAACATCATCTCGAGAAGTAAAATTCCGTGTATATTAGATGCCGTTCTACCCACGAGATTGTTCAATAGCAGGAGACAGGCGTATTCCTGGAATAGTCCGACTGAACAATCGAGCCGATCTTCCGCAATTTGCCCAAGACGGCCTCGACGAAGCTGTTGGGTGATAATCGGGCACCCACCCACCGGCCATCAGTCCGTAGCTTGTATCTCTTCGGCGATTTCGCCATGAGCGGGCTGATAAATGAGAGCTTTTCACCAATCACAGGTGGGTAAAAAAAATTGAATGTCATTTTGTTTAGTGGGAAAACGGGGCGGCCTCGTTTCCCAGCTCTCGGCGTTCGGTGTTCGGCGTCTGCTGGTCGACGATAACGCCAGCTTTTGGCATCCCGGGCGGTTCGTCCCTTCATCCGGGATGGAACAAAACAGGTTTAGTAATTTCATTACTGAATCATCCCTGCATTGATTATGCACACTTGCGGCTCCATCGATCCGAGTCGCAGAAGCTTAAGTGGAAGGTTATTTCCTTCTAGGCTCATATCCCAGAAAGGAAGATTTTCCCGTCGTGTGGACAACGAAAAAAATTAGGGTGCTAGGGAAAGAAATGGGGAAACAAGTGGAGAGGATGAGAGCACGGAGGACTCCAAGTTGCCAGTTGGAGACATGATGAATCCTTGGTCGTTTCCTCTTCGATTACCCTCGTCACTGGAGGAACGCGGTTATGCGTATGATGCTTGTATTTTCAACCCTCTATCCGTCTATTCTAATCTATTTCTCTATACCTGTCTAATTATTTTCGTTTCTTCGTTTATTCATTATGAATTTATGATGATGCCTGCTGTACGGTGGAAGGCAGATCGATCTTGCTCTCTTCATCTGACGTAACCGCCTTTGCTCGGCCCAGGATCCCCGGGCTTGCCTCATCAGCACCCATGGTGGACTCTGTGACCAAGTACATCCACCAAAAGTAAACGCCGCAAAACAGGCTGCCTCCAATGATGTTCCCTAGAAGGGCAGGGATCATACCTGGAGAGAATTGGTCAGTCTCGTGCGAAAGAAAAAAATGGTTGATTGAAACCTTGAAACGTACCCTTGTAAATGTACAGTCCGATGGTCAAGCCGGGGGTGCCCATCCAGATGCCGAGCGGCATGAAGAACATGTTGGCTACGACGTGGTCGAACCCCAGAGCCACGAATGCGAAGATGGGCAGCCACATGCCGGCGATCTTGGAGACCATGTCCTTGGCCTGAGTAGCTAGGAAACAGGCCAAGCACACAAGCCAGTTGCATCCAATGGCGCGGATGAAGATCTGGTGCCATTGAGGGTCTAGTTGCTTCTTAGTTGCGAATGCAATGACTTCGTCCTTGTAGATCTTAGCATCGAAAATTCCTCCATCTGTTTTAGATGTTAGAACTCATATTATTTCGAGAGTATGCTTCGAGTTTTGCTTAGAGAAATATTTTGAAATAGATGAACTTACATCCAACAATAATTGCCATTACGAAAAGCGAGCCGAGGAGGTTTCCAAAGAAGCAGAGGAACCAGTGGAGCAACATTCTCCAAGCGGGAAGTCTTCTGTGAAGGACAGCCACAGCCGTAAACTAGAATGATCGAATTAGAACCGAGGATTAAACCTCAAACACTAATTACTGAGAAAGACTCACCATGTTCGTTGAGGTAAACAGATCAGCACCCGTCAACACAATAACCACCAAACCCAGGGGGAAGACAAAAGCGCCAATCAGCTTGATCAGACCGGGGGCATTCTCCTGGAACCATGGGGCCGTCATGGCCGTCAACGAGACGGCACACCCGAAGCTAAGAATACATCCTGCGGAGATGGCAGAGAGGAAGACCTTCTCGGGACGCAAGTGACCCTTCTGGACGCCGATGCGGCAGACGAGCTCGGCAGTTTGGGCTGGCGTGTAGGCCGCGGAAACCGTGACCTCGGGAGTAAGGTTGGACATGGCGATGAGAAATGGAATGAAGACGATGGTGAGCGGATTTTGGTAGGCTGTGGAGGCGAGTTATGGAGCTTTTATCTCGACTGATCTCCAGAGTTGGGGTCATAACTCGGGGGAGCTCGGCGGTTGGGGGGCTGCCACAAGCAAGAGGTCCACCCAAAACATGCCGAATTTCATCGAGGCAGTAATGACGAGAAGGCAAGCATTGTGAGAGCCTTATCTCGCCGATGATAAGGTCGAATTTTGCCGCTTGGCGGCGAAAAATCGCGATATCTGGGATCCGCTACTAGGTGTGTTAGCGGCGGACCGGCCCCCGTCTGGATGGAGTCATTAGTTCTAGGCCCTGATTCAGTCAGTGTGAGCTCCTTTCTTCCGAGCGTGACAGCCTGTTTGACCAGCCATACACCCGTTGTGGTGTCATGACGGATGGCCGTCGTGTGGTCATGTGGTTGACGTAGCTCGATTCCCCTTGGGGTGGCGTTGGGGAAAGGCTACCTGTGCGGGGGGTGTTGGAGTTCAGGAGTTAAATTGGAGAAAATAAGCAGCGTGAATTTAGAGTAATCTCAATGCACAGCAGGGTTATGAACGCTTAGCGAGGGTGGATGTAACCACAGACACTCGGACACACACCCATCACAGGCGTAATCTGAGACCACGTAGGGAATGATTCCGAACCCAACGAGAGCAGACAGAGACCAGAAAATGACCGAATTGTTTCTTTGCCGTTGGATGCAGCTGATCCCAGGATTAGGAAGCACCTCACAAAGCTGCCAGCTGGTCAACAGCGTGCTGAGACCAAAGCCACCCAAAACATTATTTGTAACGTAAAGAATCGATCATTTAATCTATCCCATCTTGTTAATACCCTTCTCTCCTCTGTTTTCTGGCCTCACTGGCTTTCGCTTAGACGTCATATTGTCCGCAGGATGATTACACCACCCAAAAGTGACATCAAGGTATCCGTCACAGGATATTCACCTGCCAGAGTTGATTCGCATACGGGCATGGCCTGTCTGACAAACCTTCTGGAATATTGCCGCCATCACGACATCAGCAATGGTCAGGGCAGCCATGGCCGTATGGAGCGAGGATCATGGTGGCCCTTGGCACCCAGTGTGCCCTCACCGCTCGTGTCGTAGCGACCAGTAGTCTGGTCCTACCAAATGGCAGTAGGACACGTCTACAGCTTTGACTGTGCCAAACTCGGCCGCCTCTCGGGGTTGAGGGCGTCAGGGACAAACAGGGTGTCGTTATGATGGCGGCCAATGATCCCGTCATTGCCAAAGCCTGGTCCAGTCTCGAGATCCTTGGCGGGGATGGACAGTATGGCGTAGGCAGGGGCAGCCTCAGGCTTGGCAAAAGCAGGCTCACCCAGACCTACGCGGGTATTACGGATGATTCAGGTGACTGCTCTGCCGGTGGAGTCGTGGGCATCGCGAAGCTTAGCGATGCGGGCCGGGCGGCGGCGTCGTCGGCTTATAAGGATCGGAGGGTGCGGAACTCGCTGATGCGGGGAGGGCGGAATCGGAGGGGATTCGTAGAGCATAATGTTGCTGATTGGACTGGCGAAAGCAGCAATCTCGACGCCGTAGGTCTCAGCTAGCCACTTCTCGGCGATGGGACCAGCTGCCACACTGGCGATAGGCTCGCAAGCTGAGATGCCGCGCCATCGGAACTGCCCGCGACGCAACACTTCTCGAGATAAGTCGGCATGGCTGGGCGGGGGTGGACGTCGATGGTCTTATTGACATTGCCCTTAGACCTTTGATCCTCGGTGGTGACGGGTAGGGGTACTGCTGGTTCGACAGTTCTGGTTCGCGAAGTGAAGCATACGAAGGTCCTACTGATCACAAGGATGTTGATGGATTAGCTGTGACGGCGGGAGTTTGTCACGCGTGTCGTCCAATGAACGCGTCGAGATCAGCCCCCCAAATGCTCACCCTACCCTATAGATGTCCTTCAACTTGACGCGAGTCGACACTCTAGCTGTTGACGTTCCAAGGGATCATCAATTGATTATTGGTAATTTTTCCATATTAGTTTAGATTTTAGTTTTAAGTTATTTCCAGAAAACGTTGCCCTCCATCAACCTCCTGGCTGTTCTATACACATTCGCTGACTTCAGGTCCCCAGCCCCATCAAAATCCGCATCAACTGTCAACATCCCACTGGCATGCTGCACCACCATCGCCGACCCGTCCCCGTCAGACTGTGATACACACTCGGCCACCGTCGTTCCAGGCGTCTTGGCCCCGGCGGCGAGTGCCAGCGCCACCGTCACGGGGATCGCCCTATGCGGCTGCCCCACGGACATGGCGCGGGCGACCAGGTTCACCACCTCGGCCTCCGACGCGGACGGCCTCGACACGATGGCGATCTTGGGCACGGAACCGGGTACGGAGGATAATGAGTCCGCGAGACCCATCTTCACGGCGGCCTGGGACCGGATCGACTCCAGGCGGTCCTTGAGGTTCAGGTGGTCGTCGATCTGCTGGGGCGTGAGGCTGCCGTCGACGTCTAGCTCCGCGGCCTGGACGAAACAACAGGGGTTGCCGACGTCTATGCAGGTCGTGCGCACGCCGTCGAACACGTCAATGGGGTTGCCGGTGGGCAGCAGCTTGCCCGTTCGCGACCCGGCTGGGTCGATGAATCGCAGCTCGATCGGGGCCGCGGTCCCGGCGACACCGTCAATGGCCAGGTCTCCGCTTGATGCTGCCTCGCCGTCGGCCATGGGGAAGCGCGCATGTATGATCTTCTTGGTGTTGGTGTTGTGGATGCGGACGGTGGTGGTTTCGCCCTCGGCCTCGGTAACCGGGAGCAGACCAGAGTCGACGGCAAATGGGCCGACGGCGGCGGTCATGTTGCCGCAGTTGCTGGAGTAGTCTACATGTGTGTTCTTGATGCCGAGCGACACAAAGGTGTAGTCGACGTCTGCGTCTGGATGCGTCGATGGTCCGACGACGCAGATCTTGGACAGACTCGAGATGCCGCCTCCAAGCCCGTCCAGCTGGCGGCCGTAGGGATCAGGTGAGCCAATTGCACCTAGGAAAATGGGGTCCCACTGCGATTTGTCGGTAGGGAGATCCTTTACTTGGATCATGATTGCCCTGGATGTCCCTCCGCGGTAGTATGAGGCTGCAATGCTGTTCTGGCGTTTTTTTAATGGCATGCTGGTCGAGAAGCGCGAGCATTGCGAGCTTCTGGCCGGTAGCGATACTCTCGTTGTGACTGTGAGGCGTGTTAATGACGCAGGCGGTCGAGCCACGGAGCGTACCGCGAACAGCGACATTCTTCTAGAAGATTTGATTGGAAGCAACTAGACGGACAGATGATGAATGATCCGCGTTGCAACCTTGACATTGAACTTGAGCTCGGATCCGGTTCGGAAATGCGACGCCGTTTGTTAAGCCGAATCCACCACCCGGTGACCGAAGGGGGGGTTGGTCGGATTTACATCAATTAAAACAGCAAGCTTGATTATTGTTGAATAATGTTTAATTTCCGCGTGGTATTAAGATATGCATGAGGTTGGAGATGCTGCCCAGTCTTACATAGAGGGTAGGAATAGAACCACGGGCCTGATGACTGGAACCCCCACAAATTGCTACGGATAAGCATTTGCGGGGCTTCTTACATCAATTTCCAGGCAATTAAAAGAGTCTACACGGAGCTCTCATCATCATTATCATATTATTATCTGCTCATGCTCTGCCGGGCATGCTCATATTAATCTCCATCTCATCATTCTTTAACCTTGTCCACCTTGCCGGTCTTCACGTCGTAAATATACCCGGTGATGGGCACATCAAGCACAAGAGGGCTCTTCTTGAGGATCTCAATGTCATCCAGCACACTCTTCCTCAAATCACCAAAGGGTAAAAACGCGATATGGTCCGCGTTCTCATTCAGATCATCCCGGATCTTGGCTTTGATGTCGGTATCCGAGAAGGTGAGCATCCCGCAGTCCGTCTACTCTTGTCAGCGACTTTTCTTGTGGCAAAAGCAACAAGGGAGTGGTAAATTCGCCTTACGTGATGGACAATGACAATCTCTCGCGTGCCCAGCAATTGCTGCGAGATGACGACCGAGCGCAAAGCGTCAATGGTGCGGCCGCCGGCATTGCGGATGACGTGGGCGTCGCCCTCTTCCAGCCCCAGGGCCTTCGCGGGGTCCAGTCGAGCATCCATACATGCTACAACAGCGACCTTGCTATATCGTGACGCAATATTAGATGTCAAATTATCCCAAGCGCGGAGAGTGGTATGTGCTCACCGGCCAGGCGGGAGGGGTAGATCTCCCTTGGTGAAGGAAGCCACATATCTCTCATTCGCCGCCTCAAACTCTGGAACGACAGATGGCATGGTTTGGTCAATTTAGGTTTCTCAAGAATTGTTGACAGGAATTTAGGGATCAATGGTAGAAGAGAACATTGGCATATTGATTGAGCCGTAACAGCTGTTTAAGTAGTCTGCCTCTGCCCAATGTGAAGACCTAATGAGGCCGAGATCTGACGTATTGAGACATCTCTTGCCATTTTGGGCCTCTCGTCCGCCATGTCGCGTCCCAAGAAGGGAGCGTTCATGGTCATCCAACGACTGCCATTTGCCAGTGGTGAACCTCCCACATCTTCTAAAATGGCGTAATATGCGGAGAAGTGCACGTAACCCTCCTTCATTATCTAGATAGCGAGACGTAATTTTACGCGCTGAGAGCATGATATGTTAATAATGGGGGATAAATGTCTTATCGTGTTGAGGAGGCGCTGGGATTATTAGATGGGTGGTAGATACGCGAGATTCAATGCTACGGGTCCCCGTCCCCATGGTTATCTGAAACTCTGGAGTCTGGCACATGGTGGAGTCATGGCCCAGTGTGCAGCGAGATCTCGTTTGTGGATCAAGCTGTAACGTCAACTGGGGGTCGAATGCTCCCAGTTGAGGTAGGGTATTGTTGTATGGGAGCTTGTGAACCTCAAGCCGAGGTTCTTTTTCTTGAGACAGGAGAATATGTCGCAATGCTGCATGTCCACGCTCGATCGCCTGTAGCGGCGAATTGCTGAGGTGTGGATGGTGTTTCACGTCCTGACGCCGTGACATTGATGCAACAACACAAGTTGTTGGACGTCGCATTTACCCACTCATGACTGCATGAAGAACAGCAAGATCGGAGTAAAGTTTCCAATTCTGGGAACCATACTCATCTAATTGAGCGTTCCGGCCTTTGCCGAATGCCTCTGAAGTGGAGGGGTTCGTTCCCGCGGGCGACGATGCGGGGAAGCCAAAGCGACTAGAGGGGTGCATCATCAAATGCCCAAATGAGGATCCGGGCCTGAAAATTCCGTACCGTACCGTCATCCATATGGCTGTAAGGAGCCCTTCTGGGTATCGGGTCCGAATTGTGGGAAGAAGCACAGGCATTGCGCTGATACGTGCCTGTCGGACAAGATGCTGATCAAACAAACATGTCCATCAGCTTCCGTGAAGGCCAGGCGTTCACATCCCTGTATTTCTCAGCGACGCGTTTGAGTGCCTGACGCTCGTATGGGTCGGTGAAAAAGTCGCCGTAGAGCTGGATGATGCAGGTCGCATTGAGAATCGCAGGCGGAGAGGACGGATGGCAAAGGCTGATGCCGCAGAGCTCGAGGATCAGCGCGCGAACATCGCTTTCCATCTTTCTCCAAGCGGCGCGTGGAGCCGACGCGAATCTTTTGCACTGGTTAGACACGATTTGCAATCTTGGCGAACATGCATCGACTTACTTGAGAGAGGGGTCCTCGGCAGCGAGCACCGACTTAGCCATCAGAGCTTGCTGGATGGTAGTGACTTCGATCGTAGAGCCGTACCAGACTATTGGGAATATCTCGCCCTTTGACTTGTCGGCTGGCCTGCGGAAAATGGGAAGGAAATCAACGAGCACATCCTGCTCTAGATGCTCTTGCTGCCTGATCAATCGACCTGTAGTGAACCATGTCAGCTGTGTGTCTCCTTGCAGTCCATATTGCCATGCATCGCGGGCGTACGGCACTCACTCCACTCTTGAGCTGATCCATCACCCCATCGCCACTTCACAACCTGCACCGTGTGCATGACCGCTTTGTTGGCGCTTGATGCCCCGGACCAGTAATCTGCAGCAAGGATCATCTGCGGTGCCTGCCGCCGTGTGAACGAGTGGAAAATTTCCTGCCTCAGGGCCATCCAATACGACGCCCGGATCAGGCTCCTGCGACCAAACAGCGTCTGCGACGGAGGGCTTCGCAGCACAGCGTCAATGATGGGCAGGAAATTAATCTGCTTTTGCATCGGCTGAACGACGAAGGGCTGGGGGCCCTCCTCTGAAGCGCCCTCCTCTTCATCATCAATCTCTTCCAGCTGGCGGAGCAGCACACACGTCGCAATGATGCTGTCTCGATACTCATCGTCCTGGGCGTCGTGGAAGTGGCGCAGAGCGGGGATACATCTAAGCATATACTCGACAGAAGAATGCCTGTCGAGCTTTGGTAACAGCTGGCCAAAGTAGACAACTCCCTGGGGCGTCTTGAACTGTGGCATGCGGCTGAGATGACGAGCCGCAAGAGCAAAAATGGCATTGAGGAGGTGTGGTTGCGTGCGCGCGCGGACTGGAACTACGACCTCGAAATGTCTTTCAGGATCAGCGAGGTCGAGCTGGGAAGGGAATTAGGGTTAGCACTCATGTGATATTGGATGATAATATGCAGAGGGTTCCCTGGAAGGGAGTTTATCATACCCAATGTGCCAGCTCGTAGATGTAATAGCTCATCAGGCAGGCTTCTTGGGGATCCTCAAGCGGGAACCGTCGATACTCCTCGCTCTGCCCTTGGACCAGTGGTGGTAGCGAAATGCTGCCTGACCGAGCAGCCGACCAGGGTTTGACTGGGTGGGCTGGCCACAAGGGCGGAAGGTCAGGGCCTGAGAGCATGTTTGACGTTGGGGACGGGGCGAAGGCATCTGCAATCGGCGGAAGAGGCTCGCTCCATCCAGGGTGAGGCTCGTGCGGGTGATCATACTCTTGCGTGTCCTCCTGCGGCGTCAGAAGCTCCTGGGGCTTGTCGATCTTGCGACGCTTGGCCGGCGTAGCAGCAGAGGTGGTAGTAGAGAGGGGACTCGCCGACGCACACGTCGACCCCAGATCTGCCGAGCCGGAGGTGGTGAACAGAGGACTTCGGTCCTGCGACATGCGGTCTCTCAAGCTTAGCTCATCGGCGCCTCGTGATTCCGGGCGTCCGGCCCCTGATACCCCTGATCCCGATGCTGGGGATGAAGCTGCGGCGGAAGCACCTTGGCCTGGTGCAGGCGTATGCGCGTCGAACTGGAACAATTTGGCCTGGCTGCTTACCCATTTCTGATCCTTGGAGAAATTGGCAGATGAATCATGATGGAACACGGTCTTTTTCGATGGGCGCTCGCAGGTCAGCCCCTTTGACTCGCAACGGCCGCATTTCGGCTGCTGGTCGTCGCCTGCATATGATGGAACAATGTTAGCGACGATTCGTCACCTGTCCATCCACTCGATCAAAAGCTCTCAATTTGCGCAATGGCGACGAGCTGGACAGCAACCCACATTTGACGTGCTTCTCTGGATCGCGAGTCAGTCAATCGGTACATAGCCAAGGCATTGGGGCACCTACCCTTGCATTGGAGGCATGGGATCTTGACGACGGGCATTGCAACGAGAGCGCTCTCCTCCTCTCCGCTCGCGTTCCCGCAGCTCTAGATGACGGATGTTGGATGGAGGAGAGGGTCTGAGGCTCAAGGATGAGCGGTTGATGGGCGCAGAGGGGAAGATTGAGTCGGGAAACCCCATACCAGAACCGAGCGTCATCACAAACTGGGATTAGGCCTGGGGTAAGGTGGAAGATTCGCGAGACGGACGAGCAAATGAGCGACTGCTTATTGAGGCATCAATGCAGATTTGGGGTGGAGCACGTGGGGGGAAAGCAGACGCGACGCAGACTTTTCTCTTGGGCGAGATCGATATTCCCCCATATAAATATGGAGTTGCGATCCGGGGAGAGGAGTTTCTGGCCCCTTTGGGTCGGTTTAGGCAGGTTTGGGCGCATCGATAGCGCGGTGGTGCCCTGAGCCCCAGCGGCCTTCAGCGCATCACAGCACCTGGCACCCGCTGCACCGGCTGCTCCAACCCCTGGAGGCTCCGAGCTCGGGAGATTTGGGGTCGCGGACAGCTTCAAATTTACTGTTGCTGGCCTAGTGTCGCCGCTATTTCATGGTCACAAGACCTCGGTTTCCATCAGCTTCTCCACAGTTTGACCACATCGTGAGTCTCGGGGCAACCTAGTTTTTGATTAATTCTACCTTTGTTTATTATTACAGGTACTCGGCACCATCAAAATGGACCATCATCACGCTCAGACACGGCGGATACCGTCTTGGTCACCATGATCCCCCCCAACTGCTCGTCACTCCCGAACTTCCTCGTCACAGCAGCTCTTGAACCCTCTCTCTGCCCTCCTCTCGTTTCCAACTCTATCCCCTCGCCCAATTCAACTTGGCTCTCACCTACATGGCCTCTGTCGTGGGATCTGTAGTATCGGTTGTCGCGAATCTGATGGAAGTCCCTGCGCGTCCGGGTAGAATTCGATCCCGTGGTCGTCTCCTTGCCATAACTGCCACTCGATATGGTAGACGCAAGCCAAGGGATGAAGCGTTTCGTAAGCTTTCTCATTGCAGGTAGGCACACCACAATGATGGAGACCGAGAGCTCGATCCCCGTCCAGACAATCGTCTCGGTATAGTCCCAAGTCGGGTTCACGGACTGGCCGGATCGTGAGATGTACTGCAGCCGGATACACGACGTGATGGTGATGAAGATGCCCAGGCTGAACATGACGAAGATGCCAAACTTCTCCTTCCTCGCCATCTTGAGATTCCACAACAAGGGCAGCGGTAGCGTGATGACGAGGGCATCCTGGAAGATGCTGAAGCCGGCGGCGAGCACGGTGAGGAGGTGGACGTCGGAGCAGCGGTCTCGGTAGTATTCCAACCGCCATCCCAGCCAAGCCCACTGAACCGGGTTGCATTGGAAGATCTGTAGGAAGACTAAGGTAATCGTAGGTATTGTGATCAATGCGATGACGGTGAATGCTGCAATTCGAAATTTCCTGTTGGGGAAGATGCGTAGATAGAAGCAGACCAGTGAGATTTTGCATAGAGCAAGTGCCACTAGATACAAGCTTTCGCAAACAAAGAAGATCTTAATCCGGAGATGGTTTAGCGAAATACTTCTAGAATGGAGGGGAGGGAGGGCGGTTGGCTATAATGCTTAATCACCTTGAGAGCTTTCGTAATCGTATCATAGTCGAGAGACCACAGATCAACACCAAAAGCAAGATATCCAGCTAAGGCAATACCAAGTCAGTACTGTCACACGGCAACGCGCTAAAGAAATGAACTCACTGTACTTCCCGAGAACAAGTAACGGGGTGTAGATAGCCTAGTTCTATGCATGAGCTTTTGGTTGTTATGCCGTGCATACCATCACTGGAAGGATAAATACCATACCCCGATTGCAAGTACCATGTAGTCATCTAGCTCCAACCGGCCCATTGTGAGTATTCTTGAGTAGAGGAGAATCCAGGGGCAGAACCAAGCAGGTACATCCGCAATAAGGGGCAAGAAGAGAACATGTTTCCGCGAACGGCTCGTTCGCTCGCAAGCTGCAGCCTCGACCTGAGCAACCTCTACACACGGAGACATGTGTCGTTAGTCACACAGACATCTGCTATCTTGTGGTAAAAGACGAAGACATACTGAGCGCATCACTTGCTTGACACTTTGAAACCACACAAATTTGTGCCAGCTGAATGAAAGCTGTATCAGAACAGACGCATGTTGAGTTGGTGAAAGGACATGAGGTGTTCCCCATCACTGAAGTAAAACATGATATCTATTATTGGGGAAAGGAAACCAACAGGTAAAAGTAAGTCGTTTGATGTTTGCACAATGGGATTAGGATTGATGGAGATTATTAGAGGGAGGAAGAAATCAAGTCATACCCCACATGCTGGGAATTTGGAAATCTCATTGATGAGATTAACCTCCCCGCGGCTCAGATTTACAAGCCCTAGAATAATAATAAAAAGCTCGACGATCATTCTTCGGGTGAAAAACGCCATGCTAGTCGTCCCCCCTGGGTGGGACTAAGAAGACTTTCTTATGGGAACCGTCGTCCTTGACAGAAAACGATACAAGTTCTCATATAGATAAACAAGTAGACTGCCTCAACATTAGGCCAGCAAAACGAGAAGGGCCCAACAGATTTTGGAAACGCGTCGAGGATCTTCCGAGGTTAAATGATCCTACCCAGATCAACGGCAAAGGCAGGAAGGGGATATCACACCCCACGTAGCAGCCCAATTAGGGAGCGTTGAAGAACAAACATCACCAACAGCATGTACGAGTCAGGGGCTTAGCGCATCTAGGCCGTGGGTTAAGGTGGTATGATAGTCTTATTTTCCAAAAGTTCATGAGCATCCGGCCGATGTCCATCACCATCATACCGTTTCAGAAACGTTCAGCCGGTAGGGTTACACCGCATGTGAATCAAACACACATGCATGCTTCTAACCTCCCATCCGCGGTTTCTCCAGTCCGAGGGCCTATTTCGCTTCTGCGGCAGGACAAGACGGGATGCTGCCCCGCTCGATATCACATTCTACGGAGTGTTGATCCAAGTTTGCAACCCCTGCCGATTGGGCTGAGAACCTGCACCTCAAATTTGTAGTAATTTTGTTCCTTTACCCTTGTGAGCCGATCTCTATTTTAAATGGAGAAAATGAGAAGTGCACCAATGTGCAAATCAATAGTTGAGCGTGATAATGTAGCATTGACGACCTCCATAACTTACGGTTAGCCGTGGGAGAGCCACGCCGCACATGCCAGGGATAAATCATAAGGGCCAATTGTGCTCTCATTTCCATTTATACACCTGAAACAGCCGAGAAAGCAGTCGATCGCCCGTCTTTTTTTCTTTCATGCTAGTACTCCGTATCTTCCTAACATAATGAGATTAAGTGAGTCCTCGATGCCGAGAGTTATGTGATGAATCTCTCATATATCAGCTTTAATAATCTAACGAGAATCATAGATGCGATGAAATTGAATATCACCGTTCCGTGGGCGAAGCAGGTTCCCTTGTTACTAGCTGGCCAATTGGATGAATGAGTGTTGTGGGAGCGTGGAACTGGGTTGCGCTGTATGGCCGTCTATCCTGAGCCGTCGCTCGTCTGGCTATTTACACAGTGGCATCATACGGTAAAAAAAACCGGCTCTAATGCAATGATTATATTTCTGTTTGCATCATGAGCTGACAATTAAGAAGGGAAAATGCCAAAAAGATGGACGAACAGGGAATCGAACCCTGGACCACTCCCAATTCTTCAGAACATGCTAAGGGAGTATTATACCACTAAACCATTCGCCCAAGCTAGTAGATGCTCGATCCGTTCCACGACGGTCTCATAAGCAAAGACAGCCCGAACTCTACAGTTGCTTTGCGTGACCGATTGCACTCCCCTTATTCTCCCACCGTTAAATCTGCAATTGATACTCTGTTATAGCTTATCTGGTCACCATGCACCGTGTCCTGCACCAGAGACTATCCTACAGGTAAGCATATTTATTCTGGTTGAATAATGATACCTCACAGTATTCCCTCGGGAACATGCGGACGCAAGATTGAGACGATCTCGCTCCGTGTCTCGGGGTACAGAGCATCTACCGTTCAGTTGCTGAGAAGCTATCTATTCTACGCCCTTGAATATTAGATGTGCTATATAGAGGGTCATGAAGCCGAATGTGTTGGATGGACCACTTACGCTTGATATTTGTCATTTGTCCAGAACTTCCCGTGGCTTTCGGGACCGAGCCCTGTAGCGCTCACGAGGGTCCAGGAACCCATCTCGGCCGTGCGTGCGAGGAAGTAGTTCTGAATGGTCATGATCTTCAAGACACGTGAAACGTCACGCGACATATTTGTCTTGTAGAGACTTAGACACGTTGCGTTGACGATGACATCGGGATCATGCTCGGCGAATAACTTAGCGAGGCCTTTGGTAGCATACCATGTACCAAGCTTTACCAGCAGGTGTTGTTGGATCGGGCCCCACTTGAATTCATCGTCGCAACGTCGGACCAGCTTCTGGCCATCGGATGGAAGCTTCTTTTCGTTCACTGTAAATGTGAGTGTGCTGTGTAGAATAGAGAGATGGGGGCGAAAGCCATCAGACGAAGGGGCCCTGGTTGCCTGCCGTAGCTTGGGCAATAGTAGCAACGCCAGCAGCGCAGACGAAAGGAGGTTGATTTGAACTAACGCCTCGTGCTCATCTGCTTTTTTGGCATGTTTCCAACGCGAAACGCCGCCTGCGAGCTGCACAACGTGTGAGGTCGGGACGCGCTGGCTCACATTCTCGGCAAAGCGCTTGGCAGACTCCGAGATGGCTAGGTTCACGGGCTCGATGGTAAATATAACAGGAGATCATCTTGCCCGCTGTATGATAGCAGACTTGGCCAGCTCTTCCTTTTCTGTCGTGCGGGTGCCGAGGATGAGCGGGTTGGCGCCGAGCGCCGCGTACTTTATGGCTGCGTTGGCACTGAGCCCCTCGCCGTAAGCCCCTGTTACCAGAATGACCTTGTCTTTGAAGTAGATGCCCAAAGACTGCGGGCCGGCTGGGGTTGCGAGCGTTGTGCCAAAGCTCTCCGATCGACGCCATGGCGCTGATGCTAGCTGCTACGAAGCAATGGGTAGATGAGGCGTGGACAAGCTTGTAGATCAGGAAGGCGGACTGGACTTGGGGAGTTTAAGAGGGGAGTGATATCGACTTTCCTGGGCACAGCCAACACCCCAACTGTATCTAGTTCTTGACCCTCGGCTGTTGGTTGGCTCTTTTCTCTCGACTGTTGGTTGGCAGTATCGGACGTGGCATCCGAGTGGTGCAAGTAGCCTTTGTCCTCATTCATAAGTCCCTGAAGAGCTCCTTTATGTAGATCTATGCTACATATAGTAACATCTACCCGACCCTGTATAAGGAAAATCTTGAACCGTGGCATCGTGTCATAAGGGCAACATAGACCGGAAGCCACAAAACCTCTCTTTCCTCAAGAAGGAAGGGTTCTATAAATACACGAGTTGATACGAGGTATAACATATATAGCCTACAATTGAGAAACTTGAAAGATAATTGCAACGATCACATACAAATCAAAAGTCTGTTAAACTCCCCGAAACCATTTTCTCCCTACTGACATGAAAACAGCCTTCTAAGATCCGGACATGACGAAATAAAGACGCCGATAAATACAAACTAACCAAGATGATTCAAGAACAATGCTGCAGAAGGTGGACACAGGACGGTCAGCCGTGCTAACACGACATTCTTCCAGTGAACCTATGACTAGCTGGTAGGAAGAGGACTAGTTTAAGCCGAGCCGAGTCTGAAGTCGACCCTGGTACTCTTTCAAGAGTCGATATGAGCTGCTTTCGTTTTGCATCCAATTAAGTTGTCTGGCAAAACTTGCAGAGATTTCTTTCTGGCATATCCTGGTCTCCGTTGCGTGATTGGACATCAAGTGCAGGAGATCAAAACATCCAAAGCGCGCGGCTGTAATGGCATAGTCCAAAGCTGTGATCGGGTACCAGAACCGCTCAACTTCCCAGTTACGTCCTATGGGCGCGCCTCTTTCCAGAAGCAAGACGATGAAATCACGAAATTGGCCCAGCTTTTCAAGATTTGGAGACTCCTGCAAAGGGCAGCCAAATACCTCGCTAAAGATTGCAAGTAGAATTCCTGTGTAACTGGGATACTCCGAGCCGAAAGTGTCTGCCTTAGCCTTGACCTCGATCTTGACTGAAGCTCCGGCGTCGAGTAAAACTTTCAAGCAATCGATGTTTTGGGAGCGTACGATTACAAGAAAGACTGGCCACAGTTCAGGCCTCAAGGGGAAGCCTGGGAAGTTCGGATAACACCCCGTGCGCGCTATAGCGCGAACGAATTCTGTTTGTTCGGGATGAAAGCTCGAGAGACAGGCGATGAGGGAAGGCCAGATGGCATCGGCCCCCCGCTTTGGAAAATGAGAAGCCCAACTAGGGAGATCGATGCCGTCTCTAACGAGCCTCAACGCTATGCGCCAGCTAGTTGTTCGCAAGGCAAAGTTGAGCGGGTGATTATAGGCACTAATGTCGTTGAGAGGTTTGAGCCAAACATTAATCAGCTGCTGGGCAATAACGACACGGATTATGGTCTCGTGGCGTAGGTTGCAGATCTTGTAAAACATCAGCTGGAAGTGGGCAGCGGCTCTGTTATCTGAGGAGTCCCGGTATTGCAACAGGAGGCCCACCAATTCGGGACTGCAAATGGACATGGCCGCATAGTGTAGAGGTGTTCTTCCACTGTGGTCCTTTTGAAAGATTGATGCGTGATTGTTCTGAAGAAGAAATCTGACGATTTCCTCTTTCCAGTCGAATGAATTTACAGCTAAGTGCAAGGCAATTCGTCCCTCCCAGTCTCTAGCTCTAGTGATGTTGTTATTGCGAGCACTCTCGCATATCTGGATTACCGAGGAGAAATCTTGCATTTGGACGGCAAGGTTGAGTAGCCCTGCAAGCGAATCTTTATCCTTCTTCATGACGAGTCTTTCAAGGAGATGACCTCCGGTGATTTTGGCAAGCTGAGGGATGGCAGATGTTTTTTCTGCCACTAGATAGGCCCCTTTGGATATAAACTTTTCTAGTATCTCAAGACGTCTCGGGTGATCCCCATGGCAAAAGAGGAAATGGAGAGGGTACTGAGCTTGGAAGGTCCTGTCACCGTATGCCTTTGGGCATATGCAGAGTCCAAAGCTTGGTTCATGGACATTGGCGCCATGATGGAGAAGATAGTCGATTATCTCCAAGTTCCCATGCAAGACTGCTAGATGGATGAGAGAATATTTTACTCGATGCGAATTCTCCCAATGAGGTGTAACAGGCCGCCGCGAACAGGGCCCGACATGAGTATATGATCTTATGGTCATACCTAGGTCTGCTCCATTCATATGGGCGCGCTTGATAGTATCAAGACGGCCCTTGCAGACTGCCCAAATGATACAAGGCTCCACAGTGAAATCTGACCTGATATTTTTCCTATACAGAGCTGCATTCAAAGCTTGATACAGGCCACGGCATGTTCGAACGAGGGCTGCGTGATCTCTAGTCGGTCTTTGCCACCAGGGGCCCGAATACCAGGTGAGTTCAGCGGTCCGGAGAAGAATCTCCATTGGCAGATTCAAGATTGGGGCTCCCATGATGGATGGTGGTGCGGCAAGAAAGCTGACAATATGTTTAGAACTGTCACGACGGTAGAATGGACAGAAGACGGAGGTGCTGTAGCATAAAGAGAGGATTGAAAGGGTGGACAAAAGATGATGGGAAGTGAAGAGAGAAGGAAACCTTTTTGAGGCGTCACGGAGGTGCAGAAAACTGAGGTTATGATTGCTTGCTTTTCCCGATGTTCATATTGACTTTGGGCGTCAAATGATAGTTTTACATTAACGCCCATTAGCTACCTAGAAGTTTCCATATGCTTTTACTAGTTTGTTATTGCCACTGCCCTAAACAAAGGTGGAATCCAGCAGTATCAAGGACCTTGGTAAGCTTAGGATGGCATGAATGGTTTGGGGAAGTATGAACGGGGTGTCTGAGTGAAACTTACTCGAGCTATTATGCGGAGGCTTAGAATTGCGATCAACAAAATATGAAAATCTAAGTTTTCTTCTTCTCTTTGGGAAGAAAATAACGTAGTGTGGCCGAATATTAATGATTGTAAAAAGCTTCAGTGACATGGGTCTGTACTTAGTGAAGATGACGAAGATTTTTCAACGGTCCCAGCTGAACACAAACCATGCGCTTGAGGAGCCCAGATGGCTGTCAACTGGCCATGGAATTAACACTCTCCCATGAATGTTTTTTTAACATTTTGATTATGCAAGGAGAAATCTTTAGCAAGAACTAAAGACTAGACTCAGGAAGGAAAGTTACGCCGAGTCTCTCAACATGGTGCATATTTTTCATGGGGTTGGATTCAAAGTTAGACCCTGTGGCTTAGCAATATAATCGCCACTGATGGAGACTCATGGCGAACCAAGACTCGGCCTATGTCCATGAATCCTACGTGACTTCCTCGCTAATAAACTTTAATGTCTCTTCTGCCGTTTTGCGAGATGTCTTTCCTTGCCTACCCTTTATCTTGGTGAGTTGCTGGTAGGCCGTAACCATAATGAGATCACCGATCAGAAGGTACATACGCTGCTTACTTGTTGATTACAATACTACGAAAAAGAAACGAAAGAGAGAAAAAAGCAAGCAAATTGCCCCATTCAGTAATTTCTAACCTTGACATTATCCCTCCTAGTCTGGTACGGAGTGATCGGCTTTTCTACAATATTGTTCCAAGCTGCCCCCGGACACACAGTACCATAGAATATAATAGTATTACCGAATATTCGTTCCCCTTTCTGCCCTTGTCAGTTATCATGATGCATCCCCGGGGAACTGGAACGGCAACCGGCAGCAGGAACGGCAGTCCAGATGCTCTGGCCTGGTTCATCGCGTACAGATTACTCTATGAAGATTGATGGTGGGGCAACTGCGCCTACGAGAGTTGATGAAACTGCGTGGTCCCTGCACTGCAACATCAATAGCATTTCTGGCAATTTTCCGTTGGACTTTGTAGATGTAAGACTCCAGAGAGCGGCAGGGATGAGCGAATTCTCGGGAGGCAAGGTGCTCCCATTGGCTCCCGTTCGAGTAGCCCCGCCCGGGATATTTGGCCCGCTCCCGTGAGGACGACAACGTTAGTATTACAACGGACGAGCGACGGAGGGTTTCCATCTTGCGGGGATTTGGAGAAAGGGATGTACTCAAGTGGGCTGATGGTCCTAGGACGATACGAGTCTGTGCGTGTCTAAGGAAGACTGAGGCCACCGGCGAGGTCCAAGGGTCGAGAAATTTGCCTCAAATTGTGATGAGATGGACATGAACACTCTTTTGGCATGATACAACGACAATACAGGGAATCATAGAAATTAGAGACACGTAAGTGTAGCTAGAAGCCCATCATGATCATACACCATTGGCTGAGTGCTTCGTGGCAGCTTGCAGTGAGTGGCGGCGTCTTCAAACGGCGAAATGTATCCATGTTCGCGCCCAAAACGGACCTCGCTTCGCCCGGCAAGAACGAATTCAGACGGGCCCTAAGGGCCAGGATCTTCTAGTCTGGGAAACCCTGCAAAAACCGTTAGTTGGCCAAGAATGTCTGTGAACGGATCCAATTGGTCGAGGAGCCTAGTCTTATGCTTAACCGTTTGCGACCCATGCAACAGTTTGTGATGCCGTATCTAGCGACAGGCCGGTCCCTTGCAGCCCTTGAGGGTCTTGCAGAAAGCGAGCACCCGAGCCCTAAGAGGTGCATATTTAGAGCGATCACTCTCAGGGGCTCTAGTAGATATACTCGTCTCCGGTGCCGACATCTCGGGTGGTTTCTCTGCTTTGCGTAAAATGTTCAATCCACGATGTCGACCTCCACGATTACGATTCCGTCAGATTCCAATCTAACGGGCCAGGAAATTGCCGACATCGCCTACAGTTATTCTGGAATCAAACCTACTAATGTTGGGCAAGCCTCTGAGATCTTGATATACTTCTTCCTCATCGTCTGCACCATCATCATTTGCTTGCGGATTTGGGTACGGACGTTCAGAGCAGAGAGCAAACTGAAGTGGGGACTTCCTGACTACCTTGCGGTCTTTGGATTTGTATGTTCTCTTCCTCCTCATCAACACTGCTCCTGTTGGGCGTTTGGCTAACCTACGGTTTCTGTTCTCGGTTTGCTAGCTACCGTATATTCCCGCCGCCGTTTTCGGGATTTTGGCTGCGCACTATGGCATTGGCGCGACGGACGATCACCTTAACTCGATCGAAGGAGGCGAATTCATAAAAATCCGAGGAATGGAATACCTGATGTACTACGAACTGACGTACTTTTCCGCCTCGACTATCACAAAGTATGCCATCGCGGCCACCATCCTCACGATCTGTACCGAGAAGCGCTTCATCTACCCCATATGGGCGGTTATGATCCTCATGGCCGCCGCGGCCGCCGCGTGTCTCGTTACACTCTTCGTAAACTGTGTGCCATTCTCGGCCTACTGGAACATAAAGCTGTAAGCCTTGGTAAACGCGCTAGAGCGCGCAATATCTACCTCTACACCCTCATTGCTAACGCGTAGCAAGTGGTAAATGCAAGTCTGCCAACGGATTCTTGATTCTGAGCTATGTCGGGACCTCTGCTCAGATTCTAGTCGACTGGACTTGCGCCATCATGCCATTCTTCATTGTCTACAGGCTACAAATGCCAAGGAGAGCCAAGATCTCCGTTGTCGGCGTCCTGGGCCTGGGTGTGTTGGCTAGTGTCGCTGCTCTCATGCGAATTATCAGCTACCAATATATCGACACGAGGAGATATCCAGATAACCACATGCGTAAGCGGCACCGAATTCAACTGGATCAACTTCTAGCTAATCAGTCTCGCGTGTAGTTGCGGAAGGCCGGCTCCTTCTGTGGTCTATTCTGGAATCTAGCTTCGCCATCATCGCCTGCTCCTTGCCATCGTTGAAGAAGCTGTTCACGAGCTGCATAGGAAGATCCTTTAACCGGTCAGGAGATGCATCAAGATCTGTGAGTGTATCCAGAGCGTGTGGAACGAATTGAAAGAAAAGAGACTAATCAATGGGCTTTCCACGTGGACAGAAACGAACATACGGCAACCAGACTCCCCTTCAGTCTCTACCCGGTATCCACACGACGTCAGTAACTGGGAACAAATGGGATAGACTGCACGACGACATGGACGACTCCAGCACCCACCAGATCATGAGGCGGACGGACATCCACATCGAAACCGATAGCAACCAATCCTTCACCAAGACCGGTGCTATGGTTTGAAGGGGAGCTAAAAAGGCGGAGAATTGATTTCGGATGATGGGGCAAGTTGTGAGCGATGTAAAGCATATAGAATTGTTTCATTTAATCATTTGTACATTCATTATAGGGATAACCAAAAGCAGAGAACGGTCATTAACTTACTACCAATTCAAATGGTAATTCCCAATATGTAGAAAGCATAAGTCACAAAATGGGCCTGAAGTAGAGAACAAGGACCTGTAGCTTAAACAAGTTATCTTCGCCAGAATTCTGTCTGAAGATTCAGTGTCAAGCGATATCAATGAGAGATTCATATAAGAAAGCTCGTGGACGGTTCGCAAATTGCTACGGACAAGCTCGCATTAAGGGGGCAAAAGCGTTCCTCTGCCTTTGCCACGAGAGAACGATGGGGCCTGTCTTCGCTTGCAAGAGCGCCTTTCAACCCCTTAATGTGTGGGTAAATATCCCAGTTCCAAAATGACCTGGCAGTAAGCAGATCATTTCCGATACCACCCTGCGATGTAACCCGCCAACATGCCGGCAAGTAGACCCAAGACATCAGCACGAAACGTCACGTGGAAAGACCCCCTTGACCCCCTTCCTCTTTTGGGGCCATCTTCTCAATTGGGAGAAAAGAATGACTGCATATCAGGCGACGATATCGTATGTACCGTAACAAGAGTTCCGTGATAAATATTGGGAAACTTTATCACAGGGCTGGGGCTTAAGCAAATCTCAAGACACCCCTGAGAATGCTACTACAGGATGATTTGACTTCATAGCACAGCTTCCTCTCATTTATGGCTGATACATGCTGCATAAGTAGACCTTCTGGATATTAGAAGCCCTTCTTTTCGTGTTGTAAACTTATTTCCCTCCATGGCTTGGTCCTTGCTGCTTATCCCAGATTCTAGTCCATCTCTTGCTTTTATTCTCCGCTGGGTTAGTCTATGATTATTCTTGAGGGAAAGTGCAATGAGGATGAGACACTCTGATATCTAGCTAGAGACACATTCAGAAACAAGGGGAGATTGAAACCAGGGCCATGAGATTCTGTTGCTTTGATTCTATTCCATGGTTGACCTTATTCTGCGCAGGGCAGTCGAAGTTGACCTGGAACCGTTAAGTATTTGGGCAGGTCTACGTTTAGAGGAGCCATACTATCGAGTCTAGAATCTTTTGCAAATAATCTAGGCATGCCCGACACGGACTCAGAGATGTAAGGGAGCGCACGTTTACCAAAATAGAGTCCTGGCTACATCTCCTGTGGGGAGTCCGCGGATCCCATTTGTTTGTATTGCGGATCTGTAAGTATCACGTTACTAATAAATAGACCGCTGTATCGGAGCTCGCGATAAATTTATACTAGCAGAGCAGGGCTCCCTCATCGGACTTTGGCCATTGATGTTGATGGATAGATTGGAGAAGCTAGTGCGTCCCGTGGTTTTGGTTGGGCAGATTGCGGGCTTCATGCCGAACAGGGTTATTGCTTGGTACTGCACTCCTCCTGCCGGCAGTCTGAGTCTCGGCTATCATAAAAGATTTGGGACGGCACATGTCTTCTGTACTCTGCGGATCATCTGTTTAGACATGGCATGGGATATCCCTTCCTAGAGGCAACCCCCCAACAGGCTAGATCCACGCACAAATTAGGTGAATGTCATCGTGTACCATGCCTTGGGGTCCCTTTTCTCTCTTCCTTTTTTTTAATCTCTTTCCTCTCGTCTTTTAAACCCTCTTTATGATTTCATCAGTCGGCGATGGAGTTGCTCGATTTTGACACCCGGTTTGAGTATGTCTCATTGAAACCTAAGACTAAGTCCTCCCACCACAATCCTTCCCACCACACAATTTGAGGGCGAGCGGTGAAGAATGCCATACTCTCTAATCCCCCTGTCTAAGAAATTAGAAATAATGACATATAAAGTGCTTAGAATATCCACAAAGATATTAACACAATTTCCTCCCAACAGAAACATGCTTACTTCATGACCATCCTTATGCATCCATCTCCTTATCCATACAACAATAATGTCATTGAACAATCTAAGACACTAGGAGAAATTCGGCTTTAACTCCAAGATGATCAGTAGCCCACCCTTCCTCAAGACCCTCTTCTTCGATCAATAACTGCCTGTCGTCTTCGTCAGAAACTTGCACATCCATACCAAACCTCCCGAAACCCTGCAGCTGAACGTCACCACAGTAAAGAATCTTATCCATACGCGTCAAGCCGTGCCGGTTCCTACTTGACGTTGCTGCCATATGTCCCCAAGTCATTCCCGCCTCAGATCCTTCCTCCTGCCCAGTCTCGAGGTAGGCGTCTTTCAGATTATTCAAGGTGTGAAGATTTCTATCAAATGGCTCAATAGCGTTTAAATCACCCCCGAGAATGCCGGCGTCGGCATTGTGCAAGTGTCTCGCTGCTTCGGCTAGCTGGCGAGGCCTCAAAGGGGGTCTTGCGACCAAAGATTCCAAGTGCGTCGTGCAAAGACGGACCTTCTTCTCGTGTAGGTAGACTTCCACGAAAAGGGCGTCCCGGCTCATGTCCGTTTGTGTGTAATGGACCCGAAAAACATTAGTGATGGCCATGCTTTTAGGAACCAGCATGCAAGTTCCTATCGTCAATATTAGTGCCAGTTAGTCTATGATTTAACAATGTCTACTTACCATATACGTCAGACTCCCAGTACTCAGCGGAAATATCGGTTAAATGAAAATCTTGCTGTATCCAATCTTGAGATTGTAGAATTTGGAGGTCCGATTTGGTCATTTCATTCAACATGATGATTTTGGGATCGGCATCAGGCTCATATTCCGAGGCAACATTGCCATACACATGTTGACGCAAATGGTCCAAAGCTGCTCGCATTCGCTCATTTGGCAGGATTCTCATAAAATCGATATTCCAAGATAGAACCGTGAGAGAACTTATGTTTGGATCGGATGTGGCTGACCATCTCCAGCTAGGCTTTACGGGATGCCAAGTCTGGTCTGATTCTGAGAAGACATGATATGGCTGCTGGAATGGTGAACCCCGCCTCCATGGAACGGAAGGTGAGAGATTATCCCAAAAACGGTGTGCCATTGTCGTCGTGTGGCAGAAGAGACGAGGAATGAAGCTTTATTGTGTAAGGTTGAGCGATGTGAAGTATGTTTATTCGGAGTCAAGCTTTCGGTCTCCGTGACCATGCGGTGACATTCTCCAATGTTGGGCGAAGAGCACCTATCACAACCCCTGCTCTTAAATCAGGCAGAAGAAACCACAAGAATGCGGGGTTCAAGGCAGCGAGATACGAAAACCAGTTCGCATGATCTATCAAATGATTGGTTCTCGACTACTGTCTGACCACCAGTCTGGTCAACTGCTTACTTATCTCAGGATTGGGTAGCAGTTAGGGACCAAATAATTTATTTACAGCCTCAGACGATATGCCGTCAGCAGACCGGCGAGGCAGCGAGCACCACCCCAATATTGCAACATAATGCAGTTCGGTAAGTTCTCGATACCAATAAAGCTGAACCACGTGTACTCTTGGCTCCTTCAGCTCAATGGCTTGTATTGATATGTGGACAACCAATTTTTGCTTCCTCTTTCTTTCTTGACCATCATCTTTCGTGATTATTCTTCACCTCATTAAAAAAAATCTCGATTGGTACTAGAAGGTACATCTTGAGTATCTTTCATAACAGCAATGGATGCATCTGGAGAACTGCAAGTACTAAAGCATCTTGCTCGATGTCTTGGGACTACAGGCCCCTTTGATGTGCCATCTGTGCTTGAGATATTTGGTCGCTTTGCCTACGAACGAATGTTTCGTCGCGAACCGCCCACGAATTTCGACAGTGAAACAATCAAACTCTTTGGATGAATCGTTTTAAGGCTCCCAAGATATGTGGAAGACATCTTGAAATAGGCTCAGTCACTCACTCACTCGGGTTGGGCTGCCAATCATTCGACCCCCCGAGAATTGCCAGACGAAGACAGCGCAGGCTTTTCCATACAAAAGGTTACCCACGGCAACCTCAATCCGTCTTCTTTCAATAAAGCCAATCGAGTTTCATTCAAGACTCGACTTATTCCAACCAGTCGAGTGCTCTATAGTCGTCGTGGACCTTAAAGATAACCCGGCGTTTGACGCCATGTCCTACACATGGGGTGATCCCTTGACCGTATTCGACACCGAAAGCCAAGTATCATGTAGAAAAGATTGGGCGGCGCCGGCTTTTGAAATTATTTGCGATGGCAAACCTGTTTCAGTCTTACCTGTTTCAGTCTCTACAAACCTGTACACTATGTTGTTGGCCCTCCGGCGCACCAGTTCGAACCCTGAAACTGCAGTTAACGATATTCGTTTCACCCAGAGATTTTGGATTGATGCTCTTTGCATCAACCAATCTGATATCGATGAGAAATCTCAAAAAATCATGATGATGAGCCGTATCTACAACTGTGCTACATGTGTGTTTATATGGCTTGGTGGGGAGGATTATGAGGCAGGCCGCGTGGTGCAACACCTAGCCAACCTGGCCAATCTGGCCAATCTGGATGAAGAGCGGAGGCCACTACTAAATAAGTCCATATTAGATGTTAATATGTACAAGGGGCTGGGAATTTCGCCAATTTCTGTGGACGATTGGGTGGGGATTTATAAGTTCTGTAACCGGGCCTGGTTCAGCCGCGCATGGATTGTACAAGAGGTTGGACTCGCGAAGCAGACAGTAGTCATGTGTGGCCTTTACCTGTTCCGAGGCACGGCCATTCGATCTAGCCTTGAAATACTAAAGTCAGCGGGCTGTATAGACGAGATGAGAAACCTAGTCGAACCTCTTATCTATGGGAGACGGAATAAATACCAGCGGGGCGAGTCCAGGTTTCGCGCGGATCTGACGAAGCGCAGAATATTCCAACCTTCAGTCCCCAACACCCCCTTCGATCCAAATTTGTTCAGCCTCATGCTAGAGGAGGGGTTTGCTGTAGGAGGATCTGAACATTGGATGGAGGCCAAGACGGGTATTAGGCCAAAGCCTCTATGGAGAATCCTCAATCGTTTCGGTGGTCTTCAAGCCACTGACACTAGAGACAAGGTATATGCTTTCATGGGCTTTTTGAGGGAGTTTTCTGAGGAAGGACGACAGCTTGTTCCCAAATACAGCCAGCCAGTAGAAGAAGTCTATTTTGAAGCTGTCAGGTTCATGGCTGACTCGGTCAGTGGCCTGAACTTTTTGGGCATAAAAGAGGCGGATTCATCCTTGGACTTACCCTCCTGGATACCGGACTTTAGTGCCCTAAATTCACAGATATCATTGATGGTGGCATATAATATCCGGTCTTCCGCATCCGATAGTTTGGATCCTCGAAGCTTTCATATCGATAAAAAGAAGTTGAGTGTTTCAGGCGTCTTCTGCGGCAAGGTTCTCCGAAATGAGCCCTTTTCCCTGTTCCACTTAGGAACAATAATCGAGCTCCTGGAAGAATTGCCAGAGACTTCAGATATCTGGAAACCTCCGGTTGGGACTGGGCGGGAGGTCGGTGACATGGATGATGTCCAAGGAACCCACAAAACCGCCAAAAGGGGCTGGACATTGACTCATCAACGTCGCTGTGAGGTTTTATGGAGGACACTCGTCTCGGATTCTTTCGATGGAGAGCAACCAGCTCCAATGACCTGTGAAAATTTAATGGATTTGATGATCCAGTCCTTTGTTGCCCGGCAATTGTTGGGCGCAACGATGAGGTTAGCTCGGAATCAGGGGGAGCTAGATTTTCTCTTGGGGAGATTCAAACCCTCGAAACTTGAGACCCCTCAGAGCCTTGATGATTACGACCTTTCGAAGGTTTACTTAAAGTAGTCATATAAGGCTCATCAAATATTATTTGGTCGTGTTCGATCAAGTACAAGAGATTTAGGTCTTCCTCCATATTTTCAAATATGTGAACACACCCGCAATACGCATGGAGTCAAGAGTCAAGAGTTTCTGAGAGTTCTCAGTCATATTTGCTATCAAGCTCAAAATCAGTTCAATGAACAACAATCAAATGTCCACATCTTATTCAAGCGGCAACTTCTGGTGATGAATAACGGACCCAGAGCTCTTTTCACAACAGACCGAGGGCATCTTGGGCATGCAAAAGCCAATATGCACAAGGATGATGAGGTCTGGGTCCTAGCAGGAGCTTCCATGCCGTTTATTCTACGACCAGTCGACGAGGCGGCGTACCTTTTAATTAGCGATGCGTATGTGCACGGAATCATGTATGGCGAGGGAGTCCCCGATGGATCAAGCGATTCCAGTGAGGCATGTTTATTTAATCTAGTCGTGATTTAGACAGTCTTTAAAGTTCCCGTGGCGCGAGGACATTGCATAAACATCAGCACGAATTAAACAGGCTACTTTCCCCACGATTCTCGGTTGTGTTGAGCAAATTGCAATATGTTCCGTACATAGAGCACTTGATACATATAGAAGACGGCGTTTGTCTGAAGATGGGATGTGTAGACTACGAGCCCCCGAACTCATCACATAATCTCACTAGACGTGATATGCTATGTCAGTACAGCAACTATAATAGATGCTATAGTCTCTCACAATCGTTGCCTAGTTAAGGCAATTCTTGACTTAATAGTAACCTGTATTAGCCACCGTTAGTAGCCGGTTGTCTTACTAGGCCTGGTATTTAGCATTCTAATTTAAAAGGGATCCAATCAAGGGTCCAGATTCCGAAAAGGCTCACACCACACTGCCCCATTATCGAGCCGTTACAATCGGAGGTCAGGGACAAGGAAACTTAAGCCGAGTTACTTTACTAGTAGCGATCCCAATTGAAGAATACAGAAACCGTAGAGATGACGCCAAAGCTGATATGGGTGTTCTCCATAGTTAGGGCGACGAATAAGGTGCAGTGACAGAGTTTCATATCTTAAAGATTCAAATTTTTGCTGTCAACATTTATTTAGATTTGGCTTGTTGTTATTGCCACTCACTTGTACAAACCAAAGAAAGGGGCTTTTATGCTTAGCTCTAGTCTTGCAGTCCATATTGAGATAGCAGAATATGTTATGTGTCCAGACACATTGAAGTGGGTAGATGACGTGATTACTTATTTAAACAGTTATGAAGATTTATCCGCCAACTGGAATCAAGTTGTCAAGGTTCTATTGTGGCCATTTGTGGGTTGACTAACAGCTGTAAAGTAAGAAGCAAATGATCGTTTGAAGCAATTGTGTGACGGTTAGGTTGACTTACACTGGACGGGGTCTAGGATAGGTCAGGGTTAAACTAATCAGAGTATTATTCTGAGTAGTATAATCAGATTATCTTAGGCTGTATAATACGAGTTACTATTAATATATAAGTATTATAAAGCTAGTAATAATAGATATATAGATAATATTATTAATAACTATCTGAGAGGGTATTCTACCTAGTAAAATAAATATATATATATACTAGGGGATTATTAATACTTAGTAATAATCTATTATTCTGAATTATTAGGATTATTATAAGATTCTAATAATTTACTAGTAATTAGTTAGAAAAAGTAGGATAGTTTATATAATTTTAATATATAATAATATAATTTATAATATAAGATTCCCTCTCTATTAGTTATATTCTTAAAACTATATTTTATAGCCTATTAGTAAATCTTTTCTAATTTAATTCTATATTCCCCTTATAGTTCTTAATAATATCTAACTATATATAGAAAACTTCTTATAAGAAGACCCTTTAATATAATACTCTTATTAATACTATCTTATTAAATTCTTTAGTAATATAGTTAGAGTATAGCTATTATAAATCCTATAGTTATAAATACTTTAGGTTAGAGAGTTCTTTATCCTATTATTTTTACTATATTAAGAATAATTAACTATATTATAATACTTAAGGCCTTATACTAGGATAGCTAAGATATATTACTAATTAGTATAGTAAACTAAAGTCCGAGCTAGAGGTAGTAAAGAAGGAATATTATTATATAGATATAAAAATTTAATATCTTTATTAATAAAAGAAATTATAATTAGATAAGATAATACAGATAGTATCTTATAGTATTAATAGTATAAAGGAATTAGAGTATATTAAGTAAAAAGAAGTAGAAGAGATAGTCTGAAAATAGATCTCTTCTCTGGTTATACCTTTATCCGAGCCTGTATTTTTAGAGATTAAGATTAATCTAGTATTTCTTCAGGAGGGTATAGAACTATCTCCTTCTTAGTTTATTAGGATAGGTATTTCTAGTCCTGGTAATACTACTAAATAAGCTATTAATAATTCTTTAAATATTTAATAAGTTCCTAAGTATTATCTTTATTAGTATATTTCTTCTATTTTACTAAGTAAAAAGTTTATCTATTCCTAACTTCTTTCTTTAGGATTTTTTCTAATTTAAATTTTTCTTTATAGACTTTAATTAGATAATCCTAATCTAGTATATTCTTTAATACTTTTTTAAGTAATAATATATAAAAAACTGGGTAGATATATATTATATCTAGTAGTAAAAGTTTATAGTTAATATCTGATTTTTTCTTTAGAATCTTAAATAGTCTAAGTTTCTTATAATCTAATTTATTACTTAATCTTATTATTATAATATTTTTATAAAGTAGATAGATCTTATCTCCCTCCTTTAAGATTAGTTCTTCTAATCTGTTTTTATTATAGTATTTTTTTATTCTTTATTAAATAAATTTAAGTTCTATTTTTATTTCTATATATAATAAATATAGTATTTCTTTTATAAGTATAATAGTAGATATATCTAGTCTATTAAGTTCTAATTAGTTCTAAAATTATAGTTTATAGCTATAATTTATATATATAGATATAAGCTAGATAGATTCTTATACTGAACTATTATATATAATCTATACTATAGGTAATAGTTATATCTAATTATCTTATTTATAATTAATATATACTTATAGATATTATTCTAGAGTTTAATTTAATTATTCTATTTAACTATTACTTTATAGGTAATAAGCTATTAAGAACTTATATTTTATATCTATTTATACTATTAGTAATTACTAAAACTTAGAGGTAAATATTATTTCTCTATCTGCTATAATCTTATTAGGTAGTCTATAGTAACTAGCTATATATTATAAAAACTGATATATAAGATCTTCTATAGAGCTTACTTTCTTATATAGGATAAAATATCTATACTTTATAAGTCTATTAATAACTATTAGAATACTATTATATTCTACTTTAGTTATAGGTTCTTTTAATAATAGTAGTTTAATAATATAATTAAAAGATACTAATTACTATAGTTATTCTAATACTAAAACTAGTTTAAGTTCTCTATATAGTTTATATTATATAGACTTAATCCTTATATAAGTATTATATTCTGATATTATAATTTATATATCTTTTTATAGATCTGGATAATTATAATATTATTAGATCCTATTAAAGGTTTTCTTAACTCCCTAATATCCTAAGAGTAGGTATTTATAGATTTCTTTAATAAGTACTATTCTTACTTCTTATTATAATTTATCTAAGCTAGGAATAATCTCTATCTAGACCTTAGTATATACTATTTCCTTAAGTATAGCTCCTAGGGTTTTTTATACTAAGTATCCCTTATTATTAGTTAAGAATAGCTATTTATTTATTTTTAGAACTGCTTCTTTATATTTAGGTTTCTAGCTAAAAGTATTAGCTCTTCTATTTTCTAATTCTTTTTAATATATTATTTTATAATTAAATTAAGATAGATATTTAGTATAATATATTTATCTTCTATTTAATTACTAAGTTATAGTAAAATACTGAATATTTTTATAGTCTATATATATCTTAACCTTATATATTATCCTTAGATAGTAGTATTTAAGTTCTTTAAATATATATATAATAGCTATAAATTCTTTATTATAGATAGAGTAATTAAGTTCTATACTATATAGTTTCTTTAAGAAGAATACTATAAGGTATAATACTCTATTATTATTCTTTTAGCTAATTTATATACTAATTATAAAGTCTGAGATATTAGTCTTAAGTTCTACTTTCTTTATTAGGTTAAATATCTATAGTATAGGTTCTAAAAGTATTTAGTTTTTTATTTTATTAAATACTTACTACTATTTATTATTCTATTAGAATTCTATTTCTTTTTTAGTAATATTATATAAGGGTATTATAATTTTTCTATAGTTTTTAATAAATTATTAGTAGTAATTAGTAAATCTAAGGAAGGTTTATACTTTCTTAATAGTTTTTAGTACTTTCTATTTCTTAACTATAGTAATCTTATCTTATTCTATTTATATTTTATTTAGTTAAATAATATATTCTAAAAAGTTAACTTTTTATATATAGAAGAAACTTTTTTCTAGTTCTATAAGGAGTTTTACTTCTTCTAGTTTTTTTAAAACTTAATATATATAGTTCTTATATATCTTAAGGTTATTAGAGAAGATTAAAATATTATTAAGATAAATAATTATAAAGATATTAAGATATTCTTAGAATATCTAATTAATTATTTATTAAAATATTATAGATATATTTATTAGTCCGAAGGGTATAATAAGATACTTATAAAGGCTAAACTTTATTCTAAATACTATTTTCTATTTATCTCCTTTCTTAATTTATATTAGGTTATAAGCTCCCTTTAGATCTAGTATAGTAAATTACTATTTACCCTATAACTAGTCTCTAAGTTCTATAATTAGTAGTAAGAGTATTCTATCTTTATATATAATCTTATTTAGTTATTAATAATTAACTACTAAATAGAGTTTATTATTTTTCTTTAGTATAAATATTATAGAATATCCTATAGATAAAGTTAATAGTTATATATA